TAGCTTATATTTATAAGTAGTCCATTATTAATTTAAATATTCTTTAATTTAAACTTCTTTCTTTTATAATTAATACATTAATCCTTATTTATTAATTCCTAACGTTATTATATTATATTAACCATTTTAATCCTAATTTTTAATAAGAGGTTATAAAAATTTATTAATTCCTTTTATAGGGGTTTACCTAATTTTCAATAATATAATAGGGCTCTTGTACCCTTATTTTATTTTAGGTTTTAACTTTTAATATTAGCTAAGTATTAATTAAAAAATTATAGGTCTTAATTAACGCATCTCCCACTTGACCTGGCCACCCAATTGACCTGGCCACCCCACCAGCCCATACAAAAAACGTCGGTGCGCTAATCACGTGATAATTTAATAACTCTACGAATATTGGTCGTATGAAATAATAAAATATACCATTAGATTTATAATAAAAAGAGCTATTCAACGGTATCCTTGACCAATTTCTACGATTTTTATTCGTGGAGTTATTAAGCAATACGTTAAAGTAAGCGCTAAAATAATCCTTACCTAGCGCCCTTTTAGCGTATTGCTTAATATCTCGCTTAATAAATTTTATAAAAAATAGTAAAAAATACCGCTAGATTCCTTATTAAATGACGGATTTAATGGTACTAATTATTAAATAGTAAGACGAATATTAGTTAAGTTATCATAGATTGAAACATTGGATTTTTATATAGGTTAAGGGGGTGGCCAGCTCAATTGGGTGGCCAGGTCAAGTGGGAGATGCGTTAATATATTATATAGCCCTTTTAAATTATATATTAATATTAACTTATAGGAAGAATAATTAATATAATAAGGTTTTAATTTAATTTAAAAATATATTTTAATTAAATTCTATTTATTTCCTTTTTATATATTTAAGCCTTTTTTTTATAATTTAATATATATTTTTATAATCCCTAACGCATCTCCCACTTGACCTGGCCACCCAATTGACCTGGCTACATTTTTGACCTTCGTACGCACATGAAAAAAATCCCTCATTTCTCCACCAACAATCATGGAAACCCTTCGTAAAGAAAGCGACCTATAGTTTACACTCCAAGCTATTAAACAAAACCTAAAATTATCTATCCAACGCGTTGCTACTATCTATAATGTTCCTTATATAATACTTGCCCTTCAAACGAAAGGTTTTAAACTAGTAAGCGAAATACTACCTTTAAAAGCCCGATTAACTTTAGATAAAGAATAATCGATCGTATAATATATCCTTAATTTTATAGCAAAATTGTTTTTACTTTTATATAGTTATATAAGAAATATAACTAATTAATTAATAGTATTATAGGGTTAAAAGCTAGTTGGAAAGAACTGGATATTAAACTTTCTATAACGAACTTTAAACATTTAAATATATTTTAATCGAAAAATCGATTATTAATAGGTATTAAACAAAAATCTAATTAAATATTACGTTTAATTTATCTTTATATAAAAGATAATAAATAAAAATAGTATTTAAAAAGAAAATATTTATAACTTTAATAAAATTAGGTTTATAATAGGTAAAATTATATTTAAAATAATTATAACTTTAATTAAATATAAATAAAAACTATAAACTGTTTAACTAGGTAATTTAAAATGGTTTATAATTATTTAAGTAATTTTATTATATAGTTAGATTATTTTACTATATATTATTTTAATAGAGAAAAACTACTTTATACCTTAATATAAAAATAATAATATATTAAGCAATTGGAAAATTATAATTATAAAAAATAGTTAAATAATAAATAAATAAGCTATAAATTAAATTAAGCATTTTAATAAATATATAAAGCTTTATATAAAAGGATATTATTGCTTTTTTTTTTTAATAGTTATAAAAGTTATTATTTATATAAATTTAAATTATATTATAAAGAAAATAATATTATTACTCTTTATATACCTTTTTATTCCTTTTATTACTTTTAACTATTTAATATTAAAGTATTTAGCCCTTTAAAATAATTATATAAAAAGTAAATTAAAAGCTTTATATAAATATATATTATTTATATTTAAAAGGAAGATTTTATAATTATATTTTTTTATATATTTAATAAAGTAATTATTTTAAATAATATATAAAGGGGATTTAAAGAAGTAAGTTTAATGCTATATAATTTAAATTATATTATTAATTAGTTAAATTATTCAATTATACTTTAAATTAACCCTTTATTTCTAATATTATTTAATCCTTATACGATTATAACTTTAAATAACCTAATTAAAGTTAATTCCTTTTTTAAATATATTAAATAAAGGATTATATAATATTAAAATAGCTTTCCTATATTTATTATTAAAGGGTTAGGTTAAATTATATATAATATAATTAATATTATATATTATTTTATATTATTAAAAAGGAAGGTTAAAAACTTTTATAAAATAAATTATAAATTTAATAAATATTATTATATAAAAAGAATTAAATTATAAAATAAAGGATCTTTTATTATTAAAGATGCTAGGGATTAAATAGAAATATGGGGTATTTTTAAGGTAAAAAATTGCATTATATGTTAAGGTAGTTGTTGTACGAGGAAGAAGGAGATTTACGCCCGGCGTTATAGGGCTTACGGCGAACCCAGCTATAATATATAAACTTGTAAAAATGTTATAACAACGTTTAGCGATTTAAATTTAGATTAATTTAAGTTAATTATACGAATAGTTGTTGAGATATTTTTAAATGCATGCATGAAGGTCAAAAATGTGGCTAGGTTAATTAGGTGGCCAAGTTAAGTGGGAGATGCGTTATTTATTTTATTATATATATAAAGAATTTTAAAGGTATTAATTTTAAACTTATAATTAGCCCTATAGAATATAGTTTTTAATTCTTTTACCTATTTTAACCATTTTAAATAGGTAAACTTTATATTAAAGAAGTTATAGTTAAACTTAAAAAGCTAATTTAAATTAACTTCCTTAAAAAAATAGCATTTATAATAATATATATAATTTAAATATAATTAATATATATAACTACTTTAATTATACTTTATATTAAAGCTAAATAATAAAGGGTTATTATTATTAAAATTACCCTTTCTTTAGTTTTAATAACGTTATTAATTATTAAAGATCTATAAATTATTAAGGTTAAAACGATACCTTAATTTATTTAAACTTAATATTCTTAAGTTTTCTTTTTTCTTATTTAAATATAATTTAAAAGGGATATAGGTTACCTTTAAACTTTAAATAACCTTCTTTCCTTTAAGAAATTATTTCTTTAGCTTTATAATTTTAATTAAAAGTTAAGCATTTATTTATTAAATTAGGGTTATTAGGGGATTTTGGTAGCTAATTTTAAGTTTATCGTTTTCCTAAAAATAAATCATACTAGCTTTATCCTTAAACTATTATTAAAAACTTTCCTTAATTTAAATTTCCTAAAAGAGCGCTAGCTTTAATTATTTATTTACGCATAAATATATCGTAATTAATAACATTATAGGTAACCTTAAAGAAAAGCTTTAAAATTATTACAGGTAGGTTAAATCTTAAAGGTTAAGTATAATGTTATAAATCTTTTTAATTTTATAATAGGTACTTAATAAGATTAAAGCTTAAAGAAGGGAAGAATCTTCTTCGAAGTATATATGGAAAGGGTACATGATATATGTAAAGTATATATACTCCAAGGGCCTTAAAATACTGTAATATAATAGCTAAGCTTTACAATTATAAAAAACTATTACTTTAAATATATATAAAGCAAAATATATAGCTTTAAAGGAAGTAATTAAAGAAGCTATTTATTTATTTAATATAACTATATTCTTAAATGCTAACCTTTAACTTAATTATAAGGATAATATTCCTATTATATTAATAAATAATTAGTCCATTATTAAATTAATTAAAAATTAAGAATTTTATAAAAAATCTAAGTATATTTTTATTATTTACCACTTTTTAAAAGATGTAATAAATAATAAATAAATTTAATTAATATATACCCTTTTTAAAGATAATTTAACCAATTTTCTAATTAAAATATTAGCTAAATTAAGGTTTAATGCTTTTAAAGCATTAGTAAATATATATATATAAAAGCTTTTTCCTTATATATAAAGGTTTACTTTTAACGTAATTTTTTATCCATTATATAGTTTTTTTAAATAAAATAACTTTTTTCTATATAGTATATAGTTTTCTTATTAAATATATTTACTTATATTTATTATAATTATATACTATAAGTTTAAATAATTAATAATAATTAATAAATAAGGTTTTTATATATTAACTATTATACTTTTTTCCTTACCTTAAAATATTTATTACCTTATATATATAAAGGGTTTTTTCACTTTTCCCTTAAAATTCTTATAAAGGTTTTACTTTTTTCCTTTATTTATTAATTTAACAGGTTTTATCTATTTTTCTTAAAACTGGATTATTAATTCTATAAGCTATATTCAGCTTATAAAATTAAGGGGGGATATCAGTCAGGTTATTTACCTAATACCTAATTAGGTAATTCACCTGCAGGGTATTAATCATCTAGGTATAAGTCATAGGTTCGAACCTTACAATGGGTTCGATAGGGAACCCTTCAGGGCACCCTACAGGGCAGCAGCTAGGTCTATATACAACGGGTTATCCCCGCGGTCAGGAAGACCATATTCTATATTCTTATTCATACAACTCTCCTTCCATACTAGATAACTGAATAACTCATCCATTTGCCCCACTTATTAGTCATCTTCTGAACTGCTTATTAAGATATATACAATTACCTAAGCTAACCCACCTAGCCTCCGAGACATATCACAAGATATAGTCGGGGGGGTGTACTGAGAGCTTGGTATTTTGGGAATTTTAGTATTGAGTAATCTTCAGTAAGATGCGAGTCGCTTGTAACTAGCGAGTCTGAGAAGTGTTCTTGTATGGGTGCCTATACCGAGCTAGTGGTGTGAAATAATCATGATGTTAAGAACTTGGGTATTCCATGAAAAGAGCACATGTGATGAAAATGTCCCGACCAAGAACAACGGCAAATACATATATGCATCAATGAAGGTAGGCGCGTTAATGTATTCATGTCTTTACATGAATAACTCGGCCCATTATTCAACTACTAGAGTGTATTGCGCTCTCGGGTCCACAGATTTTAGGTTTCAACCCACCAAAATCTCCAGCGCAGTGTCAATGTTAGCAATCTTTCAATAGACTGTCTCATTGTGAAGCCACTTGTCAAAGGTATCAAAGCCTTTCCGATTCAAGTCCTTATCACATAGCGCAGTATCATGGAGGAAGACCGTGCCCAGACAGATCTCGGCATCGCCGCTGATATCGAAGAGGCTCATGCCCCGCCCCCACCTGAACCGACTGTCAAGCAGCCCAGGAAGAGATTTGTTGGGCGACGTACAGCAGCAAGAAATGCAGGCGCTGAACAATCAGAGGGAGATGCTGGTGCGATCCAAGGTAAGAACTAGTATTCTACACATCCTCTTACTTTGGGGGAAATTTTGGGGCACGAAAGGAACTAAAAGGTACCAGTCTCACAAGCGAGGCGGCCACCTAGGCTACTCAACCAGGTACCCCCTGAGATCCTAGATAATCCAGAGTTAAAGGAGGCCATTGCATTGCTGCCAGCAAACTATTCATTTGAGATCCCAAAGACAATACACAGGATACGCTCGTCTGGTGCGAAAAAGGTCGCCCTACAGATGCCAGAAGGCCTTCTCTTATTTGCCACTACCATCTCGGACATTCTCACTCAATTCTGTCCTGGCATTGAGACTCTTATTATGGGAGATGTCACCTACGGAGCTTGCTGTATTGACGATTATACCGCACGAGCTCTAGGGTGTGATCTCTTAGTGCATTATGCACACAGCTGCTTGATACCAGTTGATGTCACAAAGATCAAGGTGCTCTATGTTTTCGTTGACATTAGCATCGATACAGCACACCTACTCGCGACTATGGAGCGCAACTTTGCACCACCAAAGACCGTCGCAATAGTGGGCACAATACAGTTCAACGCGACCATCCACGGCGTGCGTTCTGCACTCGAAAAGGCCGGTTTTAAGGTGTTGATCCCACAAATAGCGCCGCTGTCAAAGGGTGAAATCTTAGGATGCACATCTCCGCGTTTACCAGATACCGAAAACGTCGATCTCATCCTATATCTAGGAGATGGGCGCTTCCATCTTGAAAGCATCATGATCCATAACCCGAAAATATCGGCCTACAGATATGACCCTTACTCAAGAAAGTTAACCCGTGAGACATATGGCCACGAGGAGATGCAGAACTTGCGAAAAGATGCCATTCAGACAGCCAAAGGCGCGAAGAAGTGGGGGCTGATTCTCGGATCACTTGGTCGCCAAGGCAATCCACACACTATGACACTTATCGAAGAGAAGCTAAAGTCGATGGGCATCCCTTGGGTGAACCTACTCCTGAGTGAGATCTTCCCAGGAAAGCTCGCCATGATGAGCGATGTGGAATGCTGGGTGCAAGTCGCTTGCCCGAGACTTAGTATTGACTGGGGGTATGCCTTTCCACGTCCACTGTTAACGCCATATGAGGCTCTTGTAGCTTTGAATGAGAGACAAGACTGGTCAGATACTGGTGTCTACCCCATGGATTATTATGCCAGAGAAGGGCTGGGAAGAACTAAAGATGTTAGGGTCTCTACTTGAGCACTATCAAACTAGAACTGGGTGAGCAATGAAACATTATGTGGTACGGTTCATTCCGGAGTTCAGGAGTATACATGTAATTGAAGCAAGGTTCACAATCAGGAGGACAACACGGTCCTCTCTTCGAAGAAGACTATATGAAGTCGTCATCAGGCACCATTCATACAGTGTATTGCCGACATGATTATACATCACTCTCTCGCTTGTGGTGATGTTAATTGATCTCTCCCCATATATTCATCGTGAGGGCGTGCGCCATCTTATCCCTGCGAGTCTAACCCAAGCTTTGCCGTTCTAAGTATCACGTACAATAAGTATTATGGTAGAATGGGAGGATGGTAGCGCGCACAAAGGTATCATAATAGTTCTTGTACTCATGTGATGCAAACTTTGCGGATACCGTGGCGCGATTCCCACGAGACTAAATGAAACAAGCCTAGAGCACACTGAGAGGAATCAGAGGGATAGAATCGCATGAAGTACCACCCAATGGATGTGGATTACATGAACGATAGCTCCGTATCCCATTGGAGCGAATATACAGGTGGCTTACTTGCTGGTACTCTTGAGGCTGGTCTCATCATTACATCAACTCCGGAATTGAGATTGAAGCTAAGCATACATCAGGGATGAATGGCCGCGTCACCGATATGATAGAATCCCCAATGACATGTGAACTACTACGTACATATACTAATTATAGGTTTTGGCAGCCCAGCTGTGCAATCTGATGATCAGATAAGATCACAAAATATGGATGCCTAAACCTCGGATATGTTCGGCAACAAATAATACGTCGGAAGTTGCTGCGCTAGGATTCTCTACAATGTATGTTGGCAAAGCCGGAGCAAGCATATCACCTTGGCACTTATTGTGACTCAACCGGCCACGGGATTTCATGCGGGATATCAGAGTCAAATTAGTCCATCATATCCCTTTGCTGACACGCGGGCTCTCTCAATCCCCGTAAATACGTCGTGTCTGTGCTACGGGATGCTGACCCATGCTACGGCCGAAATCTCGGAGATAACTCTGTCCGCACCTCCTGAAGCTCGGAGCTCGGGGAATGGAGGTGAATAATAGGGAAGAAGAGGCAAACAACACATCAGCCACTCATCTTGGTATAAGAACCCTGGGATGCGAGTTGCTAACTGGCGCACGAAGCTAATGCAGAAGATCAACCCCAGACACGTCACAGACTTTTTAGCAAACATACACAGGTACGAATCGAGGATCGACAAGGGCTTTCAGCGATGCCTATAAAAGAATACACTGTCCACGAGCTTCGTCTGCTCCTAGGACTTGAACATACAGACGACTGTTATCTATCACACTCACCAAGTCCTTTAGATACCTCCTCTCAAGATCACCACCATGTCGACTCAAGGTCTAGCATTCAAGGGCAAATTCCATGTCCAAAACGAGGTACGTCTTATCTCCCACGCCGTATCCCCACGGCACACGCGCATGCACAACTGTTATAAATTCCTAACAATAGACACAGACATGGACGGCCGTGGACGAGTATACGCAGTTTCACCTCCACCCATCCAGCGCACCCAACCACAAAGTGCTCCTTGACGCGCTGCGCAACTCGCGCGACAATGGGCTGCCGGACATCGCCACGGCGCCCACGGTGGCCAGGATGTACGCGCTGCAATGCAAGGCCAGCAAAGTGCAGCACGCGCTGGAGTTCGGCACACTAGGCGCGTACACCTCCATCTGGCTGGCGACGGAGAACCCGGCTCTCCAGGTGACGTCGCTCGAGATCAGCGCGCACCACGCGGCCGTGGCGAAAGAGAACCTGGAGAACGCGGGCGTCGCGGACCGCGTGAGCGTCCGCCTCGGCCCAGCGCTGGACCTGCTACCGGCCCTCGCGGCGGAGATCGAGCGCGGCGAGAAGCCGAAGCTGGGATTCGTCTACATCGACGCCGACAAGGAGAATAACTGGAACTACCTCGACCGCGTGATTGCGCTGTGCGAGCCCGGGGCCGTGATTTACGTGGATAATATCGTCCGCGGCGGGAGTATTCTCGATGCGGCGAATCCGGAGCCGAGGACGCAGGGGGCTCGGCGGGTTGTGGAGATGTCTGGGAAGGACGAACGCATTGATAGCGTTGTCATGCAATTTGTGGGCGAGAAGGGGTATGATGGGATGTTGATGGCTGTTGTACGGTAAGTGTGGCAGAGTATTGGGCAGTGACCTCGACTCAATTTTGATGGGCTAAGGCTTTGGATGACAGCTCCGTGATTTACACTATAGAATGAGATCACGAATTCCATGAAACTTCTGCACATAGTAGTCTCCTATTTCTTGCATTTGATTTCGGGAATCAGCCCTTGAAACCTACAAATATGTGAAGACTGAAGATGAAATATTTCATTACCGGGTTTCCTACTAAAACTTACTCTCTTGAGCACTTAATAAAAGATGATTGCACCTAGTTATTGATATTAGGAAAAAATTGGAAATATCGATAATATAAGAAAGTAATACAGGCATTCTTGCTTTAGCTTGGAGTCAACTTTGGTCAGTTTTGGAGAGAAATTAAGGAATGGAACATTTCATTACTTAGTTGGGTGTATCTAAAGTAGAGGGTTACCGTGTTACTTTTCCCTCTGGAAATCAAAAACGCCAACCCCCAAGCCCCTATCTAATTTAAGTAGGTGAAAAGGAACATTATTCCACTGGATGTTTTTCGTGAGTTGCTTTCATTTATGCACTACGACAGCTGCTTCATATTAGACAGCATATTAGTAAGCTCTTGCCCTGAAGTCGGGGGTGGTGTGTTACCGTATGTCTTCTCGAGAAACCAGAAGATCTGGAGCGCTATAGCCCAGCGTCTTCGCGCAATATCATACGAGTCAAGCCCATGTCTAGCAGAGACCGGCGTCCAGTCGATATCCTCACAGCTATTCTCGAAGTACTGCACTACTTGCTTAGCGAACACCGCCGCAGCGAAGGTTATGCCATCTGCGCGTCTGTGGGAGCTCAGCCTCGACTCGGACCAGTTTACCAGGGACTCTCGGGAGTATGTGAAGAAGACCATAACGAGCTTGAGCTTTTCGGGCTGGTCTGCGATAGTCGGCTGGCCGGGCGCTGAACGCCACTGGCGGAAAGAGGCTTGTACTTCCGCGCTGTTTAGTAGTAGTGCTGTGGCGATAGAGTCAGTGCCGAAACCTAGCCATTCGGAAAGGAGAGAGAGGTTGGGAGGGTTGGAACGATCGAATTGAGTGGGATTTGATACCGTTGAGTCAACAGTTGACACAGGAGAGACCAAAGACCCCTGGCTTTCATCAGGCAGGGTTGCTGTGATCGGAGTGGGTGGCGTTGCCTGGGCTGATTGAGCAGCTTCATATTCTGCTGCTCTTTTTTTCAAGTATTTCAGATACCTGAGCCGCTCCCGGCTAGCTGGTGTGCCCTGAGTTACGTTCAGAGAAGTGCTTGCTGCTGAGGTCGTAGGCGCTGGGGTTGGAGCAGCCTGTCGTTCGTCTGGAACGTGGGTATACCCTTTGGTGAGGTCGAGGATCACGCCCTGGCAATTGCGCTCAACGCTCTTCCTAAATCCTGCAAGCGCTTGGTCAAGTACATTCAGCGCAGTCTTCAGTTGATCGCGGGCTTGCTCGTTCTGAATACTTTCTATATCTCCATGAGCTCGAAAAAAGTCGAGATGAGCCGTATCAATTATCTGGAGAAGTCCCGCGACTTTCTGGTGCTCGATATTTTCCAGCGCTGAATCGAATCGCCTGATGGCGTATTCGATCATGTCGGCATCGTCAGTAGGCAGGAGCGGTGTAGACGAGAGCGTGTCCGTTAGTCGTTGCTTGATCTCTGCCCCTATGCTGCGGGCAGACCCGAGAGACTCTTCGGTTACCTCTCTCATTTTCCTTTGTTTCTTCTGTCCACGGTTGAACTTCTGCAAGGGAGCGTCTAGCGCCCGTCTAAGGTCATAGCATTTCTCTGCGGCTAGGGTTAGCTCTCCAAGAACCTCTGCTAGCACGGTAGATAGAGACTTTGGGTCAGTGCTGTTATGAGGAGACGCCATTTTATTCTGTGATTTCTGCGCTATTGTCCACTGTCTGCTTCCAATTGCTGTTTGAATGCTGTTGTTCAAGTTGTTTCAGTTGTTATTGCTGTGTTGTTAATGATGATGATGAGGAGGAATGATGTTCGAACCGAGATAAGTCGCAATCCCTACTTATACACAAATCAGCGAGAAGAAACCGTTGATTTTTCAAAGAAAACAATAGGCATTCAGGACTACAAGGCTGCTAGTAACAAAGAAGAGAGATCTTCACTTCTGCTTTATCTGCGATCAAGCATTGTGAAAATTAAGCAAAGCAAGTAGAATGCGATTGTTATCCTTTACGTTCAGCTAATTGTGCTCAGTATCTGAAAGAGACTTCAATCATGAGAAAAAGTGCCCAATTATTTGTGTTTGTACAATAGCATGGTACTCATATCAGTTCTTTAGGTGTATCAATGATAAAGCGTAATTAGCGTGAACATGGCCGTGATAGCTACGAGGAAAGAGAAAATCACACCACGGGTCTATTTGTATCATGGAGTGATACTAAATTATTACATTTGAATTGTAAGTCTGTCCCACTGCAATCGCCATTCTACGACGTTGCAGTGGAATTAATGGAAAAGACATAACTAGCCTGAAGGACGTAGGGATCGCCACCGGGTCCGAAGATCTGCTTGCTCTCGCGTCCCCATTCTGGGTGGTTGATGCCATCGATCCAATCTTCGACTTCCATTACGACACAGCCGTATCGAGGGATCGTACGAGGGAAGTCCGGTTCGTCATGAAGTCCTTGGGTCTCCTTGAGTGTCAATGTACCGTTTTGACCGTTGCATGAATACACCTGGAATGCTTCCTGGTCGGTATAGATGTCAACCTGAATGCCTGACCATGGAGAGTGAAGACGTGCAACGTAATTGCCCTCGTCACGCCAATTGTACGGCTCCTGGCGGCTGATGAGCCAGGCATTATCTGTTTTATGCGTTAGAAGAGCCAAACTGTATACGAGCTACTCGGCCAACTCACCATAACCTGTGCAGCCCAGGCCACAGTTGTTTACGGCCTCGGGGTCGTTCAAAGAGGCGCCAATTTGTTTGGGAGCACTCCAAAAGTCATTGACGGACCCCTTCTTGTTTGCAAGGATGTCTCCAGTTGGAATCAGAATGTTGTCGACACCAATGCGCTGGCCGCTGTAGGGCAAGTATAAGGTGTGGTTGAGGGCGGTGTTAGTCTCGTTGTTGGCAAAGCCATCCAGATTCCAGTAAGTATGGCTGCTGAGCATAATGGGGGTCTTCTTTGTAGTGGCGATGGCGACCATCTTGAAATCCCAAGTATAATCATTGACGGTGTAGGTGATATACGAGACTACCTCACCTGGGAAGCCTTCCTTGCCGTCGGGGTCGACGATTGAGAACGTAATGCTGTCCTTGGTGTGTGAGACAACGGTGAAATTCCTAAAGTCCCAGCCGTCGTGACCGCCGTGTAGGGTGTCGGCGCCGTCGGGCGCGGCCGCGGTAGGGTTCTCGTTCGGGTCGACGTTGTAAGTAACACCATCAATCTCGAACGTGCTGTTCTTGATACGATTCGCATAGCGACCGGGGACTCCGCCGAAGTGTGGGTGCTGCTTGTCAACCTCATAGTAGCTGGCGTTGTCAAAGCCACCTACGATGTCTCTCTGGATGCCATACTGGTCATTGATGAGCAATCTGGAGATCGAGGCACCGTATGGGATGAAGGCCGCGTCTAGGCCGTCGCTGCGGATCCAGTACAGACCATTCTCGTCAGGCCCGTTCGTGGCGTAGTCGGCCGAAGCAATTGGGAGCGACAGAGCTCCTAATGCGGCCAGGCTAGAGTTTAGACGCATTCTGGCTCACGGACAACAGCAACAACAAGCGACCTGTGTCAGGTTTCACGATTGGAACGAAACCTGCTGTTGTGCTGATTTGCGGATGGGTTTGGTAGTCGGCGGGAGACTACGACAACAACGACCAAAACAAGGGAGAGACAGGCACGTCACGCAATGCAACCTCGAAGCTGGCTCTGGGGAAGAGGGGAGCTCTTATATACCTACTTAAGGTACCCAGGTAGGTAAATAGGTGTGTTAAAAGCTACCGAGGTAAGCCGTTCGTCGGACCCAGGAAAACCCAGGACTATAAGCATGGGACGATGGGACGACACCGAAGGATGGGATCAACAAAGAGAGCAGCATCAGGCTACGGAATTCATTAATCTTACTTACTTTTTCTAATGTTGCATTTGACTTGACGCAGGCGGGCGGCAGCAGCAGCAGCACGTTGCATTGGCTTGGCCGAGATTGAATCATTTATCCCAGCTCTGGCCAGTAGCATTCATCGTGGGCGGCACTGAGAACGCGGCACTCCACCACTACGACTTCCTTCTAACCTGAGCTGGGCTAGCTTCGAGAGCTACTCCGCCTTCTTGGCATCGTGGGAAAGTTGGGGTCGAGGTCGGGGAAGTTGAACGACAGGGATATGACCAGACTGGCTGACCCGAATCCAGAAGGTCCTTCGTCATCCTTATTCAATCCGCCGTGTTCTCGACGTTCGTGATTCGTCTGCACGCAGACCGGGACATTGGTCGTCAGGTCATCCGGTCATGGCCAGTCTAGGTAGCCTGACCTCCGCACCGTTCACCAAGACCTTGATCCGTAGCCTTGGGTCTACATGTAAATAACTACTACTATACTACCGTATGTACTTTACTAACAGGCACGCCATGGGCTTGATCCAAGCCGTCATCATCGGACCGTTTATGTTGGTCGTGTTAAAAAAGAGTCATATGCACGAGATACTGCAGGAAGATAGATGCCAATTGCCTATTCAATCAACATGATACTACTGTATCTATCTCACCGACTCACCACAAAGGGGCTGCAAGGGAGCGATTTGGTATCAAGTCAGTTATGACGCTGCAAGTCTACATTTAACAAGGTATCCTCTGCTTATTCCTCCCGTAAATGCCACCTCATATATTTCTTCCCCGCTCCGAAGTAAGCCCATCGCATCATCTGCGGCTCAGCCAATGTCTCTCGTATTCTGGAACATTTTAGCATGTACAGTAGGTAAATTCTGACAAGAAGCATGTGTATAAAGGTTCGTCTGAACATCTAAACAAAAGGGGAACACAATCCATCGCCTTGGCAAAGATGCCACGTGCTACTCATACCCATATCACAAGGCAATAAAGGTATACTTGATATATTCTGTATTGTGCCTTGACCTACCTGGTATCGTTCCATCCTCTCCTGCGGTACCTAGGTATCCCCTTCCTACCATGTGAACCCCTGTAGCTTCGCGCAATGCATTACACCGAAGCCATGGCCAATTAAGGAACAGTAGACATGGGGACGATCGGAACCAATACTCTGCGCAACGCTGTCAATGAGCACTCACAGATCAGATAAAAATAAGCCTTTGTTCATTGAAATACTCCATCTCCTTCGAATGAACCCTACCAGGCGCGTCAGTGGACGGAACCAAATTCTGCCACGACCTCACCCCCTGTTGTTGATCCTTACATCTAGTGACATACATCTAGTAACACGTGGGTGCCCCAAGCAGTTGTAATTTTCACTTCAGAATCATACTATACGACAATCAAACAGAGTGCGACCAAGAATATTGCTAAATTTCGATGTCTTGAATGATCATGGAAAATAGAAAAAAGGGCCTTGACCCCGCAATGTACGACACCATCGCTTATAACGATACACACCTATCTAGTCACTGTCCTGCCCCTTGACCTGCTATTATACGTCAACAAGGTTTTCTTCCTCTGGCTCTCCTCCGTCCGTGTCCCGCACGCCCTTGTCATTTTTATCCTTCCCCTTGCCCTTGCGCTCTGTGGAGCGATGGTAGTATTCCTGAATGACCTTGGCTGGGATACGGTTAAGCAGCTCCTTAGGGTAGATGCGCAGTAAGCTCCACGCAATGTCTAGCGAATCGTAGATGGAGCGAGTCTCGTATGCGCCTTGGGCGACGAATTGACGCTCGAACTTTTCTAAGAATTCCAGAGACAGCTTGTCCTCGGCTGACAGCGCCTCCTCACCGACGACTGCCTTCATGGCCGCGGCGTCGCGACCGATGGCATATTTAGCATAGAGCTGGTTGGATACATCACCGTGATCCGCCCGCGTCATACCTTCACCAATAGCCGACTTCATTAGACGAGAGAGTGATGGCAACACATTAATGGGAGGGTAGATGCCACGGTTATCCAGTTGACGATCAACGGTGATCTGGCCCTCAGTAATGTATCCGGTCAAATCAGGGATAGGGTGGGTGATATCGTCGTTCGGCATGGTCAAGATGGGAATCTGGGTAATAGAGCCATTTCGTCCCTCGACACGGCCGGCTCGTTCGTAGATGGTGGACAAATCAGTGTACATGTAACCAGGGAAACCACGTCGACCCGGCACTTCCTCTCGAGCAGCTGAGACTTCTCGGAGGGCATCACAATAGGCGGAGAGATCGGTAAGAATAACCAGTACGTGCTTCTCAAGCTGGTAGGCGTAGTATTCGGCTGTGGTGAGGGCTAAACGAGGAGTAATGATACGTTCAATGCTATGATTGGATTTTAGTATGTGGTTTCAATTGAGCATAGGAAAGGGTCAACGTACGTGGGGTCATTAGCAAGGTTGAGGAACAGAGTGACGCGCTCCAAACTGCCGTTCTCCTCGAAATCGCGCGTGAAGAATCGTGCGGTTTCCAAGTTGACACCCATGGCAGCAAAGACAATAGAGAAGTTTTCCTCGTGGTCATCGTGCACACCCTTATTCGTAGCTCCCTTTTTCTTGACCAAGCCAGCCTGTCGACAGATCTGAGCGGCGATTTCGTTGTGTGGTAAACCGGCGGCGGAGAAGATAGGAATCTTCTGTCCACGGGCAATCGAGTTCATGGTGTCGATAGTTGAGATACCGGTAGAAATCATTTCTTCGGGATACACCTGTTCGTACTGCTTAGCTCACAATCCTGGGTCAGTGTCTCGGGATCTGAGGCGTACTCTCGAATAAGGATTGATAGGGCTGCCGTTGATATCAAGATATTCTTCAGCTAAGACTTTAGGTCCCTTGTCGATAGCTCTACCCGATCCATCGAAGATACGACCCAGCATATCTTCTGAGACACCGAGCTTCAGACTCTGCCCACTAAACTCGACCTTCGTCTTCTTGACATCGATACCGGTTGTACCTTCGAAGACCTGGACCACGGCACGGTCGCCTGTGGAAGTGACAGTGCGTTAACATCGATATCAAGAGCTTTGGGGGCAGCAACGAAAGCTTACCTCGGGCCTCGAGGACTTGACCAGATCGTTCCGTTCCATCGGGGAGTGTAAGAGTGACGATTTCATTGTATCGCGGGTGCTTTACGTTTTCGAGGATAACCAGGGGGCCGTTGACACCAGCGACTGTGTTGTAGCGAACCCGAGGCACAATAGAGTACGAGGAAGACTCTCGAGGATCCATGGCGCCAGTCACTGATGGAGAGCAAGATTGAGCGCCGGTAAGGAGTCCGTTATGGGAGGTGGAGAGGCGAAGGAGAGGTTTTCGAGAGCTCCCGGTCAAAGCTTGGTAGACCCAAGGCGAAGATGTAGGCTGTCGAGGTTGAGGCAAGCAGCAAGCTTCAGCCACTAATCCACGGGAGGTGTTGACGTTGTAGGTTAAGGTAACACTGTAGCAGATAACCAGCCACAGCTGAACACTGCGAGCCTTTTAACAGCACCTGGCAATCATTTCTTTTTCGGGCAGGGCCTAGATAGCGTGTCTAGGTGGGGTCTATCTAGGCCTTCAGGCGTTGTACCTAGGCGCTATGCTACGGACTATTTAGTGCCTATACCTACATATGTAGGTACTATGTACCTATCTATCAGCATGTGCCTTAACTTTTTCATGATATATAAAACTTATCTTATAAATTAGAGAGATAAAAGTTGATATAGACGAGACATCGCGAGAAAAGAAAGAAATAAATAAATAAATAACGAGTGCAGAATGGTATAGGTAGGTATTCGATGTAGATGCGCGGTAGCAGAGTGATCAAGATGGATTTGTTCACCTGCTTGGCTTCACATTACCCACTACGTTCCCCAGGTCCTGATTCTGCCCTGACATCTTTTGTTCATAAGCCTAGGAGGCAAATGAGCGGTTAATCACTTCCATCATATAGCCTTGAAACTGGCTTAAACCGCCGGTATGATTGCAATCGATTGCAATTTCTGGGGATATCTCCAACCCTCCACCCCACACTAGGTCCCTGGTGACCTCATGCGTGATAGTTACCTCCTGGTTACATATAGCTACCTACCTACTCTAGGTAGCTCGAGAGCTTGAGCCGTGAATGGCCGAACGTTTCCAGTTCCCACGCCACCTCTTTCACGTCTACCTAGGATTTGACCTCGAACCGAAACCAGGGCATTGACAGCATATTCCATATGATCCATTGAGACTCTCCGGCCGCCCTTCAGTAACTCAGGCGGCGAGCGAGATAACCTCAAGATGGCGTCGCTACGTCCCTCGATTCTCTTGGCCCGTCTCCGAACTCCCCGCGCATGCTCTGCTTCGTTGCGACGCTTTGCGACTGCCTCGGATGTACGAGGCCAGCCCCAGCAACAACCTGACAATCATGTGCGAGTAGTCGAGGTTGGACCCAGGGATGGTCTGCAAAACGAGAAGAAGGCCATATCTGTAGCAACTAAAATCGAATTGATCGAGAGGCTGGCGAAGACCGGTGTCTCTGTCATTGAAGCAGGATCGTTTGTCTCCCCAAAATGGGTACCACAGGTTGGGCTTACTGCCTGGATTCGAAGTGAATACGTCCGACTGACAGTTGTATACTTATAGATGGATAATTCTAGCCAGATCATGGAGCATATTCTAACGAAGAACATACCCTCACCCTCACCAATTACCTATTCCTTCCTTGCTCCGAATGCGAGGGGCGTCGCCGACGCAACGGCTATTCTACAGAAACACCAAGGCGCATACCTCAACGAAAACGACGCATCAAAGGGTGGGGATGGTAAGCCCATGATGGAGCTTGCCGTATTCGCCGCTGCCACCGAGAGCTTTTCACAGAAGAACCTCAACTGCGATATTGCAACATCCCTGGAAAGGTTCAAGGACGTCATCCAAGGCGCTAAGCAAGCCGGGATTCGGGCTCGAGCATATATTTCAGTAGTACTAGGATGCCCTTTTGAAGGATACGATGTCGACCCGCACAAGGTGGCTGAGATTGCCGCCTCGCTTCTCGAGATGGGAGCCGATGAGATCTCCCTTGGCGATACCACCGGCATGGGAACTGTGGTGCGCACTCAAGCGTTGTTGCGGTGCATAACCGCTGCGGGTATTCGAACCGAGGATATTGCAATGCACTTTCACGATACATATGGGCAAGCCCTAGTCAACACTGCCGTTTCGTTGGAACATGGAATCAGAACCTTTGACAGTTCAGTGGGTGGCCTGGGCGGCTGCCCTTACAGCCCAGGGGCCACCGGAAATGTGTCGACAGAAAATATGGTATACTTCTTAGAGACCCTAGGAATGAACACAGGTATTGACCTTGATGCTATGGCGGATATTGGACAGTGGATTACTGGAGAGCTCGAGAAACCGAACGACTCCGTTGTCGGAAAAGCAGTGCTTGGAGCCCGCAAAGCCGCGGCAAATACGTCTACATAACACAGTTCAATCCAAATTTATATAACACGTAGCGATTTCATAACTATCATCAGAGCGTTAAGGCATACAAAAGTTTTTTGAACCCTACTTCTCCTTTGACTGTGCTCGAGTAGATGGGAGTGCCACTGCAATAGCATCAGCAGCGTTTCAAGTTCTATCATGGAACCATCGAAAGAAAATCGGTTTCTTTGACTAATATCAAAACTGTTCAGCTATCTACCCTACAGGAAAATTCTCATAGCTATTCCCATGCCATTGTACAAACAATACGATGTACTACCCAAAGCCTCATGGATTGCTCAACATTCTTTCCTCCAATACAAACTGCAAGTGATGCAGCGAAAGAAGCAGAACATAAGAGGGATACTCCAAAATCCTTCGATACTCTTCTTCCAGTACAGTACAGTAGTGCGGGTTCCTGCGAACTTGGCAGAGTTGGAGACTATAAGGATTATAGTATTATAAGCACTCGCACTCCCTCGTCCTATAGGAATCAAGGATAATATCCGAACGGTGACAGACTTTTCGGAATTGTAGTTTTTCTAGTCATATACATAGACTCAGAGATGGGAAGCTTTCTTTGATGCCATCACATCTAGCACAATATTCATATTTTCATTTAATGGTTACTTACACTAGCGCGAGGGAGGTCAGCGGAGACCATCACGGTAACTATCTTGAAGTTAAAATCTGTGACGACTTTTACGCGGTAACCGTCTACGAAATATGACTCTCACAAGATGTCCAAATACCTGGGACGATCCCGGAGGCCTTAAGACCGTCACGGTGACCATCTCTGCTACCCCCTCCTTGGCGCTAGGGTGCTTACCAACATCATCATTATATACTACCACAATGCCACTGCAGGTACCCTACTCCCTCACTGTTAAATAAAGCCTCAACTTGAATCACTATATTGATCGTCGGTCGACTGTTGGCAAGATATATAAAGCTTACAGGGCATCACAACCAGGGCGCGCCTCTAAATCCCTGTCTAGTTCCATCTACTACGGCATAGTCTAGACCTGCTAGGTAGGTTCGATCTCCATTGTAAAATAACCAACAATAGTTAATTACTACGGGGCCCAAGAATGATCACTTTCCCGCGGCCGAAGGGCGCCGAGAGAATTAACTTTTTGTCCCCCCATATCGGGTATGCTATCTTCAGGCAGATGGTTCTACTCTTGATTATTCCCGTCTGCGTCTTACACGTTACCGTCTGTACTATTTCGTTCGGAATTTAGAGTTTACGACGGAGACGGAGCTCTCTTTGCCAGGCAATCAGGATTATCTCCGGTGGATTCCGTAGGTTACCGAAAGCGATTTCATAGCCAAGCCAAGTCAGGGGTTATGGATAAGTCAAGCACCCGGCACTGGCTGGATCGCTACGGGAAGGGATATCACGCCTGGGTCAGGAAGGGAGACGAATTCATCAGACCATGTGGCTTGTGTGAATTCAAATTCGACTGTGACGGCCGCTACTTCGGAGGCAGGGCCGATGTCAACGGCCTCCTAAAGTTAAATGTCTCGACCCGACTCTCGGGAGAACAACTCCGGCACCACGTCGTGCTTGCATTCACGCTGTTGCGTCTGCGACATTGCTTGCTCGCCGCTAGAACCGAGCTGCGTACCCTCGAGGTCGAGCCTTGGTTTCTGGTGGGAATTCCCCGTACATCGGATGCGGCTATACGGGACGCGGGCTCGGCCCTCCAGTTCCTAGACCCAGCCGTTGACGGAGTATCAGACATGGATGATTTCTATGTCCACGCGCAGAATGTAGCACGTATCGTGAAGCCAAGCGAAGCCATGGCTCGAGTATTCGTGCTACCGAGGAAAGGGGAGGGTAATATACAAGCGCTACAATTCCTGTTTGTGATGGCTCATCAAATCACCGATGGTTTGTCTTCTATGAATTGGATGGCCGATTTCGTACGCATCCTTAACATGCCCACGGAAGAACTCCGCCGGGAGATCGAAATGGCGATTTCGCCCGAGTCGATACGAGCAAAGTTACCTCCAGCCCAGGAAGACCTATACGCTCCCGTGGCCGCAACCACGGCTCGGGAGAGATGGTTCTGGGCGATTACACTCATACTGCGGCACGTGGAAAAGCCGATGCCTGCAGCATTCCCGAATCCGCTGCACCGGGATACCCGACTATCTAAGCCACGTCCTTTCGCTCTCAAATACCCCAATGCTCTGGATTACTCCCAGACCCCTCCCCTTAATACTTTCTACGTCAGACTACAGCTCTCCCCAGCCGCAAGTAAACGCCTATATCGCTTATGCAAGGAAGCGAAAGCCAGCATCGGAGCCGGTGGCTTCGTGCTCGTAGGAATGGCCATGATGGCGATCCACGAAGAGCGATTCCCTAACAAGCCGGACGCCGCACGGCGTCCCTTCGTCGGCAGCTTCCCTCTTAATCCCCGCGTATTCTTCGGCGCCAAGAATATCCTGGAGAGTGTGATGCTGGCCTTTTCCAAGGGCATCGTCCTGCCTTTTCTCCCATCACACCTCGACGTAGAGGGTAGGTTTAGGCTCCTCGTTCGTCAGGCGAGTAGACAGCTTTCTGCATACCAGAAAAGAGTCAAACTGCACAATGACAACGAAGCCGTGTCGTATATGGGAATCAAAGGCCCAGGTCGACTCCTCGCGACAAACTACATCGATGGCATAGAGAGGTTGCGAGACACCTTGCCCCCTCGGCTGAAAGATGCCCTACCACCGCCGCAGGGCGAATATGTAGTGCCGTCGTGGGCGGTCAGTAGAGCGACATGTGGTGTCAGTAGTATTGGCGCCATCGACTGGTCCGCTTCAAAGCATGACTTGGGCGCCGACCCTGGCGAGGAGAATGTCGTAGCTAGCATCGAGCGCTTCACCTCAGGCGTCCGTGTGCGTGAGACCGAATTTCTCGTCGGCACCTGGAGCGAGGATGGCATCATTGGCGCCGGTGTTAGCTTTGATGGGAACTTCATCGACGAGGACAGTGTGCAATTGTGGGTTGAGAAGATGAAGTCGATATTAGATGTGTCAGATGATACGTCGAGCTTGAGATCCCGTCTCTGAAGCTCCTAACGTAACTGTATTTCTTCTATTCGTGTGTAAATATACCCAATTATAAATACGACTCTATACATTATTATCATGCAAAGTTGCTAACAACACCCCGATACCTTTTCAAGGACAATAAGCCTCTTGTGGCTCACCTGAAGCCAGATCTTCACCCATCTTTCGAAGTCGATCTGATATCTCAGCAGAAACGCCATCTCTTTGACGGCGTCCACGTGGGGCGCTATCACGACAGAGTAACTAGATAGACTACGTGAGTTGAAGGAGGGGGGCAGTAGGACGATGTTGCTCGCTCTATGTCTCAATAGCACTGGCAGGCCATTAAGAATTTGACGACAACACACGTTCTGTGCCTATCCACTAATCTCCCAAACGTCCTCCTCGGCGCTCTCCTCTTGTAAAGCACCCGCCATGTCTACTTCCAACAATGACATAGCGCTTCCAAATGGCGTTATGACTTGCCGCAGCCGCAACCTTTTATCTGCCGCCACCAGCAATGCCCGCCACTGGTCGAGGTCTCTCTCATGGCCGTTGAAGACCTGCATCATGGTCATGTCACGCACACGCACGACACGCTCCACCGAGCAGGGAACCTGCCCCGGCGTTGGTAAAACTGTGTCCATGATCAGGAGCCTCGCGGCCCCCTTGGCTAGGACGGGTACCAGGTTTTTCAGGATCGTGACTGCTGTATCGTCAGGCCAGTCATGGAGGATCATGCGCAAGAGGTAGACGGCACCGTCAGCGACGGGCTGTGGCTGCGTGAAGTCGTGACCTTGAAAGACAATGCGCGAAAGGACATGGGCCGGCAACGTTGCCTCGGCGGCCTGACGCCCAGCCTCTGCATTGACGGGGAGGTCCTGCACGATGACAGTGAGCTCGGGGAAGCCTCGCGCGAGGGCGATGGCTGCATTCCCTGTTGAGCCCCCGACATCGACGACTGGCCCACGCCCGAGGCCTGCCCAGTGGTATCCGTTCACCAAGTGCTTGACATCCATGGCTTCACTAGTCGTCACGTTGCGCATATATCCAGCAAACTCGGCCGCGTTGGCGGCATCTAAGGCGAGGTGGTCGAAGAAGGGCAGCTCGGTGCCGAAGGCGATGTTGTAGGCGGTCTCATTCCGAACGGTACTGGCGGGTGTGAAGCGGTCGTGTGCTGTGGTCATAGCAAGAGCTGTAGGTGCTGAGCGCTTGGAGAGATAGGACGCCCAGGAATGCACGTCTGCGTCTTGTGCCAGCAGAGCTGAGGTGGCCGAGTGGCCGACTTGGTTCGGTTCGGGTTCACGGAACAGGGCTGAAGTCATGACCATACGAACGATGCTCCGAAGACGTGCTACAGGGACAGCGATGCCGCTACTGGCCCGTTTAGATGCCGCTGCAGCTAAGTCCTCGTAAGAGATGGTTCCTGATGCGGGAACGAGATGGAAAATATCGAAGTGAAGTAGCCAGCTAAGGCAGGCCACATACTGGAAACCGGGAGCGAGATTAGGAACGAACTCGCTGGGTCCTGCAGCAAGCTGGAAAAGCTCCAAGGCAGAAGACATAAGACCATGCCGTGCCTGTTGGATGTTACGCGGTGCAGCCTTGGGAAGAGTGCTGCGTGGGCCATGAGATTCATGCGATGGTTGTGGCTGATCATGAGCCGCGAGATACTGGCTCACTATGATGGCGTTCTTGGTACATCTTAAGGCGAGTTCCTCTAAGGGGAACAAGGGTTGCCTTGCTTGCGAGGTTGGTGCCGAATTCAAGGAGTTCTTGATAGTGGCAAGGTTTGGAGGCATGGTGAGCTTCGGTGCGTATCAGACTTTGAGAGTACCTAAGATATGCCATATTGCAAACCAACAGTACTAATGTAGGGGAAAGCGCAGACCAATACAGCTGAGTTATGCTACAAAGCACCGTTCTATGAAGCCTTCACAAGCCGTTACTTGATACACGAAACATAGTCGACGATAGAAAGGCAGATCTCGGGGTGTTGCCAGTGTGGCGCGGGCTCCTTTTGCTTACCCGGTCTATACGCCCCGAACCCATTCGGGCCCCTGACTGCCTACCGGACATTAGACGCAGCGCGGCTGGGGAACATTGCTGTCTACTCTGGTACATCCTATGGAACTTGCCGCTGATCTCATAGCCGAAATGATGGCTCCTGAATTATGAGCGTTCGCCTTTCGCAGTCTAATTAGTTGACAGAAACTCTACCATGTTCCAGATATACCAGCATCCGCTGTTATATTATGTGCTCATATTGACGGAAAGGCCTTGCTCAGCACCGTTCTGACTTCCACACCATTCAAGATTCGATAATGTGTTCAGGGGCATGTTTCTTGGTCTCTGAACGATATCAAAGCAATGCCAGGTAGGAGAATTGAAAAGCCATAATTCGTTGTCATTATGCCGATGTACGTGGATCTCTCTCACTGCGAGGGGCCAGGAATGTTTTCATGCAGTACAGACAAGCCCGATCTCGCTTTCTTCAAGATATGTCCGTGCTCAGTCCAGAGCCAAGCGCCTAAGCTCTCAAACAAGGCTGTATCTCCCTGGCAAGCTCCTAGCTCCTCGCCTATAGAACAAGCAGCATTTGTATTCTGCAATTCGGACCTGCCGATACACATGAACATGTCAATCAGCGCCCCAACCTTCCTAAGCTCGCTCAAAAGAAGACAATTCGTTAGAGCAGTCTGAAGATTCCGGTCATCGGTTTCAAAGGTGCCAACCGTGACGGGCATGGCGAGAACTGAGACACCACCGCCAATTTCATCGGCCGTCTCCGCAGCGCCGGCCTTAGTCAAGCTACTGCCCGAGACAAATGGCATTGGCTCCTCCGCTGCTGGCGTGGGCGATGCCCCAGTAGTAGTTGCGTTCCAGGCAGCCTGACGATACCACAGCAGCATACGTGACATGATGGAAGCATATAACATAGCCATGTGCGGCGAGCGGGCGCAAGGGCACTTGAGGAGTAGTTCCAGGCGCCTCACAACGTCGCGGCTGCGTGTCAGGATAGAGCCTAGGTCTAATGTACGTGCCAGTACGCCGTCAGAAACAGGAGTAAAAGGGTTAGAGCAATACAAGACGCGCATGATATCCTTAAGCTCTTGAGCGCAGCTATGTCGCTGCGCTGTTGCGCCTGTGACCGCGTTCGGTGTACTGCTATTTTCAGCCGGTTTTGGCGTCGCCCTCGAGTCGCATTGCCAGGTCAGTCCTGTGGTATCCTGGTCAGACAGGTTTGGCGTGAGCACACTGAGGTCGCCAAGGCTGCCAAATGGAAACTGGGCTTGGAAGCCTATGTCAGTTGCAGAGAAGTCAGGAGTGATCGGTAAGGTGCCCTCAGCTAAACCAAACATGAGGTCGACGTTTGTCGCCCTCTTCTCAGACTCGCTGGGCGACGTAACAGGGGGCCGTCGTCGCGGGGGCTTTCCAGACTTTCTCGACACTCCATACACGCATTTGATGCCCTGGGAAACACACCGCGAGCAGGCCGGTCGTCTACGATCGCACTTGGTCTTAGTTCTGGCACGTAAGCCGCTCGTCACACAGTTTAGGAGTGGGCGTTGGTCTCGCACCTTTGCTTGGCCACAGGCGTCACAACTAGACCGGAGCTTCAAATGTGATGCTGGAGCTTGTGACCGGGGCGCAAATGACTCGTGCTGATATGCAAACATGTCGGAATCTAGTTGGAGGTGGCCGTCGTTGGCATAACCCTCGGATGCTAAGACGTTGGCGAACATGCCTGTGTTTTCCATAACGCCTGACTACATGACAAAACCTAATGCATTTCGCTGCCTATCTCAACTGGCTGTTGGTTGTACGTACTTGGTTTGTTCGAGACGGGGAGCTCGAGGGAAGAGGACTAGGTAGAATGCAAGTCACATTTACGTGCGGCTCAGTACGGAGTATTCATGATGTACAGGCGCATAAAGCCGTTGCCTACAGCTCACAGACACCATCAGCAAAGTGGCTTGCGGCAACGTGCAAATTAACCAATGCCACGGCATGTATGAAAATCGGCAAAGTGTTATTGGCTGTTTTCTTTTTGCGTTCGTTTGTAAGCAGCAACAGCGAATCAGCGCCGTGCCACTCAATGCGCGACAAGCTCTGAATGCCACGGCACGGTTTATACTACGGCGAGGACTCAAGTTTAAGATTCAGCCTTACTAAGGCTAATAATAACCAGCTACCGTGACGTCTAAGCTGTGGCCTACGTCCGCCACATCATTGTCCGATCACTTTGTGCAACCAGGCGCAAGGCTGGGCCCTGGGTCACTACAGCCTGCTGCTATCGGATTTACAGCTGATAAGCAGGAGATGACGACACCCAGAGAGGATTTCCGGAGGATTCCCGGAGGATGGTGTGTAGAGCAGTTCAGAGTGAAGTCGTCGTCAAGCTATGGCAAGTGAACTCTCCGTGATACCAGGGGAGGTGCGCTGCAAGCAGTTGGCCGAGTTCTCCGGGTCTGACCCGGGAGATGGTGCTTCTGGTGTTCGGGACATTACACGAGCTGGTAGAGTAGAACACCCGCCGAACATTTCTTACGCTTCGCGATATGGAGATACCTCTTCCATGCCCGGACGTTCTCGCTGCAAAGACGTTCGGGCATGAAGTGTGATTTCTACATAGACTGACAGTGTGCCCGATGCCAATGGCCTTTCGTAGTACGGTTATAAGAGCCATATCGTGTCTAACCTACCACAGTAGCACGGGACAGCTGCCGGCACTCCCAATACCCAGCCTGAAATAATCGCCTTATTTCTATTCAACATGAGTTATCAGAAAACCCTGTACCTGTTCGGGGACCAAACTTTCGACGTTGAACCGCATATGGCCCAGTTGCTGTCTGCGGGAAATAGCAACGTGGTGTTAAGGGACTTCCTCGATAAGGCGTACAAATCGATCCGTCTGCAGATCTTCCAGCTTCCTGAGAACGTATATGGAGAGCTGCCTAGATTCACGAGCATAGAAGATGTGCTTCTTTGGAAACAGTCCAAGGAGCGCAGCCGTTGTGTGCCGTTGGACATGGCTATGGCCTGTCTGTACCAGCTGGGGTCTTTTATTATTAGGTAAAGTTTACCGTAAAGCTTACAAAATCTTGGTGGGCTAATAGCTTCTTAACCCAATAAAGCCAAAAGGAAAGGGAGTATCCCAAGCCCAATGATACGTGTATTGTTGGGCTTTGCACCGGCGCTTTGGCCGCCGTGGCGATCAGCAGTAGCGAGAGCCTGCAAGAACTGATTCCAAGGGCTGTTGAAGCCGTGGCGATCGCATTTGATGTCGGCTCATGCGTATCGAATATGAAGACACGCTTCGTAGCACCAGAGGAGATGTCCCGAACGTGGTCCATCGTGGTGGCTGGGCCGTCAGCTGATTTAGCAGTACGCAAGTTCTGCGAAGATAGTACACTTCCGGTAACTGCACGACCATTCATTAGCGTGTATACACCTAGTGGTTGTGCTGTGAGCGGTCCGCCAAGTTCGCTTGATGAACTCACTTCATCGGCGTATTTCCAGGGATTGAAGCATAAGGCCAAGGCCGTGTATGCTCCTTATCACGCACCGCATCTATATTCGGCTGCAGACATAAAGGAGCTAATGGCATCCTTCGAGACGGCGAGTTGGTCACAGACTTTCACCCAGATCCCTATCATATCAAGCAATGGCAAGTGGATGGAAGGGTCGAACTTCAAGGATCTCCTCACAGTGGCTCTAGAAAACATCCTCCTCCAGCCCGTTGACTGGAATAACATCCTTGACAGCGTGCGAACTAGCCTTGAGCCATCAGGCGAAATGTCCGACTGCAAGGTCGAATCCTTCGGATCTCGCGCAGATCAGCTTATTTACACGGCATTCAAGCGTCCACCTGCGCTTGGCCAGTCATTGACGTCCCAACTGTCGACTGAGAGACTGCCATACCACGTAGGGAACAATAAGGAATGTGGAAGTCAAGCTCGGCCCAAAATTGCTATCATTGGGATGTCGGGAAGGTTTCCAGGCGGCGCCAATAATACCATGGCATTCTGGAACTTGCTTAGACAGGGACTAGATGTTCACGAGCCAGTTCCTCCTACGCGCTGGTCTAGAGCACATGTTGACGAGACGGGAACTCGCAAGAATACCAGTGCAACGCCTTTCGGTTGTTGGCTGAGCGACCCTGCTGCATTTGACGCTCGCTTCTTCAACATCTCCCCACGGGAGGCACCTCAGATTGACCCTGCGCAGCGTATCGCTCTAATGACAGCGTACGAAGCCCTGGAGCAGGCTGGCATCGTGCCGGATACTACACCATCAACAAGAAGGGATCGAGTAGGGGTCTTTTATGGCGTCACGAGTAACGATTGGATGGAGACGAACAGTGCCCAAAATATTGATACATACTTTATCCCTGGAGGCAATCGAGCTTTCATTCCCGGTCGAATTAATTACTTCTTCAAGTTTAGTGGCCCGAGTTATGCTGTTGATACGGCCTGTTCTTCTAGTATTTCGGCTATTCATATAGCTATCAACTCGCTTTGGCAACGGGATGTTGATATGGCTATCGCAGGGGGAACTAACGTATTAACCAACCCCGACTTCACTGCTGGGCTGGATCGCGGCCACTTCTTATCTCGCACGGGTAATTGTAAAACGTTTGACGATTCGGCTGACGGGTACTGCCGAGGCGAAGGTGTTGGTACTGTGGTTCTTAAGCGGCTTGAAGATGCTATTTCTGAAAAGGATCCCATTTTAGGCGTGATCCTCGGCGCATCGACAAACCACTCGGCCCAAGCTGAAAGCATTACGAGGCCACATACCGGTGCGCAGCGAGATATCTTCTCCAAAATCCTTAATGCAAGCACGATCGACGCCAGCAGCGTGGGTTACGTCGAAATGCATGGTACGGGGACGCAAGCAGGCGATGCCACCGAGATGTCCAGTGTTCTTCAAGTATTTGCGCCCCAGGATCAACTCGTTCGCCCCAACCCCGTCTTTCTCGGCTCAGCTAAATGTAACATCGGGCACGGTGAAGCAGCTTCGGGGGTGTCGAGTTTGATCAAGGTTTTATTGATGATGAGGAACAATTTGATACCGCCGCAGTAGGTACTTCCGAGTCCCATCATATTTTGTGCATGAAGCTTTTGGAAGCTGGCACTGTCAGTCTAGGCTCCTCCTAGAGATACAGGCACGGAGTCGACCATATATCCTAAAGATTAAGAGAAGAAGTGTATACTAATCCCTGTGTAATGTAGTACCGGTATCAAAACCAAGATCAACCACAACTTCCCAACGGACCTAGCTGAAAGAAATGTCCATATTGCAAAGGAGGCAATCGTGTGGCGTGCTTCAGATTCATTGCCTAGGCGGGCATTCGTGAACAATTTCTCGGCTGCCGGAGGCAACTCAGCTCTCCTTTTGGAAGAGCCACCGATGTCAGAACATGCTGACCACGATCAGAACACCAGCAATGCCAACCTCGTTGCCATTTCGGCCAGGACAGCGGCCTCCCTTCAGGGCAACCTTTTGTCGTTGAAGAGGTTTCTACTAGGGAGTGTCCCACAGAATGATACGCAGGGCATTTCGATAGGGCAGCTCTCATATACGACAACCGCCCGGCGCATTCACCATCCGCACCGTGTTATGCTCGTCGGGTCCTCGGTCAATGAACTTCTTGCGCAGATAGAACTCGCCCTTCGTGATCGGACGGGCATGACACGGCCAAAGCATAGGTCACCCAAGATTGTTTTTGCATTCACTGGACAGGGCACGCAGTTCCCTGGTATGGGCCGCCAAATGATGGAGGCATTCTCATTGTTCCGCAACGAACTCCGCCAGCTCGATCACATTTCTCGTAGCCTTGGTTTCCCGTCCATCATGCCCGTATACATGACCACAGAGTTGCAGTCCCTGGACGAGCTCCCCCCACTGCAAGTCCAGCTGGCTAGTGTGTGCATGCAAATCGCGCTGGCACGGCTTTGGGCTTCCTGGGGCATCATGCCTGGGGCTGTTGTAGGTCATAGTCTAGGGGAATATGCGGCGTTGAATGTTGCAGGTGTTCTGTGCGACTCAGACACCATCTATCTCGTGGGCACACGGGCTACACTTCTTCAAGATCTCTGCACTCGTGGGACACATTCGATGCTAGTTGTCCGAGCTTCGACTGATACCATTGAAGCTACACTAAAGAACACCCCGCATCACATCGCTTGTATAAACTCGCCTATTGAGACAGTCTTAGCTGGCCCGGACGACGAGATATTTGTAGCAAGGGGGATATTAATCGATGCTGGCATCAAAACAACCAAGCTCAAAGTTCCCTATGCCTTCCATTCATCACAAGTCGACCCCATCCTAGCACCATTCGAAAAGGCTGCTGCGTCCGCTCGTTATCTCCCTCCTAGGTGTCCGGTTCTATGTCCATTGAACGGTCTCGTCGTTACGAACGAGGGAATATTCGGGCCAGCTTATTTGAGCCGCCATTGCCGCGGACCTGTGAATATGATGCGGGCTCTTCAGTTGGCTCGCCATCATGATACCATGACAGAGCAGTCTATTCTCCTCGAGGTTGGGCCCCATCCGGCCGTTTCGGGCATGGTAAAGGCGACATTAGGCCCAAAGATGACAGTTATTTCCGCATTGAGTCGTGGCTCATCCCAGGACGTGCTGGCTGAAGCTTTAAGGGTGGTCTATCAAGCTGGTGCCGATCTCGCATGGGCAGTATACCAAGAAAACTTCAAGGCCTCACAAAAGGTCATCACCGACTTGCCAGCTTATAGCTGGGACTTGAAGGATTATTGGCTTCAATATGTCAATGACTGGTCGCTGCGCAAGGGTGACCCCGCCCTCGTCACCCAAAAACATGAGCAGAAGAGGGAGCTTGAGAGTACCACAATCCACCGTATCGTGGAATCATCAATATCTGCAAATGGTGCAAAGGAAAAAATCATCGTTGAAGCAGACATGATGCGGCCCGATCTAAACCGTATAGTGCAGGGGCACATGGTTGATGGCATACCGCTGTGCACGCCGTCGGTATATGCCGATATGGCTCTCACGCTGGGTAGGTATCTCCTTGAATGCCGGCAAAAAACTGCATCAAAAGTCAGATACAAACATGTCGATGTCGTAGATATGACTGTGTCCAAGGCCCTTATTGCTAAGACGCAAGGTTCACAATTACTCCAAGCGCAGACTGAGGTAGATTGGGCCAAAAATGAAGCTGCAGTGAAATTTGTCAGTTTCGACGGTAAAGGAAGGACGCAAGAACATGCTAAGTGCACCCTCCGGTTCGCAGACCCCTCGATCCTCTTGGATAAGCTACAGGATAAATCGGCCTGGATCAAGTCACGCATGCATGATCTCCGACGGGGCATCGTCAAAGAGACTACCGTCCGTTTCAACCGGCCTATGGTCTATCGTATGATCCGCCCCCTCGCTCAGTTCCATGACGATTACCGCACCATCGATGAGGTTGTCCTTAACAGTGCTACACTCGAGGCCTCTGCCTCTGTCAATTTCGGCAACATTCAGAAGGGTGGTGAATTTGCTCTACACCCCGCCATCATCGACGCTTTTACACAGTCCTGTGGGTTCACCATGAATTGCAATGATCATACCGATCTAGATAACGAAGTTTTCATGAATCATGGTTGGGGCAGCTTCCAGGTATTCGGAGATGTGCATTTCGATCGTTCATATACTTCATACACACAGATGTTTGAAGGCGAAGACAAACTCTGGCACGGAGATGTAGTGATCTTTGATGGTGAATTGATTGTGGCTGCATTTCAGAAGATCACTATCCAGTGCGTTCCGAGACGAGTCCTAGGGGTTATCCTTTCATTAGAGGCCGGCATAAAATCACAGAAGGCCACCTCCGCCTCTCTACGAAAGTCAATGGCTTCTGCAGAGGCCATCAACTCCACCGATACCATCCACAATCGTATGGGAGATGAAAGTCGCCAGGCAAAACCCGCCCAGAAAATTGAGCCTAGTGCCACCAAAATCTCATCTGCCTTAAGAATTATCTCGGAGGAGAGTGGAGTTGCCTTAGCCGAACTCACAAATAACAGTACTTTTGCTGACTTCGGGGTCGACTCGCTACTCGGATTGACTATCTCGGCACGTTTCAGAGAGGAGTTAGACTTGGATCTTAAGTTCGACGATATCTTCATAGCATATCCAACAATCGGAGATCTAATGGGCCTAATCGAATCCGTAGGGAAATCTGCTGTTAAAGCTGGAGAGCAACATAAACCGGTGTCTGTATCTTCACTCTCTTCAGGGTCTTATTTCGAGGCAATAGAAGAGTTAGAAGCTACTTCGGTGTCAGATGAGGTGTTAACGGGCGGCAACCTTGGAAAAATTCTCGACTTCGACCGTGCCCTTGAAATCGTCTCAGAAGAAAGTGGCATTCCTCGGGAAGAGTTGAACGATGAATCAAGCTTCATTGATACGGGCATCGACTCACTCCTATCGCTCGTAATCGTGAGCCGTTTCCGTGAAGAGCTCGAGCTGGATATTCCAATGGATTCTCTGTTTGTCAAATGTCCTACTGTTGCCGACCTCAAATCAGCCTTGATGGGTACGTCATCGACAACCTCCTCGCCCAGGGTAAGGGTCTTTTCGGAGATACAGGAAATTACACATGAGCCTCTGGTTCTGAGTGAGGAGGTTTCTGGTATGGCTATACAAGTACATCCCAGCGTTATCACTCCTTCGTCATCTGAAACCGACTCAGACACCGACGAAGCCGAACAGATACCACTCCCTGTGACCGTACCTCGGGCTACATCACTCGTCCTGCAAGGAAATCCGAATACTGCCACTAAAACCCTTTTCCTCTTCCCTGACGGTTCCGGCTCTGCGTCCTCGTACGCGGCCATTCCCGCGCTAGGTGCCGATACATGTGTAGTGGCCATGAACTCGCCATTTCTCAAGCAAGCTGACAAGTTACGCGCCGCCCGCCTCGACGATATCATTGTCGACGGCTACATAGCCGAAATCCGACGCCGCCAAGCCTTTGGGCCGTACCACCTCGGCGGCTGGTCGGCCGGCGGGATCCTCGCCTACCGTGCCGCACAGATCCTGATTGATACCCAGGAGGTGGTCCTCAGCTTAAGCCTGATCGACTCGCCGCCCCCACTGAACGGCCTTGACTACCTTCCGCCGCACTTCTATGAATATTGTGAGAGCCTTCACTTGTTTGGACATAAAACATCCGCTGCCGGGGGCAGCGGCAAGCCGCCTGCTTGGCTTATCCCGCACTTCAATGCTACCATCGATCTCCTGCACGAGTACCATCCCACGCCTGTACGGTCAAGGCGGCCCTCAGATGGACCGAATGTAAGTATCATTTGGGCAGCCTCTTGTATTTTTGATAACCCCCATCTACCGAAGCTGGCCCCTCGCCCTGATGACACTGAGGGGATGAAGTTCTTGCTGGAGCGGCGGACGGATTTTGGGAGCAATGATTGGGAGACCCTGTTCCCCGGTCGGGGACAGGATATCCGGATTGATAGAGTTTCAGGTGCCCATCACTTCTCAATGATGGTGAGTTTGAGCCTCCTGCCTATGCTCAGGCTTGTGCTGTTTTGTGCTTTTATCTTTTGATCAGTCACACTGAATTCTCGATTACATATAGCGCGAACCATATTCAAAGGAGCTGGCCAAATTCCTTGCCAAAGCTATGGCATAAGTAAGTCAAATTGTAATAGGATACTGGCAATTTCCTTTGTCAATTGTCTAGGTGGTATCAGCGAAAGGGGGATCTAGCTCAGACACAATAAAGCATGCTTCCATTGAACCGTCCTCAACTAGCTATATTGGCTTAATAGAGAATATGTCTATATTCCGCTTGATATTTGACTTCATACGGCGTATACAGTAAGGTACATGATCAACATTCCCTCATGAGAGACTCACCTTGTTGATAAGTAGATGTGTCCGCCCTCGTGAAGCAAGAAAGAGCGCAAGCTGTCTCGAACCCCGAAGATGGGCATCATGTAGGTGTCACTGCATAGCCAATACTGAGAAACAGGCGGTTGGATCTGCCATTCTGTTACCCGTGTCGCATATTTGGCGATGTACGCATCTATATCGTGAATACGATTAGTTGTTATACGGCTCCCATCCTTAGCCTGCATTATATAACGAGAAAAACTATACCTACATAGTATAATAATTGTACAGGTGATCCACGCTGCTTTTCCACTAGACACTTAAGGGATGACATCATGTATGTATAGGTTATAGGTAAGTAGCGGGGTCTCTATAGGCAGTTACCACCTACCGGTACCTAGGTACACTGTGTATATGTTAGGTAGCCACAGTGCTAGAGCATTCGGGCAATCTTCCCATCTACAATTTCATTGCAATAACAATGGCCATACCTTGGTAGTCTTATTCTTCCTACACTGGCAAGATCTTGCTCAACTCGGAAGTTTCATTTCACCTTGCAATCCCAAGCTACATCTAAAGCATGTGGAGATTTGCGAGGCACTATGTCATATGACAGACTCTGTATGTGTTGTCACGCAGACTTCGTCAAATGAATTGCGCCAGTATTGTGCCAGTCTCAAACTCACAGAATCGAGACTACCCAGCCCTCACTCATTTGAGATGTATTAACAGGTTTTGGTGTTAGGAACACTACCGTATCCATATAGCATTTCCCTAGAGCACATGTCGGCCGTGGCAGCCACAGCATGAGACAAAGCCCATGATAAGACGGCTATGCCAAAGTCTTTCCAGAAGCCAACCAGTCCACGAGAACACCTTTTAGGGTGATCCCTTCTCAACTTCACGTCCGACTAGCGACGGAGAAGAGGCCTCCGATTCTGGCTGCGCTGAGCCAGGACTTCCTATCTTTACGCTCCTCCACTCCAGCAAGACAGCAGGAAGCGCACTCCAAGATGCTGTGATCACACCAACCAGAATGGCCTCTCGGAGCGCCATATTATAAGCGTTGACGACCTGGTTAATACTGTTCGCGGGAATGACAGCACGAAAGCCCGTCGCACCAGCGTTAATGACATCCATGCCACTCACGCCAGGAATGCCGAGACCGTCGACAAAATAGAGCAGCTTGTTATTGAGCACATTGTTAGCCGCGCTGATTAGCACCGCGCCTCCTAGACCCTGAAACAGCATGGACACCGAGATTCCCGCTGGGATGTCGCGAGGTGGCAGCACGACCTGCGCAGCCACCTGGGGTAACTGGAAACCACAGCCAGAGCCGAACCCGAAGAGGATCTGGTAGCCAATCCATTTTGCCGTGCTAGTGTTGGGCTCGAGAGTCATCAGAAGCCCGGCACCGATTGGAGCGAGGACTGCGGCCAAGTAAATGAAGGGAACGTAGTAGCCAATCTTGCTGGTGCCGAAGCCAGCGAAGAGGATGCCGATGACGTTAGGTAGAATCAGGGGGATGGTATGGATGCCGGAGTTCAGGGCCGTGTCGCCCTTGATTGCTTGGAAATAGATTGGGATGAAGTAACTGAAGAGGAAGAAAGTGCCACCGAGGAAAAAGGTGAAGACGCTCGAGGCAAAGATTGTGCGCTGTTTCGCAATCCGAGGTGGAATTGTTCCGCCTTCTCCCAGCCAGGCTTGACTGCCAATGAAAGCGATTATTGTGACGCCGAATACGACGAAGAGTGCAATGATCCGACCACTGTTCCATGAGTATGTCGTGCCGCCATACTAGGATAGGTTAGAAAGACATATATCTGGCGGTAGATGAAGCATAGACCATACGAACCTGCAGCGCGAACAGGAGAGAGATGATGCTGGGCACGAACAAGACGAACCCGACCGGGTCAAGATTCCACAGCAAGCTCAGGACACTTTGTTCCTTGAGAGGGTTGGGCTTCGGCGGTAAATGGAGAGAGAAGATGATGAAGACAGCCGAGACGGCTCCCAAAGGAAGATTGATATAGAAGCACCAACGCCACGTAACATTATCGGTGAAGGCGCCGCCGATCAGAGGCCCGACGACTGAGGCGATACCAAATATTCCGCCATACAGACTTTGATACGTCGCTCTCTTCTCTAAAGGAGTGATATTCGCAATGATTATTAGACCACCGCTAGAGATACCCGCGCATCCGATGCCAGCGATGGTGCGCTTCATAGAATTAGCTAACCTTGATTGTGCATTTGAGTAAAGAAAGACTGACCCCCACAATCAAAACGGCGGAGGACTTCGCAACTCCGCAGATGAGTGATCCGACCTCAAAAATCAGCAGAGCTGCAAGAAAGGTCCACTTGAGACTGAAGAACCGAAACGTCTTCCCGAAAGGCAATTGAAAGGCTAAGTGCTGTTTAGCAATGGTAGCCTCAGATAGTATGTCCTCGAAGACGTACCGCATTTCGTAAGCAGATATGACGACCCATACCAACCCACGTCTTGCAGAGCGTGGAACTCATCAGTGATCCGCGGAATGGCAGTGGCGATAATGGTACTATCTAGAGCCACGCAGAACAGAGAAATGAACAAAGCGAAAAGAATGATGCCGAAAGAGAAGCCTGTCGGATACGAGGGAGTCGATGGGGGCTGGACTACCTGTGGTTTGGTCTCTTCGCTACTCCGGAGGGTGGAGTCTTCGCGACAGGTCTCGTCGCCTGCCTGAATCGTGGTCAGCGTCATGGCTGCTTTTATATTGACATATGCTTAGTTCTGTAATGAACTAGAGCAATACGTTATGTTAAATCGAAAGCCCGGCTGTTGGTGGCGTATATCAAGGAGCAACGGTTGACATTGATAGGTATTTAGACTCATGGATGGAACAGTTGCCTGAGTTTTGAACCCTCGATGTAAGTGGTCGCGACATGTTTCATATCGAACTGTCCCATCAGAAGGGAGAAAATTTTCATTTCATTCATTAGCCCGGGAGACCATCTCGAGCCTGAGAACTCCTCTCCGACTTCCTACCCATTACACACCGGGATACACACCGGGACAATGCCGGGTTTAGAGCGGGGGTCCGGATATCAAAGCATTAGCCCCATTGGCTGGCCGATGCTTTACCCCGGACCCACCACGGCCTGACAGATTGCGCTCACAACTCAGGGCTGACTGGGCTTGTCCTCCCGCTGAGGTAGTCATCGGGGACGACAATGGGATTCTAAGGTGCGTCTTCAGGAGAAGGATCAGCCGGCACAGCCTGATCCTGCCCGGGGCTGACAGACACCTAGTAAACAGCGACACTTCGTTGTCGAGCAAGACGGCTAACGACAGGAGTACCCGATCCCGGGATCCGGCAGGACTAGAATGACACGATGGGGATTGAAATAAAGAAATAAAACATTGCCCCTGTTTCGTTTGATTTTCATCGCTACGCTGAAGCGCAACATCCACCTTCATGTAGACCTTGGGGCATGAGTATCATCAACATGAACACCATGGCCTCACAATCCCCTTACTACAAGTTAGCAGCCTTGGCACTAGTTAGTTGCGCTCTTTCCATTCTTCTCGCATGGCTCAAAAGGGACCGTCGATTGGACAAGATGCAGGGCCCGCGCGGGTGGCCGCTCATTGGCATCGGCATCGGCCTGCCCCAGAAGTCTGCCGAGGTGCTTGGCAAATGGGCTATCGAGTACGGCGAAGTCTACAAAATCAAGGTTGGCTGGTATGATTGGGTCGTCATCAATAGCCCCGAGGCTATGAGGGACATCTTCGACAAGCAGTCGGCTAGTACGTCTTCCAGACCCCCAATGCCCCTGGCCCACGATGTCGCCGTGGGCGGCATGCGGATGAACACTCTGCCATACAACAAGAAATGGCGAGCATACCGCACGATAGTTCACGGCCTTCTGTCTACCTCCCTGACAGACCAATTCAATCCCTCTCAGTTGTACGAGACTAAACAGCTTCTCCATGATTTCACCTTCAACAATCAAGACGGGAAGCAATTCTACTGGCATGTGCGGCGCTACTTTTTCAGCATCTTGATGACAAGTTGCTATGGCTCACGCGTAGATAGCTGGGAGCACGAAGATGTGCGTAGCGCCATTCACAGCACGCAACTTCTCAGCAAGATATCGAAGCCGGGTTCTTTTCTCGTCGATGAGATCCCCATACTCGCCAAGTTGCCGGCCTGGCTGCAACCTGGACGGCGCATGGCCGAATCATTGAGAGAGCCGATTTTGAGTGCGAAAATGCGGCTATGGCGGAGATTCCAAGACCAGATGAAGGCTGGTCGGGCTCCCGTATGTTTCGGGCGCAAGGTATACGAGGATGACAAGCGGTGGCGGGACCAGGGGTTAACGGACGAGGATTTCGCCTGGGTTGTCGGTGGTATCGCCGATGCCGGCTCGGGCACGTCAACAGTCACCTTCAATGCGGTCATTTTGTACATGGTAGCCAACCCGCATGTTCAGGACAAGGCTTACGAGGAGCTGATGGGCGTCGTGGGGCCGAACCGGACACCTGATATCCAAGACTTGCCCAACCTGCCCTATATTAATGCGTGTGTGAAGGAGACTATCCGCCTCAAGCCTATTCCAGTGTGGTGCATTAAGCGGTATGCCGATGCCGACGTGCGGTACAAAGATTATATCATACCCAAGGGTACGGTGTTACTTGGCAATACTACCTTTCTAGCCACCGACCCGGCCAAGTACGATGATCCGCAAGTATTTCAACCCGAAAGATACCTGGGCTTCCCGCGCTCCAGCTTCGAGTACGCCGCCGGTGACCAGACCAAGCGCGACCACTTCTCCTTCGGCGTGGGACGCCGCGTCTGCCCGGGCACCAAGCTGGCCGAGATCACGCTGGAACTCGCGCTTGCGAACGTGCTGTGGGCACACGCTATCCGACCGCCCAAGGGTGTCGCGGCCCTAGATGCTGGCCCGGAGGCTTGGGATTCTACTGAGTTCCAGGCACCGAAGCCATTTGCCGTTCGCTTCGAGCCTCGTAGACCAGAGGCAACAGACTTCGTCAAGAGACAATGGGAGACTGCTATGGAGGAGGGCTATATGATGAACGGGAGACGTGTCGATGTCAAGGGGGTTGTGCACTGAGATATTGAACATTTAATTCTTGTCTTTCTTAGCACCGCGTATTAGTGCTGTTTTTTTTGGAAGTATCCTTAGCTTCACACTGAGGCCAGCTTCTCTGGAACTCTACTTCATGTCTTTTCAAACATCTTTTCGATCTACATTAGCATATGAGTTCGGATATGCGGTAAGAGATATTTTGTTTCGCGATTATGCCTTGAGCATAAATGTGTCACTTCTTGACCCTAATATTATGGCCGGTCTTGAACATAGGAGATTGACTCATCGTGGGTGAGATCAGACAGGTTAACGTATATACGCTAACACACAACACGTCCTTGCCTTTGGCGCTTCCACTTGATCGGCTTCCTTATCCGGTCTTTTCTGGATAGACGGTTTTGCCCGCACCGCCAAGTCTTTGAGGCATTGCCGTGTGCCCGGCAGGGCTGACAGGCATTGCTTCCCAGAGATACCTACGTAAGTAATCACGTGTCTGTACTTAGAGGAGGCGCCGATAGAGACCATTGCTGTACGGAGTTACATACTTTGTAAGTAACAGGTAAAGTTACCCTAGATGTATTGAATTTATAGCCTTTTCGTATATCTCACGCGCCAGTCAACGATAGCGTTTTTCTAGTGCATGAAGTTTACGAAAGCCGCCTTGAACAGACATTGCGCGCATCTTCGGGAATGTGATGGTGTTAATAGCCCATCGCGAACGGGTTTGCGTCATCATTAGGCTGCATGGCCAGAACGTGTCAGCTCATATCTTACGAGCGCCACACGGCTATAAATACCACTCGCTGTGTGTTACGAACATGTGATCTGGGCGTTTGGCTGAAAGAAGCTGAGGCACCTGGCTTGTAAAAAGTATACCTAGACCTACATGTCTATCTATCCTGTTGTGCCTACATTTGTCTCACATATCATGTAAGCAGTAGTAGATGCCAGCCAAGTCCTCCATAGCCTATAGGTAGCGTGAATATCAACAAATTAGCTACGGTACCTACTAATAAGCACTACGGCCAGATACGGCGTAAAGTCCTGGATCAGCACCTTCTTCCGCCCAGAGCACCTTGTATTGCAAATGTATAATATTAATTCGTTGGCATGGTGCCTCGAACAGTGGGGGTTGGCATGTATAATGTCAGCCCTGTGCGTGAAGTTAATAACGTTGAGTATCTCTAGCCTAATCCTAGTGCTTGTTCTAGCTACTAGTCGAAACGAGCTCACTCCCCGCCAACTGCTCTTTTTTTCAATTTAGCATAGGACTTGCCTATGAAGAAAGCACCGCTAATATCGGATGGTGGATAATTATAATCTTCAGCTGAGAGCGGCTGCTGACTTATGATACATAGGTATTGTAAAGGCTGTATACAGTAGGGGGTAGAAGGCAAGCATCCGAAACCTCACCGTGATACAGAACAGGGAAAAGAGGAAAATAATGAACTAAGAGAAAAATGAAATAAAAGGACCCCGGGGTTAGAGTTGGAGGGGTATACGCAGCAATCTACATATTGGAACGGGTCACGACAGGTACAGAATTCGGGCCACGGGCAGACCACGGGCGTCTGCTCCGGGAAGACAAGATGGCCCGTCCGCTCGAGGAGCAAACAACCTCTCATTTTTGTCAACCGGGAGCGATCTGCTTTATTTGGTGTTCCCGTTCAGGAAGCTAATGTATTCTGCTCCGGCGCTGCTCCGGCAGTTCCAACATTGTATCTAGAGTACTACTTACGTACTCATACTTGTACACGTATCCGCAGAGCAATGAATAAGTAAGCTGTCGATCAACTTGTCGAGAACCGGGGTGTCAATGGTGTTATCTAGTGGGATTTTCCTAATTTATTACCTACACCAAAACCGTTCGACGTCCCGTTCTGCTCGTCATAATTATTGTTGATCAGTGGGGGTGGAATGACTAGAATAGGAGTAGTTGGCCGTCTATTTGTGGCGAATGGTCCCCTTTTCTGTAATCTCAGCCTCAGCTAGAGTGAGTGCCTGACATCAACAATGGTTGTTGCCCTGTCAGCCAGGCCTGTGTAGGACTACCTACCAGTATGCACTGCTATCTACTCCGTTCTTGTTGTTCCTTGTCATTCTGACTGGTTAACTTATCTTCTCTCCTCAGGTACGCAATATCCGTAATCTGTCAGTAAGATATAGCAGCACTGCCAAGGTGCTGTACGTAAGCATAGAAGTAAGAACTCGAACGTGATACCTTCCCTACAGGTACTTAATAAGTCGATCAGAGGTAGATACGCGGCGCTTCTTGGAGTTTGCCTTGAAATTCTCCTTGAAAAGGGAGCGTCGATCACAGGTTGGGACGCGCACATGTCAGTGGTCTGCTGGCGGTGCAAGCTAAAACACTGCCGATAATCCACTGTAGCCCACTATCTGCCCACTATAAAACTGGCAGTGCCCGGTACCTGGAGCAGACTGGAGGTGCGCCGTTTGCACTTGTCACACTGATTGTCACAGCACTTGCTTAGTATGATATGTCCGTAGCTTCGCTCTGTTTCAAATCCAAAACACCAGCGTCGCCGATCGGCAGTTCCTCTTCTGGACTGGACGACTTGCCCTATGAGGTAATGAGGGATGGACGTGAGCCGGGACACGTGTTCTCCACGGTTTATACCCGCCACAAACTTGTCCGCTAGGTACCGGTATCGCTGTCGGTAGGTACAGTCTGGTACAGTATTACGCAGTAGGTAGGCATTACGACGGAATGGCCCAAGAGGACGGACGGGAAAGGAGGGTTGTTGTTTGTTTGTTCGGAATAAGGGGCAGAGGGGGGTTACCAAAAATTCCCGTTGGAAGATGGATCCCACCATCCGGGATCAACGTCGGCGGCGCCGTTCACTGAAGAAATGCGCAAGGCCAATCACAAAGAAAGCATCTCGGTATGGCGTTGCCCGTCGATCAACCTCGCCGGGGTTGTTGCTTGGGGGCCAGAAATTTTGATTCCCAGTGTTCTCTGCTCAGCCTCAACAGACTTGCGTGTGATACACGTAAAACAGTACCGTAAACTACCGTCGTTCGATATTTGTACATATTATGCTATGTAGTAATTGCTTACAGTACATCCTATCTGATCCCAGTACGTCAGAGTTGAGTGCACGCTATGCCGCTATGCCCGGGTATAGCCGAAACGCTGCTCATACTCTCGATATAAGAGGTCGTGCCCGGTCGTGTAGAAGTACTGCATGTGATGTAGTGTACTGGTAGTTTCCGAGGAACTCAGAGTTGTGTAATGATACAGCTCGGCTCCTATTCGTGCGGTTAGCTACACCACATCTACGCAATGGACGGATGGAATCCATGAGGAATTGTTATCTGCGTTTGCTTGGGTAGTGTGCAGCAAGTATACCTATGGTGTCACAGGTAGATATCACAAATGTGACGGGAGAACCACTGCGATGCGACCAGGTAATTCAATATGACCACCTCACTCGTGTATTTACTGCCTACCTAAGGTATTTCTTTACCTACTTTGCTACTGTCGAATCGAGAACTGGTTGGTTGGTCTGAGAACGACGACATGAAATCTGGACACTAAGTACTGTAAGTACGTGTAAATGACAGACTGGTATTACCTAAGTTTCTATATCCTACTCACGCTAGAGCCGCTTCTTTTTTGTTCGTTCGAGAATTTCGATTCTCCTCCTATCCGCTAACGCCTTTGTACTAGGTAGGTACTGTATGTAGGTAGGGTGGGATATCCTGGCAATCTCAGCCGTCTTATTTTAATTATCATTAACCGCCATGGATTGGGTTTAGGCGAGAAAGCTACCGCAGATGAGATGCAGATTGCCAAGCCAACTAAAAAGAACATGTAACTGTACATTCAGATTACAATCATTACATGTATCTGCACCACTACGCTGTGTGCATGTATTTCATGGGGGGTACGGTACAAGAAGATATCGACTTCAAACTTGAGATATCTGATGTTCAAGATTCGAAGATTCTCGTGCAATTGGTATTTACACTACAGTCTCCTGCTGAGATAGCCACATTGCATGATACCTTTTTCTTTCCGCAGCAATCGGCCCACAGGTGCGAGAGATGTGCCGGGCATAGGTACAGGACGGCAGTTGTATACTAGATCCTGGTCACGAATGAATGCCTTCACCTGGTATCATCAGTATCATGAACACGGCATCCTGCATATGTCGAGATCATATGGTAGTAGACGATACTGCGGCCGTTGCCAGCCACTGGCTCAATTAGAGTTGGCTAGTTTCTTTTCCTATCTCATTATCGTCGTCTTCGTAACTTCGTCTTGGAGGGGCCCCGAGACATGGTTAGCTTTCCATTGCCATGTCGATTAGAAGAGACTCTTGCTCGTCTCGTGGTTTACAACAGATTCGGGCATCACAGTATATACTTATTGATTTATGCATACTGCGACAGAGCCATATCCATGTTGAGTCAAGTACGATTTCACGTTTATTGTTGTTATTTAGTATTGTTATGGTTGTCAATAAGCTCCGTGGCATGATTCTGAAGCGGCTGTTCCCCGGAAACCTTGTGGTCCGTTTTACCAAAAAAAGAAGCATTCGATGTCCTCAGGACGGGACCAGCCTCTGCACACAAATCTGAAAACACTGGCTACTACGCGGCTATGGCGACATTATGCCCTCCACGCAAAAGTCAAGAGGCTTGTTTTCACCTTTTTACGCGTGTCTTCTCCAGGTACAGTAGGTGCAGCAATCCTATGATCACTCAGAATCACTGGAACTGTAGTTAAAGGCACAGTGCATAGGATGCTGTGCACCTGGAAAATCCGAGTCGGTGGGCGCCACTCGTTACGCTAGAAGCTCGCCTTTCGATGACGCCTGTGGACCCTCTGGCGGTCGATCTTCGACGGTGACGCGTACCATTCTGGCCACTGACTGGGTGGGATCTACTGTACCCAGTAACGACATGGGTAAAAGGGAAGGGGAAATTTTTGGCTGTCATTGCACTGTTATTTTATTCATTCATTCAGTCATTCATCCGTCCATCCACTTGCCTGTTCATTACTCATACATCATAGTTACTGATGCTGCAGTCTGTAGGTAGATAGTGAAAATGAAGCGGAGCCTTATCAAATTCGTGGAGATCTAGATACTTCCATATATACATGTACTCCGTAGGTACGAGGGGTACATGGCAATGTACCTACTATTACACTACCTACTGGTGGTTACCTAAAGGAAGCATTGCAAAGGAATCAAAAGAAAAGAAAAGAGCCATGCCCATAAGCTCATCCCGTATCCCTTCTGCTAGGTAATATCCAAACCGTTTTTTTTGTTTTGTTTTCTTGCGCATGACATCAGCGCTTGTGACATGTAGTAGCGTGGAATAGTGCCTTTGACTCAGTATAGTTTTATTCTTGACACATGTGTTAAATTCGCCTACAGATACGGCGGATTTCAACATCGATAAGTTTAAAAAAAAAAAACAGCATCCTGTGCCGTGTGCCGTTTGCCGTTCCCGGTCCCGTCTTTTAAGAAAGTCGAGTCGATACCTACACAGCTGGCTTGCATGATGCACCTGTGGTGGCCTCGATGGCCTGAATCCAGATTGCCGCTCTCAGTGGTTCGTTCAGGTTGAACCTTCGAGCACGCAGCTCGTGTCCTCGTGTCGACGCAGCCCATCAGCACGTATCTTGCCGTATCTTGCCGCATCTTGCCATATCTTGCCACTCTCGGCGCGAAATCAGAATTTGTCTCGACATAGCCCTCCCTGCACCCGAGACATGCACCGGCGATGCACATATAGCACATGTCACGTCACGGGTATGATGTATGTATGTATGGGCGGCGAGGCGGTTTCTGCGAGCTACAGACATTACATTAGACGGTACCTACTTAGACAGCATCCCGTTCTGCCACAGAGTGAGTAGGTAGTTGGGATATCCTATCAAGTACCCTAGCGTAGGAGGTACCTAATCTATACGCGATTTGTCCAACTCTATCTATACGCTACCTGCTAGTAGGACGGTCATCTGAGGCGCTGATGCGGATCGCCGTTGGATAGAATCTCGTTTTGAAGCGAGTCGTCCCTGGCCCTTGGTGGGCACATTCCATACTCTATCAGACATGTCCGTGAGATCAGGTTCATGTAGTTACGAAGCCCGTCCGTCACATGGAAGCAATATCTTCGGAGATAAAGGCTGTAGACAAGATCAGATGCCTCAGGTCTGCTCAGGCTACTACTAGGCAAGTACTTATCTGGTGCACAACACCGCCTGTACTAGGTAATGTACTACTGTACTTATGTATGGATGCCCCATCAAATATCAAATGAGAATACCTACACCTGTAGTGGGTAGTAGTAGTGCGCTACCGACCAAGGCAGGAGCCGTAGCGCACTTACACGGCACTAAATGTAGCGCATTGAACACCCCTTTTCCTTCCAGGTTGTGTGCTGCTATCTACTTACACTACAGTAGGTACATTTATGTATGTAGGTATATTGTAGGTTTTGGTACCTTAGGTATGCAAGACTACCTACCTAGGTATGTATGCACCTAGGTACTACAGTAGGTAGAGCAACGTCGGCATGCGACACTACCTAACCTACCTACTGTACAAGTAAGTATAGACGATACTAGGGCACCTACTGCCATCCTACCTACATAAGTACATACCTACATAGGTAAGTAGGCACCATGTAAGCGCGTAGTGCGCATTAACCCCCTGGTCCAGTGTTGATGCAGCACACTAGATTAAGTAGTGTAAAGGAAGCACACGACATACTTAAGTAGACCTTGCCTGAGTAGATACTTGCACACTTACTCACGCGATGAGAGGGCAGAGAATCAGGTACTGGAGCGAGCTGGCGTCCTGTCGACTCAGTCTCTGCTCAGTCCATTATTGCAACAGTCTTCCAATAGTACGGAATAGGACTAGGGCGATGCCCCGGGAACATGGCAAGGATGGCTGGCGACTCAGGTCTTTGCGCTAGGTACTCCCGCCCTCCATTTCCTATCAGGTGGGCGAGGTGGGCTAATACTGCTCCCTCCCCCTCCAACCCCTGCAACAAATTTATTCAGACCCCTATCAGAATCGGGATAGGTACTTGTACCCATCTCCATCTCTCCACTGCTCCAACGAGTCCAAGCTGCTTCGGCTGCTCGCCCAGACGCTGCCCAGAAATCCTCGCAACCTCCCCCAGTTCTGCCCAGTTCTGCCTACATACTTAGTACTGTACACTACAGATGTACTAACTGTACTAATTCTGCTATATATGGTTACTTATACTATGTAAGTGATACTAAGCAGTACCTACAGTACAGTCCTAATCCAACCCCCAAGACAGATAGACAGATATACAGACAGACAGACAGAACAGCCCAAAATCCCAAGCAGGGCTCCAAGTCGACTTCTTGTACCTGGCCACACCCTGCTTGTGGCTCTGTACCAGTCGTGTACCTGTGGCCATCCCGTCCCTGCTTTGCCCTCACACCTTCCCGCTAAATCTGATGAAAGAGGGTCTCCTGTTCATCCCCTGCCACTGATGAGAGAAATTCCTCTTGATTTCGTTGGCTGTATTCCTTCCTGTTCTTGTATTGATTGTACTGCTCCCCCTTTGTCTTTTCTCTCCCTCTTTTCTACTCATTAACCTTTTTTTTTTCTCCCCTCCATCCACGTTACCTGACGCCGTCGGCCAAGTCAGCTTGGGTACTCTGTGTGTTTTGTTCTTTGTTCGCCAGGATTCCACCCTTGACATCTTTGCTGTCGAGGTGTTCGTTCGTTACCGCCTTTTGCTAGGCTTCTGGAGCGCGACCCTTTTTCTCTCGTTTAGTGCGAAGAGAAAGACGACGACGAATTCCGGTAGTTGTGTCCTCGTTCTTGTTACGACCCCCTCTCGTCGCATGCCTGTATTCAAGCACTCTGCCGAATTATCCACGTCGTCTGCATACTATAAGATTACATAGAACTGGGCCGCATCAGGAAAGGGGAGAGAGAGTAACTGGAGCCCGCGATTTCATCAACTCGGTGGGAGTCGACAATTATATAAATTACCCTTGGCACGCCCTACACGCAAGGACAATGGGAGCCAACCGGTCGTCCCCACACCAAAGACTATTCACCATGCGGAACCCGGTCGCGAGATGTGTGGTCGTCGCAGTGGTGCTCCTCGTGCTTCTAGCGGTGACATGGAAATCAGAGAAGATAGAAAATGTCGGCACACAAATCATTAAGGCCACGGCAACACACAATAAGGGGACTCATATCCCTCAACAGCCGCTTGGCGATGTGCCGCAAACCGGTGATTTAGACATTCCTCCTGTCTCAAATCATAAAATGGATTGCAGCGTTGACGGGAACTACATGGCTCAACTCAAAACGAAGTATGAATTGATGGATAACTTCCAGTACTTCAAGCGCTACGTAAAGATCAACCGCCAGCCGATTAAACGGAAGTCTATCACGCTACTCGACCAGGAATTTCTACCAGGCAACGTCCTCAAGAACATCAACCTCCAAAACCCCAATTACGGGAATGAGAAATGTATCGAGCCTCTCAATGTCTACGTTCCGGAATCCCCCTACCCTGCGACTGGCAATCTATCTGACTTCATGTTTGGCGTCTCGACCACATTTAAGAGATTCAGTGGCGAGAAGACCTCTCCTGTCAATGAATGGATTTACTGGTTGACCGATGGGAAAGGAAATTCTAACGGTGGCAAGCTAATACTTCTGCTTCTGGATGCCACTGAGGAGCAAATCACACATGCGAGAACCGTTCTCCGCAACGCTGGCATCGATGTGGATGTGTACCATTCCGATTCAACCATGGAGATGGCTGTCCGCTACTTGACTCTCATTCCTACCCTGTACAACCACCCCGACCGACGGCAGAAGAAGTGGCTCGTTTCGTGCGACGATGATACCTTCTTCCCCAGTGTTCATAAGCTTGTGCAGAAATTTGAAGAATACGATCCCCACCAGCAGCTCTATATTGGTGTATTGTCTGAAGACATCAATAACGTGGATCGACACGGATCCCAAGCTTTCGGTGGTGCGGGCGTGTTCTTGTCAGTTCCGCTAGCTGAACAGATCACGCGAGACTACGAGACCTGCAAGACCGACGAGAAGATTAAGGAATCTAACTCCGGCTGGGGTCCTCAAGGTGACATTCTTCTGCGCAAATGCATCTACGAAAATACCGATGTCCGCCTTTCTGTTCTACATGGCTTATATCAGTTGGATCTTTACGGCGACCCATCGGGTTTCTATGAGGCTGGACTTAGCCCTATCTCTCTACATCACTTCAAGGGCGGTGGCTGGCACAGTGCCATGCCTTGGGAATACACCAAGGTTGCACACATCTGCGGTGAAGACTGTACTTTCCTACGCTTTCAAACATCAGATGACTTCATCATCTCGACTGGGTTCAGTGTTGCTCACTATCCTCTCGGTGTCGATTTCAACCTCCAACAAATGGAGCGCACCTTTGCCGCTGCACCACAGGACAAGGGTTGGAATCTAGATTACGTATTTGATCCGCAACGACCAAGTCTGTTAAAGACGGGCCGCAAGATCAGCTGGGATTTGCAAGAAGCGACTGTGACACCCGACAACACTATTCGCCAAGTTTTCGTGCGCAAGGCGAACGACTGGCGCTGGGTAGATAAAAACGAGCGCCCTATGTCCCAAGTTGATGGCGTCATTGAACTTGTCTGGATCCCATAAAGAGATCCATTGCAGTGGGCAATGTCCACATGAGATAACGATTTACCTACATGACGGCGCAACTAGTGGTACATCTTGGGTATTACTATTTTGGAAATAAAACTTGGGAAAGTCGGTGGGAGGAATATGGGATATACGGGAGGGCAAAGCGCCCTTGTTGATGTTCATCTGAACGCTCTTCTCTTCGCCTGGCAGAGTGTATATAGACACCTGGGTGTCGATATGATGGCCAGGCTGACATAACCTAGGCACATCTCCAGGCGTCATTAGATGACGAGCCAGCAGTCTCTGCGACCATGAAGGCTGCAAACACCGGGCATGATCCTGCCTACCGTCACCCGCATCACCTTCACAACAACCATCACACGATAATGCATAATATACTTCACCCCCTTTCATTCATTGTCAATCGTTTGCTTGTCGATACCGATTGCTTCTCGACGGGCTCGTCAGCAACATTATCGCGTGAGAACACCAAGCACCCCCCAGTTTATCAATCTTCTCTTTGTTCTGGTGAGCATCAGCGAACCCGGCGTTCGGCGGTCACCATCCTCAAGACGCTTCAAGCATTTACACCGTGGCATCGTTTCCATCTTCCCCCGTTCTACCTGACCATTGGCATCGAATATATCAGACGATATCCCATTATCGTGGCGGAGGAAACGCATCAATCCCAGAGCAACATAGTTCATTTCCCCTTCTTCATCATCCTCTTTGTATCATAGACCTGCTGTTTATGTGGGAAGGGAGTTGAGGGGATAGAAGTTAGTGATTTTTTTGTATTCATGAAGACACCACCGAAAGAAGGGAGTCACGCGCAGACCTGAAAAATATGATAGTTGAAGAGATGTGTAACTGGTACATTAGTCAACATGGGCTGTCTGGGAATCAGCTGGCCTCGGTATCGAAGTGCTCGAAACGAGGGTTCCTTCACTGTCTCTCCCTTCAGTTGTACATACCTTAGATAGTAGCGCCAAGCACTGAAAGTTCGAAACATCTTATTCTGGTTCAATATTCCCGTCTTCGTACATCGTGGGATTCTGGGCTTCCAATGGGTACTATATATACTGAGGCTCAGCGCGAATGCATCGCAATCAGTAATGGTAGCCCGTCCACAATTAGAGCACTCGACACTGAGTTACTAAGACAGCTTCTCACCTGCAGTGGACTAAGCTGTCTAACTACGGTCGCAGCTGTTAAGTAACAGAAGAGTGTGTCGGATATCATGCTATCTCGAGTTATCTTTTAGGCACGAATAGGGTAGGTAGAGTGAGCTTCTGAACTTAGAGAGCTAAGTCCCCAACCTGTAGGAGGGTTAATACAGTGAGCTTATATAATTACAGATGCTTCATTTATTTTGCCTGCATGTGTATAGATACGTATAGATACCGGGATATACAGAGCAGTCAACCCTTAAGCGAGCTGCATGGGGCTTTATAGAAAATATGCATTCTTCATGAGCAAAGCGCGCGTACCTGACGAGGACTTGGGAGCGGGGGATTTTCATACCTAGCCTGGCAACCCCACCAAGGAGACATTTATTTAACCTTGGCAGCTGGTAGCTTGCTCTCTATCCTAACCCAAGTAGTATGAAGTCATATGTTCAGAATCTACATTTCTCACCTTTAACTTCTCCCCTTAAACTCTCCCATCTTACTTTTTACCTCACGCCCAGCCACGCGGTCGCCGTTACCGATAGCTGCGCTGCCTAAGCATATCGAAAACGTTGTCTGTCCGAATTGTATACCAGGAATAACGATCGCAACAGGTGGGATAATAAGGACGAGCACGATAAGACCAACAGCAACGAGAATGTTCCATCGCTCGACTCCCTCTTCCTTATAGCTAGCCACCTTGTTCTCTAGTAAAACTGTCGCATCTAGAGCACGTATTTGCCCCGTTGATCCATCATGCAGCATAGCAATACCAATGGTATCCTGGCGGTGCCTTTCCGTAAAGGAACCCAGTTGTCGCTGTCCTCGGCCATCAAACAGTACATATCCACCAAATATGACCAGCACCCGGATATGTTTCGTCAAGACCTCGACGTCATCGATGCCTTGAGGCGCGATGCCATCCACGTGCGCGAGCCTCACCCCAGTGGCATCAAGAAGCTGCAGGCATACGCGGCTCAACTAGTCTGGGTCGCAGGGAAATTCCCCATAGATGTGCGTCTTCTCGCCCGCCTGTTTGCGATCACTGGAGAGCCAAATACTGACATGCTTACTGCGACATAGATAGGCGCTGACTTTACTTGGTATCCCGCTCTGGGATACAACATCGACCGACCCGTCGTCCATAATAACCTCCAATTCGAGCGAGCCAACATTGTGTACAATCTAGCTGCTCTCTATTCGCAGTTGGCCATCAACAGCAACCGTAGTGACACAGAAGGCCTCAAAACCGCTGCTAGCTACTTCAACCAGGCTGCCGGAGTTCTTACCCACCTAAAGAACGAAATAATACCAGAATTGAGGACCGCGCCCCCGGATGATATGGATGAGCACTCCCTCGAGTCGCTCTTGCAGCTGCAGCTAGCCCAATCACAAGAATGCTTCTGGCACAAAGCCGTTATGGACCGCTACAAGGATGCATCTATTGCGAAGCTGGCTGCCAAAGTCTCCGATCTTTATAACCTCGCAGGCGAGGCTGCTATGCGCTCGGAGGCTATCAGTAGCAGCTGGATTCACCATATGAGCGCGAAACACCACCACTTTGCTGCAGCTGCTCAGTATCGAGCTGCTTGTGAGTCCTTGGAAAAACGAAAATATGGTGAAGAGGTCGCGAGGCTGCGAGACGCCGTCGCGTGCGTCGGAGAAGGTCTGAAGGAAGGGAAAGGCGGTTATCTCAATAAAATCGTTATTGAAGACTTGAATAGTCTCAAGAAACGAGTGGAAGATCACCTCAGCAGAGCAGAGCGCGATAACGATGTGATTTACCTAAGTATGTCCCTCACCATAGCAGTCACAGCATTGCACCACTAATAAGTCCTCTCCAGATCCTATACCTCCAAAATCTGAATTGAAAATTCTCGACAGAGCGACTATGGCAGTCGCCCGGATTCCTCCACAAGTTGCGAACCCGCTTGAATACTTAGGTGACAAGGGTGAATTTGGCCCAGGGCTTTTCACTAAATTAGTCCCTTATTCTGTACATCTCGCTGTGTCCATTTATGAGGAACGAAGAGACCGCATGGTGAACCAGAATATTATAGGCGAGCTCGAAATCCTAAATGAGCGAGTTCATGAAATTCTCTCGTCACTAAATCTCCCCAGCTCTATACAGGCATTTGAAAAGCCCCTCGGCCTTCCAGGAACCCTAGTCCAACATGCGGAGGAAATACGGCAAGCCGATGCGAGAAATCGGTTGCTGAGAAGCTTCGCAGACATCGACAAGCTGCGGGCTACTGATATGGCTATGTTTGAGGAAGGTAGTGAACTGCTTCGAGTAGAGGAAGGAGAGGATAATCAACTGCGAATGAAGTTTGGTACCGACCGATGGACTCGCCCAGAAAGTCGTAACGAGCCGAGCCAAGGCGCTAAGCTCTGGACTCAAGCTGCCGAAGCCGAGGGTTGGTTTGCGAATAGTGCAAGTAGTGATGGGGTCGTGCGGGAGAAGTTCTACAGTGTCGAGCCGACGTTATCTATTCTAGCGGGCCCTGACCGCGGTATCATGGATTTCGTGCCCTCTTCGCGGCGCACTGACATTCCGGAAGCACTCAAACCAGCTATTGGGCGATTACGCAGTGTTTGTAATGATGTTGCACGGTTAGAAAACCGCCGTCACCGAAAAGCTGACGCCCTTCGCGAAAAAGCTCGTGGCGACGATATCAAAATTGATATACTAGCTGAAGCTGCAAGGCTAGAGCGCAACCAAGCCGTAGCCACCGCTATTGTACCTGCACACTTCGAAGACTTCTTCGAGAAACGACTTGACTCACTATACGAACCCGATCTCGAAATGGTGCAAAAGGAAGCAGCTGAGCAAGAAAAGCTGCTGTCAGACCTTGTTCGAGCAAACCGTGAATTCGAAAGTCAGAAGAAAATAGTGGGCGATAAGGGCAACCGAGAACGAGAGCAAGCTCTCCAGAAACTAGAAAACGCCTATTACAAATACAAGGAACTTACTAGTAACGTCGAAGTTGGTCGAAAGTTCTACAACGACCTGAGCCGCATTGTTGGAAACTTCCGAGACAGTGTTAGGAGTTTTGTCACAGAACGAAGACGTGAAGCACGTATGCTAGAAGATGAGCTCAACATGCCGCCACTTAGTAATCTATCTCTTGCTCAACGGGAACAAGCCCAACCACCTACCTCTATGGGTGGTTGGAACGGTGCGTCTAATTATCAGAATCCACCGCAAGCACAGCCCCAGGCGGATGCCTCGTACCAGTCGGCCGCACCTCTTCCGCGACAACAAGTTCACAGCCCGGCTGAGGCTCATATCCAGTCTTGGGCCCCAGTCGGTGAGACAGTTGCTCCGCAGCCACAACAACCACGTACGAACCCTGTCCAGCACATCTGGAACCAGGAAATGCCGCTCAAATTCTCTAAACCAAGCGGATCTTCTTCTTCCTCCGGGGAACTCGCTCCACCACAGACTAACAAATCACCGAGCGGTACTTGGGATCCGAACAGCGGGATCCGATTCGGGTAGGAACCGAATACGTCTCGCCGCCGCCGCATATAACTTGGAGATTTATGGTTTATGGATGACGTGAGAGAAAATGAAAAGAAAAGAAACAAGATTAATGGAACGCGAGGGGAGGAAGATGGGGAATGCATGAATGTTTTTGGAAGCGAGCATTACATTGAAGAAGGTATGTCTTTAAGGAGGAAATCAAGCATTTAGATAGCCGTGTCATAGCCTGGGTGTAGTATGTTGTACATACCGTGAGATAGTTGTATGGTATTGCCCACTGGGCTTGATGTTCGATTGTTCTCTTCCATTTAAGGAGGTGTTATTGTGCCTTGCTCCGTCATTATTTTCATACTCCAATTTGTGAATATGCGATGAGGAATGGTGTCAACCTAGCAACCTTGCCCCCTTTTTTGTTTTCATCGCACTTCTACGCATGATGTTAAGAGAATTACGCTACGGAAATTAGTATATAGGGGATATGTGATAGGGAAGTAAAGTAAAGTAAAGGTAGTGAGTGTATGATTGTAATGTCTACGTTATTGTCATCCCTCCTCCCTTGCCTTCTTTTCTCTACGATTATATTAGTTATCCTTTCTAGAGCGGAATCTTGCTATCGGCTTAGGGATCGGCCGATCACCACGTGTGTCAAACGACCACTGTTCTCCTCCAACATTTGACTAAATAGTCATCAACTATACAGATCTCTACGAACATAGTACAAGTTGGTATTGTAACAGCTATGTTGTCATGGTAATTATGATACTTATCAAAGAGGATTGTTCCGAAACAACATTTTGGTCTCGAAAATACGACAGAAAAACAAGCTCATTGTTTGGAAATTGCTACAATGCTATTGTTATCTCTGTTTTCCGTCATAGTATAAATAGTTTTTGTCTCCTCAGTCGGTATTGTTTATCTCATTCCATTCAAGTAACTACTATTACACCTAATTGACAAAGAAACCTCGTTTCTCTATGAAAACACACAATGTCTTCTTCACGCAGGATCCCGGCGAATCGACCGCTCTATACTCGAGCTATCTTGAATAATATAGAGGCAGAGCTTGCAACCGACGGTGAAAACATCGAGCTTATCAATGGTCTCGGCGACAAAATCCGGACCAAAAACTTGAACCGCGGCAATGCTATCGGGACCAGGGGCTTGAGTCCCTGGGCACAGAGAGCCGGGAGCATCGTAGGCTTTCAAGACAGCCGTGATCTCCAGCGCTTAGAAGCTATCGGTAAGGTCCACAAGTTCTTCCCCGTGTATAACGCCGTGAGAATATTTAACGGGCCCAACCAAACCGCGAAGGAGACGCGAAAGGCATTCGGCGATGTTCTTGAAGCTTTCGAGGGAAGTCAAGAAGCGACTGCTATCGCCGACTTGGTGAAAACTCAACTTAATGGTCGGCATATTGACAAAGTGATCGCTTTCGGCCTCGGCCCCATCGGCATTGTTCGCCCACACATTCCACGGTACTCTCTTTACGAGCACGCCGCCGTCATCATCCTAACTAACGCACTTATAGAGGTGAGCTCGTCAAAACACGTTTTCTTAGCAGTGCAGGACCCAGGGTATACTACTGTGTGTAAGCAGGTGCTTGGAGAGTTCGGCTTCGGTATTGTCGAGGGGTTTGGCGCCAAGGGCTTCGCCCTCATCGACGATAGCACAGTTGTTATCACGCACCACCCCAGCTTTCCGTTCAAGCAGATCATTGCAGATATAGCGAGACCAGCTATGCTCTGTATGAAGTCTACAGCAGCTTTGGATAAATCTCGCAGAACGACCAGTAATAAAGGGTTACCTGATATCCGAGCTGACGTGGACTCTGAACGGACACGGGCAATGATGCAGGAATACCGTAGCGTTGACTTACCTATTCCGCGGCAGATGGCATTCTATGATAATAGCTGGTTCATCAGGAACGAGCACATGCCGCTCTCTGAGGTAAATGGTTCTAGTAGGGTAGAGGATGTAGAAGAATAGTCCTGGTGAGACTTTACTCACATAGATAGTAAATATGCCGTTACTTTTATATAAACCAAGTTCATTTCCTTGATACAATGAATCTAATCTATGCTAAAGTCTTTCGCTGCGCGTGTTTGAGATAGTCACCCGTCTATCATATCCTTGCAGCTCTTGCCACGTGAAACTTGCAGTAATGCTTTTATGTTAAATATGTTAAAGTGCGAGGCTAAGTTAGAAGAGATTTTACATCCGTGCAATTTAAGTGACGCTGCTAATAGTTAATCCCGTGATTATATAATCTTCTTATTGCCGCAAGAGCAGATGACAAATAGTCATACTCATAGTAAACGTTATAATAGTATTGTTACACAAACTTATCTCACAATCTCATCGGTAATAGTTTACATAAGTTATACCCATTGTCTGTGGAACAAGAGATATTCCATATTCCTCCTTAGTCGACTACGTATCTGTTTTCCTTGAGAGAGGGTAGCGCGACTGATGTATTGCCAAAGACCCTTACCTACCCATACACACACTGCGCCGAAACCCTCCATCTTTAGAGCAAATCACGAAACAACCCAATGTACAGTCCCAGTCTCTCACGGAGTCCCGTGACGCTGACTATGAGCTACGAGAGCAATAAAGTAACCCTCCTCTCACAAAAGCTTTGGGCGCTTCTGGGCCCCGCCCAAGATGACGATCTATGCATGCACAGACAGGCCCAGGATAGGACGGAATTTGTGCCCCTCCCACCACTCACATCACGTCTAATTGTGAGCAAGACGTTAAAACCGGCAAGTGAAGCCTAAACCATCGCCCAGGTATGTACTTAAGTACGATTGGAACGCCTGCAGGGATTGGATACCTACATGCATGATACCATGCAATGTTACCACGGACATCGATCCTCATTCGTATAATCTAAGACCTTTTCAGTCTCTCAGCTAAGATGTGTAAAAGACCCGCAGAAATTCGGTGAAGGAGTAGGTGATGATGACGGGAATGTATATAAAGTCCTCACGAGGCGCCGAGCTGGAGATAGGTCTTAGGTAGGTAGACGGTGGTGGTCTGTTGGTCAGTCAGTTAGACCAAACAACTGCACTCTTGTCAACACCCCCGCCTCCTCCTCCTCATCATCATCAAATCATCATTATTATATGCCAGAGATGGGTCGTATACCGCATCAGCTGCTGCTGTCCTTCCTGGTGCAGTCGGCTCTGATACGCAACGCAGCGGCTATGTTCTACTATCCGAACGCCCAGATCTCGCAGATTGAGCACATCTTGGTGGATAACTGGGGTGCCTATGCCAGCAACTTCTCCTCAGCTATCACTCCCTGTGATAGATATGTGACCCAGATCGGCGATGCAGCCGTAAAGTCGGGACGCACGACGTCCGCGCAGTGGCTGCGAGTCCTTTTCCACGACTTCGCCAATTCTCATGTGGAGGAGGGCTTGGGGGGCATTGATGCCAGTATCGGTTTCGAGACTTACCGCGAGGAGAATAAAGGGAGCGCTTTCAACGACAGTTTCACGTTCTGGCGGCCGTTCGTGAATGAGTTCATTCCTAGTGAGTTCTGGCAGAAGCCATAGTTGAGATAGTATGTAGCTAACCTGCGGTGTACCATATTAGTGGCCGATCTCCTCGCCATGGGGACGGTCATGTCTGTCGGGCTCTGCGGTAATGGGACAAAAATCCCCTTCCGACCTGGTCGAGTCGATGCCTCGAGCGAGGACCCGAATACAGGTGTGCCGGAGCCGGGGACAAGCCTTGAGGAGACGCTCAGGCAATTCGAGCTAAATGGCTTCAACCAGGAGGATGCAATTGCGTTGACGGCTTGTGGTCACACGTTAGGGTAAGATCAATCAAAGCACTAGATTAAATCGTCCTCGAAGTCATAAGCAAGGAAAGGGTGCAAAGGAAATGCTAAGAGTTTATGCTGTAGATCGACTCATCACAGGGGCTTCCCAGAAGTCTCAGATAACTCGACATTATCCGAGAACAACACCAATGGCGGGATCAACTTTGACTCAAGCCGCGGCATATTTGACCCCTTGGTTGTGCAAGAGTATATCGACGGAACGGGCCAGCGTGGAGGGCCACTCGTAACTAGCTTCAACGAAAGCAGCCGTTCAGACCTACGTCTCTTCGAAAGCGACGGCAACGCTACCATGAAAGCGCTCTACGCACAAGGGGAAGGCTTCATAGGTACCTGCGTGGATCTGCTATCCCGCGTCATCAACACCGTGCCAGCAGGCGTCGTGCTCCAAGACGCCGTAAAGCCCATGGCCATCAAGCCCGTCAATGTTACCTGGGACATTGGCGACAACGGCGTGCCGGAACTCTCAGGACGAATTAGGGTAGGTGCATAGAATATTTATATCACCCGTACCTAGGGCGTACTGACTCGGCTTGCGACGCAGATCCTGGAGAAAACGAGCCAAGATAGAACCATCACCCTGATGTTCTCAAACGGATACAACGAGATGCTAACAATGGAGGAAGAAATCGGCACCTCCATCTTCGGCGAAACGCAATTTGCGCCATTCGTAATCGCACATTCCAAGATCGACAGATCGACTTCTTTCACCGTGGACGCGGACGGATTGAACACAGATAACGCCAACAACGAATTCGCAATTCAAGATTCATATCTCATTATCCCGAGCCTTTCAAGTGTCATCGGTGGTTCCTCAGTCAAAGTAACCGTCGCCATGCGTGATGATGCCAACAACGATACGGAGCTATCGGTCCTAGCCACAGTTCCCACGGCGCAGCCATTAACGCTCGGTCCAAAGATGGTCTCGGCTAAGATCGCGCTGGAAAGGATAGCAGCGACGGCGAGCGGGCCGAATGGATTCACGCTCTGGGAAGGGAGCACCGATATCGACCGGCCCACGGGCGCCGTGAGCGTGCGCCTTGTCCGGGATGGGGAGACGTTGGATACGCTCTTGCTTGATGGTGGTGTTGCTGGTTGGTAGAAGGGGGAAATGTCGTCATGAAAGAAACTGCAGTTTCTACTTAAACATATAAATAGACACAAAAATATGAATAAAATCCTCGTGCTCGCAAAAACAGACCACGTTCCCTTGACACAAGATATCTCCCATCATGCATACATCTCACGAACCCAATTATCAACATCAACTATTCTTTCCTTTCTGCGAGCAGAGACATATCCAGATCTCAAAAGTTGGCGCACATATTATGATTCACAGAGTAGCCCCATTGAACCACCATCATCATCAAAGCCCCACGAAATCCATCGATCACTACTCGCAGCCAATCCTTCATCCTTCATCCGGCGGATCAGATCAACTCACCTAACCCGCCAGACAGGGATCCATTCCCGCCCGCGCCACATATATACAGAAGGAAGATGAGCATCATGTGACAGACACATTACTTCCTTCCAAGACAAGAGAGTACACACTATGCCTCGGTCACATTATCTATTCATTGGAGCTACGAGAGAGTATTGTTAAAGCAGCGGCATAGTCTCGCGGGTTGCATTTTCGTAGTAAAGAGTACTCAGCACGGAAGGGTGTTATTTAGGGATGGACAAGTGACTATCATCATTTTTTTATTCGACTGTAAATGAAGTTAACCGTGGAAGAATGTGCAGCTTCAAGACTAGAATATGCGCGCCAACTTTGGTGAATGCCATTTCATGGTTTCGCGTCAGTGTCATCGCTTTGTGGAAGTGTTGCGACCAATAGTCAGACAACTTCGTGGAAATCACTGGGAGTTTGGGAGACGAGGTTGGTTCGCGTTAATCAAGCAATAATATACTATCAGTCACGATATAAGGAACATTAAGATTTAATAGTAAGAGATAGACATAAAGTAATATGCATGAAAACTAGCAGGATTCACAAATATCGAAATTCAGGCCTTTTTTAAGTGATTTAGAAGTTGAGGATGGCCCATTCATTTGTTGCTAGCTTGAGATAGCTATAGTGGAATCTAACTTGAGCCCTCCTCTTCGGGGTATATTTTGTCCATTGCTGTCTGACTGTAACCGTCTCTCTTATATTGTACAGGATGTAGCCTCATGAAAATCGTATCGCCCTGCTTCCTGGTGGAAACCTAGGGGATGAGTTGAAAAGGGTTGGCAAAAAGGTATGTACAGGTCAAAAGAATTGAAGTATCATCAGACCCCTGCTCAATGAGTTGGCTGAGATGACGGGGTTGTGTACTGTACTACACGGCATTATGCCGGTGCGTTCATGACCTCCAAACTCCACGGTGGCGACGGACACGCTCACGGTGTCTCTTCACCATATTCAGGTTGGCGCTTTCGCCAGGACTGCACGTAGTTCCAGCTGCCATAGACATTACGACACTCCACTGTCCAGACGCACACCGCTGGAACTTGGTACCGTCGATACAGTTCCAGGCGCCTTCCTCACTGCAAGCACCGGTTTGTGCGCCTGTCACACCACCGCTTGGGGCTGGTACTGCAACGCTAGTTGTGGAAGAGGCAACAGGTACTGAAGTGGATGCAGACGCAGAAGTTACAGGGGTTGAAGATGATGCGGCGGCCGAAGAGGATGCAGCAGCTGAAGACGAGATTGCCGTGCTCAGAGTCGTCGCGGTAGCGACACCGCCCGTAGTCAAGAAAACTCCACCTGGAGGTGTACTAGAAGACATTGTTAGTTTAAACCTGTTGAGAAAGAAGATTGAGGCTTGAAATAAAGTGGGAGTCGCGGGGCAAGGATCACAGGAGAGGAGAAGTAACATACATTTCAGCAGCTGTAGTGGTGGGGGCGGGTTCCTGAGACGCAGACGAAGAAGGACTGGAACCAGAACCTGAGCCGGAGCCGGAGCCGGAGCCGGAGTCACCACCTGAGGTGTCACCTTCAGGAGCATCCTCCCCTGTTGCGCAGAGAACCGCAGGGCCGGTGGCAGCGCCTGGGCTAGTCTCGACGTCGGGGCCTGGCTCGGGGAATACAGTGTCTACACCTTCCTTGGTGCAGTATTTGCCGCCTAGGTTGGCCTGGAACACCTGCGGGCGATCGGCAAAAGCAACAGCACGCTTCTCATTGGCGGCGATAGCGCGCTTTGCGCCTCCGGATCCGATGTTGACGATAGCACAGGACATGTAAAATTCGCGGTTACCAGTTTTGTTCACCCAGGTCCAGGCGAAGACGACGTCATTGCCCTCAGGAGCGTCGTCAGGAATGGTGAAGCTGAAAGTGCCGCCGCTCGAAGTTGGGCAGCCTCCGATGAAGGACTTGATGACAGTGAAGGTTGAGCCCTTGTCGTAAGAGAGGGACAATTGGCAAGATCCGCCGTTGTGAAATGCACCACCCTCAACGGACATGGTGGCTGACTGGCCTGGGGAGTAAGTGGTAACAGCAGCACCATCAGCAGTGCCCATAAGCTTGAGGGTGTTCTTGCATGGATACTGTGCAGCGGTGATGGGAGAAGTGATCGAGTAGTCGATGTTGGACTCGGTCGTAAATTTGTTGCCCTTGTAGCTCAAGGGAGCAGGGTCGTTCATGTTCATGTGGGCCATGGCTGAGCCAGCAGCCAGGATGGCCATCAATCCGATGTTGAACTGCATGTTGAAAGTCTTGCAGAGTGTTGCAAAGCGTGGAGTGAAAGTCTTTTTTTCTTCTTCTGAAGGATTGAAGATGATGCCGGCTAGCAGCAGGACAATTGATCAAGAATCGTATGCCTTCGAAGGTAAACGAAGAGAAAAGGCCAAGTCTGGGGTGGCGTCGTTGACCAGGTGCAACTTATAATCAATGGCGGGTTTGCCTGTAGCACTCAAAGGAAAGATGAGCGTACAAAGATGGTCGTACGGGCTACCTTTTCAAGGAAGTCTTTATGGACACAATGATGTAGAAGTGCGGTGGTTCGAAGTAGAACAAGGGAGTGTGTTCCCCGAGTCACAATCGTACGAAACGGCTGTAACGAGCAAACCAGTGATGGAAGAGAAAGGCGAAGTGAATGCAATGCGATGCCACCAGGGACAATGCTGCGTAAAGGCGTGTGCGAAGAAGGAAAATGAAGAAGAGAGAAAGGACAGACACTGAAAGGACTGTTGGCCAGCAGAGGGTGGTGAGAGTGAAGGTGAAGGTGCGGGAATGAGGTGGGTTGAGGTCCCCTTGATATAAAGAATCGCAGCGTGCGGGTGTGGGTGGATCGAGGTACTTGCAAATTAAGTACCTACCTACTCAATGGCCACACAAGGTACTACTACCGGCCTCTCTCACATTACCCACCCGTGCCCTCAAACACTTACTTACTTACTTACACCTCGAGAGAAGTACTTAGAATTACCCGGCCGTCAACTGCATGGGCATAATTACTGGGGACTTTGTAGGAACGACACGCCGCCACAGCGAATCATCTGTATATGGGCCTCTTGACGTGCGAATCGATCTGCAGGCCTGCAGCAACTTGCCGCTCTCCGACAACGTACGCAGTCCACACATGCCTAACATCGTTATCCAAAATCAGAAGCCGACAAGAAACCCACTGCGTAGGCCTCCACAAGTCGCCCTGCTATCCTGTCTGCCTTATGCTGGGTAGAAAGCAGGGGCTGTCCTCATGGGACTCTGAGACATTAGGGTATATCGTCGGGGCAAATCAACCAGAATAGAAAGCTTAAACTTGAGATGCTACTAGCGTCGGCCTATACGTGAAGACGTATTAAGAAACATGGGGCTAGGGTAGTGGTCAGGCAGAGGTCAGGGTAGAAGGACACACTTCGGCGCAAGAGGGAAGCTCGGGAAGAAAGGACTGCGCAACCGCTGTGGCGTCGTTCCCCGCACCCTCGAGCCGCCTCGGTACTGATGTCCACGCAAGATACACGTTGCGCATGAAGGTCGAGGCAGATCATTGAGGCTTAGGACGAACGAGCGATAGTTCGCATCGTATACGAGTTTGGAAGCGAGATTTTCGGATGTTTAGCAAAAGACTACTCTGGACTACCTACCAACCATACCGAACGAATACTACATACTTGGACACACTCAGTATTCCAGGAATTATTGGACGGCGATGTAGGAGCACTACGCTTGATAGGTAGGTCTGGGAATGCACGTAGATAGCGTTCATTCAGGTTTGGTTAAGTCTCCGGTTTACTTGGGTGGGTAAGTAAGAGGGTTGAGTGATGGGATTAAGCCTTATCCAACACACGTCAAGCATGGACAGCAATCCCATCTTCCTAGATCTCGTTAGACAGGACGAAAAGATGGGAGAAACAAGGACGGCCTATGGTTCACGATGCATAGGAGAATACCATACGCGCGCGGTGTCGAGTGGGTGGCCTCCAGCGGACTAGGCAGAAAGGAGGAGGTCAGAATGAGGTTGTCTGGGTTGAAGTCACGAATAACTTATCTGGGTTGACTCAAGCGACCAAGCCCCCGCCTGGTACCTGCATTGGTGAAACTTCAATCGGCTATCGATTGGCTGTGGACGATCACTCGGCACAAGTGGAGGACAAGGTGGCACCGCTGCAGGAAAAGAAGACCAGCGCCAAGTGTCAGCGCCAGTGGCTTGCTTCCCGCGCTTCTGTGCTTCTTTGCTTCTACCTACACTAATCCAACTACCTACTTTCACACATCATGATGAGGTGAGGTGTGGAATGTATCCATAGACACATCAACACCATTGACGTGACGTATGTCCGTACACACGTAGGAAGTGTCAGGTGGCGTACATGTGGCCGCTGTAGTGTACCTTTGAGCGCCTTTACACAACTTGAAGCCGAAATTCCCTGCGCGAACAAGCATCACCAGCCGGGGAAGCACTGCATAAGCCCCGGCACTTACTTACTTACCTACCATCCACCCTATCCATTGAGCGCACCAAACAGCAGATCAGAAATCTGAGCATCGCGTGATATAAGGCGGCCCTTGTCTATTATAGCTCTAATGACCGGATATTAGGAAAACACCAAGTTCATCATTGCCCATCGGTGGGCATCTGATATAAGGAAGGCCCGACACCAGAGTGGAAAATAAATTGGTAGGATCAATAGACCCTATGCATTCTCAATCTTCCAAACTGCTTCCAATACATACACTATCTACATACTATATACACATATATACAGTATATAATGTATATACTAAACTTCTCGTGTATTCTGTTTTACTTTGTTGTTGTAGTATAACCAGTCGCACAGTTCCGATCCCGCACTCTACTCTGTCCCGCAGTCCGGCCGGTCAATAAATCACGTAAGAAATTATATCCGGGCGGCAGTTCTTGCTTTGCGAGCTGTTGAACATGCGCATGTGTTCAGCTCTGACCAGGAAAGTGGACGAATGGTATGGCGATGGTGTGTGTGTGGCAATACAACCTTCTTCAAAAGGGGTTTTTTCTTTCTTCTCCTTTTTGACTTGACTGACCGATTGTTTCAACCTAAACTTCTCCTTGGCTCTCGTGGCTGTCAGGGTTCGGGGAAGCTCTGGCCAGGGGTATAAAGGGGCTTCTACCGAGGGGCTGTTTCAGATGTTCGCGCCAAGCATACAAGTGCCTGCGCTTTTAACCAGAATTAGGTAATGCCCCTAGCGTATCCGTTCGATGGTTGCGTGGTAGGTAGGTAACATTATCTCGTTACTCAGCCCACGACATGCGTGACGGTGACGCCCGGGAAACAGTATCCCGTAACGGTCGGCTGAGCGCAAACAAACAGCCAACAGGTAAGCATATATTCGGTCCAGTAGATGACAACGTCATTAGCTCACATCCATTCACCCTATCCTCACCCTTCCATCCATACCGTATGGTGTCACTCCTGAGGCGGGTATCGTGGCCTAGTTGGGCGTCATGGAAACCAGTTGCGTTTTCCAACTCCAACTTTCCACAGATCCCGGCGGATTACCTTGTAGAAGAGGAGACACTCCCCAACTATCTTGCCTCGCGGTACTACCCAGTCCGCATAGGCGAGGTCCTTAGGGATCGCTATCAAATCGTGGGTAAGCTCGGGTTCGGAGCTACCTCGACGGTATGGCTCGCCCGTGATCTGAGGTGAGGTCGTAGTCTTGCGCGACAGCGTTACACTGTCACTGTTGCTCACGGGTTAAGCAGTGGCCGTCGCCACGTAGCTCTCAAGCTATTCGTCCATGCAAATTCAATGGGCAGCCAGCTAGATAAAGAGATTAATATGTACAAGCGCATGAAGGAGAGAGGCTCATGGTTCCATGACGGTCGCCACTATGTTAGGGACTTGCTTGATTCGTTTGACATCGACGGACCCGATGGACGACATCGATGTCTCGTGCATTCTCCCTTATGGGAGAACATGCATACATTCCTGCGTCGAAACCCAATTATGAGGCTTCCGCAGCCCGTCTTTGCTGTCATGCTTCATCGCCTCTTCTTGGCTCTGGATTTCCTACATACGGAATGCTCGATTATACACACAGGTATGTGCTGAACTACTAAGACACAGGAAGTCATTATTACTGATTCGGCATAGACATCAGAGCCGACAATATTATGTTTGGCATTGAAGATGACTCGGTTTTCCGTGAGCTCGAACAGCGGGAGCTAAGTGATCCATCCCCGCGAAAAGTGTTAAAGGATAGAACTATTTATACATCGCGGCAGCTAAGTATGCCCAAAGGAAGAGGATTGGGCGCGCCGGTTCTGTGTGATTTTGGCTCGGCTGTCTGCGGAGATGTGGAACACCGAGAGGACGTCCAGCCCAACATATACCGCGCACCCGAAGTCATCCTGGAAGTACCATGGACCTCCAAGATAGACATATGGAATGTCGGCTGCATGGTAAGAGATTGACTCGGACTGAGTGGCGGTGTCAAGATTCCCGATGCTAACGTAAGCCTGCGTGTGTTCCTCTCAGGTCTGGGATCTTTTCGAAGGTGGCCATCTATTCACCGGCCACGATCCCGAGCTCGCCACGTATCGAAGCCGAGCGCATCTCGCCGAGATGACAGCGCTCCTCGGTCCACCTCCTCAGCAATTCCTCGACCAGGGTAATCTGAAATCCAAATTCTTCTCAGAGAAGGGTCAGTCCATAATCAAACTCGCAATGTACAATATCCGTTGCTAACGTTACATCTTTTCTTTTCTTAGGGGAATTCTCTGGCGGAATACCTCTACCACCTGCGAGATCGTTAGAAGAGCTCGAAACTAATAATGAATTGGAGGATAGGGAAAGTTTTCTCCGTATGATGCGAATGATGCTACAATGGGATCCTCATGTCCGCAGCTCCGCCAAGGAACTTGCCGATGCCGAATGGCTACAAGGAAAGGTGTAGGGAATGATAGGTCGATTCCATCAAAGCGCACAAACAACTCATGTAGGTACTCCGGGAATTGTCAGGTTTCATCTCTGTCTGTAAGATTTGCGCACATAACATTAGAGCTAGCCGCTTAGCAGTAGTATAGATACCTCCCTAACTCAGCATCATCACTTGTTATAGGCGAAGCAATTGGAGGTATACCGTCGCTAGATGGCTGCACTGCTTCCTAGTTGTGGTTATCACTGAATTCACTGCCCCTAGAAGTCCTCCTAGAACAGCTTTACCATTCAGCGACATGAACTTTCTTATCAGATTCATATTGAATCACTGCCATTGTGCTGATATTGTCATTCGATGCGGCACTCCTAAGTGCTAAGTGTCAAGAAGTCGCCCTTTGGTCGAAGGTAACTCCAAGGTATTACTTGTATACCTAGGTGCATACCCAATACGGGTAGCCCTTCAGTTCCGTAGAATCAATTGATCGGGCCAACACTAGAGGGAATTTAATGATGACAGGCATCTTAGCTGTCAGCTGTCACCCCCATCTTTGATTCTAGCTTGCATAGCAGATACACAATTCGGCGACGAACAGAGCCTTCATTGTCTTGCACTCTCGACCTGGGACCTAAGATACAGCTGTCCTAATTCGTCGCCAGATTTAACCCCATTGCTTCTTACATACCTCCGAAGGCTTTTGCTTATCCTATGTCTCAAAGCTGAGGCTAATGGATATGAATCTCCTACAGTGACGCAGGGGGGCCACTCAAGCCACAGCTAGACAGATCTTTCAGCCTGCGAGTTTTCCTCTCGCCTTCCCTGAAGCTCAACAATGCTTCCCCAGGCCCGCTTCGGTCCTTCCATGATACTCCAATTACCAAATCTCCCTGACCAGTGTCTGCGTCAGTGATGAAACGGCAGGAAGCGTTAGAACGATATCCTACAAGCCAAGACTACAAAGGCGATATAAGATACCTATAACCTGCATATTTCTTCATAATCCAGTAGACTTTTGCACCCGTAGTTCTCTCACCGACGAGCTTTAGCTGGATCATGGACAAGTCGGCCACCCATGGATACGTGACCAGCCTGGTACTACAATTACCGCTGATGCGGTAGCATGGTGTCATGCCCGCGAATTACGTCATGGTAATTCTGGACTGAGTTGAAAAGCAGATGGGCGCTGAAAGCGCGGCGCTGGAATCCTATGCTGGCGACATCGCTACCGCATTCATTTGGCTTCGTCAGGTACTTCAGCCGCCCGTGCCTGAGGGCCAGCAGGAACCGCATGGGCGCCGGGGCCATGGTGCTGATTGTGGTTTTGATAGTTCTTGTTATAGCCGCTACTTCCATTGCGCTGGGGTGGCCCTGCGTATTGGTGCATTTGTTGAGGGCTGCTGCCGTACTGGGAGCCGGCACCGTTGTAGGACGGGCGCATATTATTATTTACTTGTGTTTGGTGTTAGCTTCCGGTTCTTGCGTGTTTCGAGTTTTTTGGTAGACATACTTTGACCTTGTGGTTGCGCAAATGGCTGCTGAAATTGCATGCTCGGACTCTGTGCGTACATCACTTGGCCCTGTGATGAGCCTCCAGGTACCATCATCGGTGCCGCCGGGCGGCCGGGACTGGGGTAGCCGTTAGCCGCTCCAGGGATAGGCTGCGGTGTATTTCCCGCCGGTATAAATGGCTGCCCGGCAGCGTACATGTGCATCTGCGGAGGCCCAGCTACCATTCCGGGGCCCATAAAATGAGGCTGCATCATCATTGGTGCAGCCATAGCTCCAGATTGCTGAGGCATGAATTGGGTATTATTCGACAAACTTCTATTAAAATTATTCATCTGAGGTGCGCCTGGGCCCATGAATGAAGGCATCATGTGTTGACCGTAAGGCATTTGGGGAGTAGAGTGCATGGTTGCCGGATACGCCATTGGAACTTGGTGAGTCATTCTAGGGGACGAATAAGACTGGTTGGAGTTCGAATGTATCATTCTATGATCATCACTGCCATTAAAAGGGGTGTGAGGAACCGCGTTATGCTGACCACCGTGCATCTGGACTGGAGGCGCATGTGGTGAGTGCCGTGGGCCAACGTTGTGAGCGCCATGTTGCATATGTAGTGGTAGCTGGTGATGGTGTGGGATATGTTGTGGAAGAAGATGAGGGGGAGTTGGTGTTGGTTGACTCGTGAAGGGCTGGCGTTCGAAGTACTCATCGCAAGTTAGATGCATCGTAGAGTCCTCTTTCTCCTCGTCCGCAACTGAACGCCAGGTAGGCGGCGTGTCATAAGAGGGTCTTAGATTTCCATTTTCACCCCAATTCTTTGTCTCAGGAGGTTGGATCGTCTTTGCGAAGTTCAAGATGTTGCACTTTTTTGGATCTGGAGTTCTACCCTTTTTAGAGATTATGATTGGTGCACTGACGTGGGTAACGGCGTTTGCCGAAGGAACATGGGCATGATTAATCGAGGACCGGGGGCTCGAACTTGCGCTGGGATGCCCGTTCGGGCTGAAACTCGGTGCAAAGGCGTTTGGCCGAAATTCGTGACTGTTGGGATTCAGCTTGGCGCTGAGATGATTAGAGCCACCCATACGTGGTGGGAAGGGAAGATTTATAGCATTGGCAGGGCCCGTAGGAGGTATTCGCAACTCTTGGGCTTGGGACTTCTGCGATTCTCGAATACGATGTGTGAGGCCTTGTCTACCTTGTTGCCCCATGTGCTGTTGGCCTGAGCGATTGTTTGGAAATGGTTGATAGTTGGGAGGTACACGTCCACCTTGATTGCGCATTGGCCCTGATGGGCCAGTCGCAGATGGAGCATTGGCAGGACGAGATGTTCTGCTCTCAGCAGGCGCCGTTGGAGTAGCATTGGATTGTGATTCCGCTGCGGTTCCTACGGGCTCCTTTTTCCCCTTTGCTTTCGCTTCATTAAGTTTACGTTGGGCAACCTCCTGGGCATCTCGATTTGCTTTTTCCTGAATCTCTCGTTGCTTTTCAGGATCTTTGGCAATGATGCTAATCAAGTCAAGCGGAACAGGGGTTGGAAGCTTGAAGTTGCTTGCAAATCTCTTCAGCTCGGTCAGCTTGACCTCTTTGTCCGCTTTCGCTTTAGTATGCCGCGCCTTGTCGACATTCATACGTTGTTGTTGAGCAAAACTCTTGAACTCCTTCAGCACATCAAACTCGACTGTAGAAGTTGCATTTTTAACAGGACCTTGTGCATCCTTCTGAGGCGACATAGTTCGACTGGTTGCAGCTGATGGCTTTAATGGGACAGACGCCTGGTTTGTTGGCTTGGGGTCGCTGGGTTTCTCTACTTTAGTCTCGGCTTTAGCTTCTGGAGGCTGTACAGGCAAGGGTACCGGTGCTGCCTCTAATGAAGATGTTGCCTGGGCTTTCTTATCCTCTTGTTTAGATGCCACCTGGGGTTTTTGAGTCCGTAATTGCGACGATATTATGGCCGGGTCAACAGGGGCGCCTTTCACTGTTGAATTGGCCGTAGGGGCCCGTCGAGCAGGAGGCGTATACTTAGTCTCGCGATTTCCAAGAGCCGCAAGATCCTGCCGTCGCACACCACTGTACCTATAATAAAGTTAACTATGATTTCCAATAGATCTATGAAATCAAAACATACTTTTCCTCCTCATCGTCGCCAGCATCATCACCGCCAACGAAGTTCATCTGCCGCTCCTCAGCGTGGTGTGCGGTGGTTGTGGCACTACCCTCGATTTCCTTAGCGGCCTTATCCGCTTTAGCCAACCTCTCTTTATACAGAGGATGGCTTTTGTCGATGACAGTCGTATAAATGTTTTCATCGTACGTTGTCGTGATACCAAATTGCCGTTCGTTGGCAGCGAATTGATCCCATGCTCGACCACTTGTCGACTTCTCGAGCGTCATATCTGTGCCTTCAGAACCGCTGGGTGCCACCCATGGTTGGAGGACTCGTTCACGATTGCCACGAGATGAGGATATTGCACCGTCTGTACGGAAGCTCGAGGGTGTACCTAAGAAAAGCTTGTTAGTCTATATTGCTCGCCGTATCTTCCAAGTCTGACTTACCATTGGATTTGTTGGCTCCTTTATTAGCATTACCGCCTCCTGACCGGTTCTCCGGCGTGTCTCTCTTTTGATATGACATCTTGGGCAGTTCCTTGGCCGTGTTTCCGTTCGCACTAATAGCTGAGTTCTTCTTATGCTGTACCATTCTCAGGTAACAGACGGAAGGGCCTGAAACGGTCAGACGGCCTTCGAGCTCGGTATTGGCCTTGAGGGTATCTCCAACCCTTTCACCCTGGTCAGAATGATGGGTGAGCTATGATTGGTTTCCAAAGAGACAGATGTTGGGATCGCTCATGTGTATAGGATACAATTGATTTGTTTTGATGTAATATGTCGATAAAATATATTTTGGGAAGATGCCAGAATATGTATTGGAGATACTGGACTAAGGCGACAGACGCAATGTGAGTCCGTAGATCCGATGCTCGCAAGAGAAAAATGTGGCTTTAGTAGTCTGAAGTCCTGAGCCCACTTACTTCGCGGCAGATCCAACTGTGCTAGCTTGTCATGCGAGGACAAGCTGAGTGGAATAACTCGGAGCCAATGTTGGTAGATGTCGCAGAGGTAGCTAGTCGGCCGACGAAGAGATGATTGCTTTCTCAATTGTTGGAGTTACTAGACAGCCGTGTCTGGAGGTGAAGGAAGGCGACAGTCAGCGCACAAGTGTGGAAAGACGGTGAGTGCGAAAGATAGTGAAGTGATTAAATGAGCGGTAGAAGAAAGCAAGAAAGAAAAAAACAAGAGCTTCGCTGTCCCAAGAGGGAGAGAAGTGTTCAAGGGGGTACAAAGATGTAAATACGAGATAAGACTGGGCAAGAGTTCAGGTTGTGCTTTGTCGTTGACAAGTCCAACTAACTCCAGCTGAAGTTGCTGCTGCAGACCGGAAGCTGCCAGAAGAAAAAAGGTGATCAAAGTCGCTTCCTGTTCCTGAGTGTACCTCTGCTGTTGCTGCCGCTACAACTGTTGCTCACACGGACACATTCTGACACTTCTTGTCGAGGAAAAAAAGGGCGGTGCGGGCCAGCTGTTGGCCACAGGTGCGATACCCATGCTACATTACCTAAAATACATGGCGGATGGTAAGGTAGGGGGAGAGAGAGGAAACTATGTCTCACCTCGGAGGGCTGGCTGTGCTGGACTGGGACTGCTAGATGGCTTGATCGCTGCTGGACCTGGGCCGCTGGACTCCGCTTCTCTGGTGGTGGTGCTTGTGCTTGGTGCCGCTGCCACCACTGCTGCTGGCGCTGCTGGTGCTGCTGAGGACTGGTACTGCTCCCGTCAATTCTCGCGGGCTGACATGCCCCCGCGTAATGATGTACGGGAGGGCCTCGCGAGGGACGAGTTTGGGTTGAAGAGGCGAGAGCTGCTGCGACGGACGGCGGATGGTCCTGGGCTGGGGCCGGAGGGTATTATGGTACAGACTACAGTACAGTGGGCGAGAGGGAGAAAGAGGAGCGTTAACAAAAAAAGACTGGGGATGGAGTCTGGGATGGGAATTGGCGAAGCTCAGGGAGGGTCCTGAAGGTACGAGCGAACAAGCAGGCGAGCAGGGACGTCTGGCCTGGGTCTGGGTGCTCTCCCTCGCTGCTGCCCACTCAATGTGACAATTGCGCCAGACGATGTTGGGGAAAGTCAATTGGGGCCTGGTCCGTGCCCCCGCAAGTGGGCTGTCCTTGCTTGCTAGCCGGGTACTTCGGACGACCTCTCTCAGGCCTGCGCAAGCAGCCCATAGGCATATTCCTATCGCTAAATCACACCTACACAACGAGTTATCCTAAGTACTCTGCTAACTACCTGTATACTATGTACATAAAGCTGGCCGCGCAAGTACATGTGATTACCTACCTAGGTAGTTAGTTGACTTGCTCGCTAACAGGTACCTTGCCTAAGTAGGTACCCAGCAAGCACTTTACCTTTAGGTACCTAACCAAAACTTACCTACATACCTACCTAGGTACCTACCTAGGTACTTACTGTAGGTCCCTACCGGAGGTCCCTACGCTGAGAGGTAGGCACTGAAGTGAGCTATGTAGGTAGAGCTACTGTAGCGTGTGCTTGTATTGCTAAAGTGGCTCAGCTGATTTACCTACCCGAGTACCTACCTTCACCGTGTCACGTCTCAATGTTTCATGGTGCTTGCCTCGATTTACGCGGACTACTTACTTCTTCTATTCGGAGAAGCAAACCCTAGGCTTGCTCAAAACTATCTGCGACGTTAGGAAGTCGTTGCAAAGTGTAGGTTCGAGATAGCCAGCTTGGCTAGCAAATTGACGTGCAAAAGCTAGATGGCGATTGGCTTGCGATAAGCAAGCACGCACTGAGGTAAGGTAAGGAGGCACCTTAACTTTCGATCGGCTACTTTCTGAAGGGACAAACGACTGGCCGGCCTCATGACGACCCAACAAGGAACCTCTGTTGTACCAGAATAAAAGCAGGGCCAGGTTATTCCAGACTGCCTAGGTTGACGAGCTGTGCCCTTATCTCGAGTCCTGGACAATGCTCGTTAGTGACACAGCTTGATAGATATCTTGCTGACCTGGCGTACAGCATCGGGCCTCGAAGTAGGTGTCTATGTGAGTAGGTAACAAGCACACAAGTCGCATTACGTACAGCTACCTATATTTAATGGTAACTTGCATGTAAATAGGCCCCAAACAAGACGGGTACCTTGCTAAACAGGTAAGACGGCAGGTAATTTGAGATCCCAGTGGAGGTGAGCGCTGAAAAAGGTTTGTTTGTACATGGAGAAATGAAGCTTCCCGCAGTTTGCTTCAGCTACCTAGGTACCTACTATACATAGGTAGGTAATCTGAATCTGAGATTTTGGTCGATGAGATCATTACTTAGGTAGCTAACACTCAGCCTAGATTCAAGACTAGGTACCTTAAATAGAATAAGATTAGATTATATATCATGCCCCTAGGCCATTTGGCATATCTAGCATCTGTGGGCATTGGGTGGTAGAAATTATTTTTCTATATCCGTACTTACTTCACCACATGTCGAGCAAACCTGGCCCCTTACTGAAAAATCCGTTGGGAATTTGGCCTGCGTACTTACCTGATGTAGGGTTTTCCTCCCAGGGTGGCCATTCATTCACGCACCGCACCGCCCAAGAGAAACACACGATTCACGTCCGATGTACGACATCTACAACACTGCTCGTGCAACCTAAATGTGCTCGCTCAGACCGAGAAGAAGCCGCCGCCAATTCTCGGTCGGCAAACACGAAGGTTAGTCGATTGATCCTTCTAGCATCCGTTCGGAGACTAATCGAGTCGGTGCGGACGTTTGCGCCGCCTCTCCTCGGTCTGTCTTGCTTCACGAGTTACTTTTAGATCGCCGACTGTGGGGCGGTGCTCAGACAAAACGAGGCTCTCTCGTGCATTTGCATAGCCGCTCGCTGCATAGGCACCTTTCTCAGGCACCTTCGACCTCACTCTGCGCAATGAAAGGGTAGGCTTACCAGTTTCCCGGAATAGAGCTTCTTTTTACGCCTTCACCGAACTTACATTGACGATTCTTATATCCTCGACAGGCGGCGGCCACAAGTAAGTTTCACAGGCCGAGATGATTGTGGATATCTACATGGCGTTTAGGTCTTGGCAAGCTGTGGGAATCGACCCTTCATTTTGAAAGGAGACGTTAAGCCTCGACAGCCTTATAGCTTGGCCGGGGCTTTCACGCAGTGTAGAGTGTAAAGGTAATCAGTTCATCACCTCATTGTCTGGTAAGGTAGTGTCATAAGCTCCTCGCATCTCTTGTCATCGCCACGGTCATCATCAACCAAAGCGTACAAACAGCAGAACAACGGAGAAGCTCCAGGTGTTCTCAACCCCCCTATTCAAGCCTTACACTAGCTTGCTTCATTGCTCAACTACCTACTTACAACCTTAGCCAGTGTTGGCATATATAGCAGTACTAGGTACCAGGTATTTGAGTAACCGGTGCATCGGTTTTTTACTCACAGCCAGTATTGTTTGATGCGGGGCTGACATGACAGTGGCTTCTAAAGGGTGCTTAGCAGGTCTTGTGAAACATTTGGCTTGAAGTCTGCCAGACAAACCGACGTTTTTGGTTGATTACTATATGCATTTTTGCCGAGGAGCATCAGGCCCTGGAGGACCTGGCGTTTGAAACAGATGTCTCCTTCTATAACGCTAACTCACAGTTTCGGGAGGACCAAGAACCACCTAGAGTATACATCCTACGTACCTAGACAGAAAGTGGAGGTAGTCATACATTGGTCAATACAAGACGGTAAGGAAATCAACCAAGCGCTCTTCTGCTACCTCCATATCCCATGACTAGATCAAGCGTGACACGAAAAGAAAATATAAGGCCGCCATGGAAAGATAACAAAAGCACCAATGAGTAGGTAATAGACAGTGTGTTACTTCCCCAATCACGGTCACAATGTCTCGGGTGGTACAGCTTTCAGTTTCTATCCCTCTTTCTTTTCCGCTTCTTTCGTCTACGGCACCCTTGCTCATCTCGATGACCCCCGGTATGGGTACGGGCCGCTCCAACACCCACCACGTGCAAGGAGTAGATGCTGCGAATTACCACGATGGGGCCAGAGGTAGGCGTTCCAAGGGAGCCTGTCAAACGTATGGGTTGTGAGATGTACCCATGCCGCCTATGAACTTGTAGCCATCCAACTACCTAACCTATACATATGCTGGCTCTGGACTTTGCCAGACAGTCCGTTGCCAAGTTAAGTATATAAAAATAAGATCATCTTGAATACGGGAATGCAAAGTCTTGCGCCTCGCTCGGATAATGTTACATCTACAGTGGCTCCGTTACATGGCATTCACTATATTTGCTGTTGCTGGGTGCTTACCCGCTACGCAAGTACGCAATAGGAGGGCTTTCAGAGTGTGCGAGTCATTCAGCTCGTCATTGACCAGCTTACTCAGTATCTAGCTATTCCGCAGTTGAAAATAGACGTGATGCGTGGATTCTCGACGTTCGCTACCGTCAGTGTCGAGCTATTATTTATTGCATTTATATGTACTGGTTATCTATATGTACATCATGGCGCTTGGATGCATCTGAACAGCTGGCTGGCAAAACCCCCCTCAGGACCGAGAAAATAAAAGGGGCTCCGCTTCCTTGCGTTCCATCCTCACTCTCAATATGAGCAAATTTGTACAGAAAAGCATTGTATAGAGTGGTCACGCATGTTGAGGCTTACATCATGGATGCCAGACATCAATATCATGATAAATGGCGTATTGCTAGGCAATATGGGATGAACACATACTCGTAAGGCCAATAACGTACAGTAGCCAGATAGACTATCGACCTATTGCGTCATTCTTCCTTTTGACAACATTTACTCGAGTGCCCCTCAATTTTTCTCTCCTTCTCGAACGCCTTCGAGTGCATTGGTATATCCCATGCGCCGCTATTCTCTATCCCTTTGGCTTCTACGAAGCCTCCGATACATTGCTGTCTCCAGTTTTACTCACGTGCTTTGTCACTGGCTATCCCTGCTAATGGATCAACAGTAGTAATACCTATATCTCATATAAAAGATACTCTAAAACTGATGTAGCGATTCGTAGTTATACGTCAGTTCAAATGAAATACAAGTTTAAAAAATATTTAGAGCTCTAATTGCATAATCAATTTTTTGGTATATATACAGAGGTTTCGTAGAAGCCAAAGGGATAGTAAAAGTCAAAAAGCTCCATTAGGGTTCCTATATATTCCACCATGCTTCGTATCTTACAATAACCTTAACCTTGTTTTTCAAGTTTACTACTAATTAAATATATAAAAGCTTGCTTAGGTTCTTTATCCGTTATGCTATTTTACTATTTTATTAAGCAGGTTGAAGAAGCTAACAAGGAAATTACAAAGTAGCTTATTCCTACGCATTTATACTTGCTCGTATACCTTTAGTGCATCCATACAATAATTAGAACTTTTACCAATACAAACGTCTTTGATTATTGGCCTTTCTCAATATTTCCACACAAATGGCCTTCAATCAACCTCAAAAATGGTCCCCGGAACCATATCAAGAAATAAACATAGATCAACTCAGCACCGCTATGCTCTGGCCCTACCCTGTACCTTCACCGACGTACCCCGCCGCACCAAGAGAAGAATCTCGAGCACGGTTCAACCAGAAGTATGCCCACAAAGCTTTGAATGCCTCAAATCGTCTTACAATGGACGAGCTTGAGCTCGTACGTAGACATCTTTCAGACTTGTTTTACGAGGCTACAGCTCTACGTTTACGATTCCAGCCCCCATTCTCCCACGGCTGGTCGAGGACGCTGCTGATGCCAAAGCCCGCGGAAGTCTCCTTGCGAATAAATGAACTCGACCTATGGAACAAGCAAACCGCCGTTTATTTTATTGGTGACTCGCATTATTCAGGCCATGACCACGGATATACAGACCGGCGTCTGGGCGCTTACATCTACCGCGAGTGGCACCGCGTGCATAACGGCCGACCGAACCTGCAGCGTTACAACTTCTTCGCTAAGGCATTGCAGGTAACGAAATCCTTAGAATCATTCGACGTAGCAGCTGTCATCGATATACGCCGGCGGGTATGCAATTCCATGTCGGCCAAGTTGAATGAAGAGGTCATCTTCCGCTACCCTTTTCTCGCTGGAAAAGTGGAAAGCACAAACTTCCCGCAGGCAAACATAGCGAAGACGTGGCGTGAGCACGGCTTCACCATGGGTCATCTCTTTCGCGCCGTCTTGCTCGTGGCAGACGAAAACGTTATTCCTGAGACGTGCCCAGTGCAGCCAGAGTCGGGGCTTAGCGACGACAGTACGCATAAGGAAACAGCGGCATGGCTGGAACGTCTGATGCCGGAGTGCCGCGTGTTAATGGTACGCACTGGGGACGACGCGCATTTGAGCAGACCTGTATCTTTCGCAAGCCTTGTAGACCCGTTAAACAGCGACCAGGGGGGTGGGTCCGGTCAGGTGGACATGGTTAGGGTGAGGTCCCTGTCGCTATACGTTTTTTGCACGAGCTGCAGGTACAGTAGGAAGCTGCATACCTTGATCTGCGGCGCGTAGCAGACAGAATGACGGAGGACCGCGAATATGCGTGCCGCGAATGGGTGGACAGCGTAATGCGCTATGCTGAGGATGTGGGCATGGACGGGAATATGTATACTTGGAAAGCTGTGAGGAGGATGTGGGCTGCCCGCGATGGAGAGACTTTTAGCGACGGGCAAGGCGACGAAACGCGTCTTTTCCCTCTTTATTCCTGGACAAGTATATGGTAGAGCTTTATAACTGGTCAGTGTGCTGTTGTAATACAGGAACCTACGGCATACGTCTCCAGGGGTCATCCATTCATCCACTCCATCGCTGCGTTGTTTGCTTCGCTGTGTTTCTTTATATCGCCGCTGTCTAGACTGATTGAAGATCTGTCAGCGTCGTTAGCAGCTCTTGTCGTTCATGCTTCAATGCGGAACAACGAGTCTGCTAGGGATCCATTGACACAGGGTTGACAGGTCTTCACTTGGAGAGTGAGTTTGTAGTTGTAAGAGCGCATTGATAGATGATAGGTAGATGTCGAGCTGTTGGTAGGTAGTTATCGGGCAGGTCAGTTGACGTAAGTGCCCTAAAATAACACACTAGTGCAAGCTGTGAAACATTGTTTTAGTGGCTTCGGGAGGTTGGGTTTGGTTTTAGCAATGACAAAGGGGATCAAACCACCCTCCGCTAAAACCCGTATCTGTCCCAGGATGGGATTAGGTTAGGTATATCTCAAGGTACCTACTGGATACTAAGTACTGTCGGTCTGATGTCTGGCCGCATTGAACAGCACATTGTGTGCAATACCTACGCATAAGTAGATATCCGACGATAAGGCGGTATACTATGTACGAAGTATGTATATATAGGTACCTAGACGCAGAGGGGCATTGACCACTATAAGTACCTACTTAGGATCTCAATTGCTTATTGTTGACCGATCCCATCCACCTACCTTTTATAAAATAAAATAAAAAACACACAGGAAAGAAGAAGGCTTACCTCGCCTACTTACATACCTCTACCTACAGTACATCATATGTAAGTATTTACCTCCAGTGTACATAGTACCTAGTGACCACTCTCGCCACTCTGTACTTGGTGGTTAAATACATACCCAGGTAGGCAGGTACCTACAGTATCAGTTACTCCTCCTCCTCCTCCAGACTTTGTGTCCAGAGCTCCTCCCCCCCCCTTGCTTCTGTCGCAGGTTGAGGCTTGTCTCTTCTTGGACTAGTGCGAACGCCCACACGGAAATCAGCCTGTTCTGCTCTTCGACGTCGCGCGCTTCAGCATTGTCGCCATCGTCCAGAGCATTAGGGCTGTCATCTTCATCACATGCGACATCTGTACTTGATGCTCGGATTCTCGTCCCGTTAATACCATTCCATCGGCTACATCCACGCCATCTACTTCTCCATATCGTCGTTATCATTGCCGTAGACTTTGCTGCCTTCCACAACATCTTGATCCCCTCCAATAGCGCACACGATTCGACTAGCTCACCCACGATTCGTCGAATACGAACCGGTTTCCGCCGGAATCGCTCCGTTTTAGGATATATAGATAGACTTAGAGGCTAGTCGTGGTTGCGGTCGTATACGTAGTGAGCAGGACGGAAAGATAATAGCAAGAGCAGATAGGTTCAAGTAAGAGGAGGTGATTGGGCGGGTGGAAGCTAGAAATCCTCGTCGAAATGCAAACATCAAATCCTCCGTCGCAGCGCACGATGCACCGACGGTCTCCGGGACCCGATGGAGGGCCCTCCAACCCCCCCGTGCGGTCCATGTCTCCAGCAAACATACAGCCACGCTCATCCACCGCTTCAAGTAGATCAGCTGGCGGTAGCGCAGGCAGTTCGAGGCGGAATGTGAGTCATGCCGGATTTCCTCCGGAGCTACCCATTTTGTTGTGTTCAATCTTCTTCCTGCTCTGTGAATTACTGCGTTTCCCTAATAATCGAAATACCCCTCGAGATTTCAGATGAAGAGGCCGTGTTTCTTATCCTCCCCCTCCTCCTCCCTATATAGGAAACCTTCCGCTGACCACGCCATCTCCCCAGCAATCAAATGGCGCGAGTATGCCCCTCTCGCAAATAGAAAAAAGCGTCACACACCTCCTTGTTGCCACGAAACAGCTCTTGGAAACTCTGACGCAATGGTCTCGTGGCGCTGCTACGGACACCCAAGTGTCAGATGTCTACGTACGATTGGGATACGAATTTAACATGGCTTGTCGCGCGTTCACTGCCATCAATGTAGATACTTCCGACCTCGGAAACGTGCCCGAGTCTTTACGACATATTCTCGAGGCGACCTTGAGCCAAGAAGCCAGTACGGAAAGCCTAGAGAAGTACCTACCTCGAATACGTGATATCATAATTAATCTGCTTCATGGCTTAAAGAGAAAGCAGCAGAAGCTCAGACAGAGGCAGTCTAGGGACAAAGATGGTGGTATCCCTGAAGACAACGGGATGGCTTCCCGCACTATGAGTACCAGCACCGTTGGAAGCAATGGCACCGGTCTTACAACCCTGTTGAACGAAGGACTCGAGAATGGTTATAACAACGCAGTACAGAGAGATGGCGGTGGCCGAGGATCTGGAGGTAGTGCAGCTACGACTGGCGTTGAAACGTCTCCCAGCCGAAGATTTCAGCGAGATCAGTCTCAAGCTTCACTAGCATCGGACATGTCATCTCTTTCCAGCAACACGATGCAGAATATCCCTGTGTTGCCTCCGTATCCTGGAGATGAGACTATCCCAGCTGGCCCATCCAAAGGCAGTTTGGATATTGATTCTTTTCCTCCACCTCCCCCTCCGCCCAAGTCTCAACAAAGTGCCCTTGCTGCTCTTCAAAGGGGAAAGGACCTCGAGAGAAGGGCATCCCGAAGATACTCGGCATATCAGATTTCTAAACACTTGGGAGCACCGACCAATGGCGTACCCATGCTGCCGACACAAAATACTCCAGTGCCTAATCGAGGACGCGCAGAAGTTCGAGAGTCCATGCGAGCAGTACAAGTTAGAGAATCCATGCGCCATAACCGCAATGCATCTAATCAATCTAAAAGCATGTTTGAAAGCTCACCTATTCGAGTGCCTAGCGAAATATCCGAAGAAAGTTCATTGGCCGAGTTACCACCTCCAAAGGATGTCTCACCGACGCGGTCTCCCGATGAGAAATACCGGCCAAGTGCGACAATATCGGGCCCTTTACTAGATGCATTTCCAATAAATGGCTCGGAAGCCTCTGTTGAAGATAAATCTAAGGTTAACCTCCCTAGAGAGTCGCACCAGCGGCCTGAAACACCCAGCAATAGGGAGCAGAGGGAGTTTACACAAGAACAGTCTCCGCCACTAGATAAAGAGCTGACTCTTTTCCTACAATACAAATCGAAGGTGAAAAAGTTCGTCCTTCCAGAAGGCTATACTGGGTTGACAATTGGACGCCTCCAACTTGCTTTTATCGAAAAGTTCTCTTGGAACACTGCTCTAAATGGCGCTGATTTACCTGAAATTTATATACAAGACCCAGTTTCTGGTGTACGGCATGAGCTTGAAGACCTCTCTGACATTAAGGACCGGACGGTTTTAGCTCTCAACATTGAGCCTCTTGATGAGGTGAAAAAGCACATTGACGAAGGCTTGGGTACTCTAAGGAAAACAATGGACGAAGTCCGACAAAATGTCACCGACCAAGCGGCAGCCTTACAGCAAGTGTCAGACAGGCAACTAGAAACAGCCAAAGAAATGGCACGCATGGCAGCAGCGCCACCTATTACCGCTGATGGCTCTAGAACTAGCGGCACGGGTTTTGGGGCCAAGCTTAACCCCAGCCAGTCCAGAGAGTTGCAAAGTCTGCGCCGTGATCTCGCTATATTGCGCCAAACGTATTCCAATTTCCAAACTGAAATTCAGAGCTCCATGTCTTCACTACGAAACAAAGCCGCCAACGTCAAAGTCGCAGCTGTTAAGGCAGTTATGCCTAATGATGAGGGCGATGCAGGGTATAGCTATGTTGTAAAGGGCCGAAAACAACTCAATGCAGACTCTGATCGACTTGTCAATAAAGTTGACGATCTTCAAGATCTTGTCGAGGATTTGCGAAAAGACGTTGTTAATCGCGGTGTCCGACCCTTGCCTCGGCAGCTTGAAGGCGTATCCAAGGACATCCAGGTTTTGACTAAGGAGCTCAAGAAGATGGAGGATTATATGAAACGCGAGAAACCCGTCTGGACGAAGATTTGGGAGAAGGAGTTGGAGGAGGTCTGCCAGGGCCGTGATGAAATGAAACTTATGGAAGACCTCATGATTGACTTAAAGGATGATCTCGAAAAAGCAACAGAGACATTCACATTGGTAGAACAAGCGACGAAAGAACAGATGAAGGAAAACACTCCCGCGGCGAGGCAATTCTCTCGAGGCCTACAGAATCTCGGCAACAGCGCTGACCAGAGTGCTGCAAAAGAAAATGTCTTGGGCGAAGTGCGGGCACTACAACCTAATCACGAAGATCGATTAGAGGCCATCGAGCGCGCCGAGAAACTTCGGCAAAAGGAACTCGAAAGTCGAAAGGATAATCCAATGAAGAAAGAATTAGCTAAGTTTGTTAAGGAAGACAAACTGAAGAAGAGCGGTGGTTTCGAAGAAGTGGAAAGGGCGAGAAAGGCCAAAGACGATCGTATTAGAAGAGAAGTATGGGAACGCATGAATGGCATTGTACCGGAAAATCCGGTGGGAGAAGAAGCCAACACTAGTGATGCCCCAACAACAATGGAAGATGAGGGAGAACCACCCCAGGCATGAAAGAAACAGCGAAGGGAATGAATGAAGGAACCCCATATTTTTATACCTGTATACCCCTTATATTTGTGATGTTTATTCTTCTAGTACCTATGCCTCTTCACGCTTGTACTTTCACTGCATCATGTTTATATCATGTGTCTATATGGTCCTGTCATAGCCTCGGAGTGTTTGCTTTAATATTGATTTCCATTCTCTGTCTCATATTGATCTGAGAAGACTTACACACTTTTATCTCACTTTGTGCATACAAATATCGAACGAACCGTTGGTTGTTATGGAAGCCTTTTTTGAATTGTTTGACTCACAATCCTTGTCAGCTATATACATATCGCCAGGATTGCAGAACTGAAGTTAGTGCCCATTCTTCCATCTTCCTCAGGCCAATATCCTTACATGACCGGGAATCTTTTTTTTTTAGTCTTCTTCCGCTAAATTCCAAAAAAGGCCATATCCACGGTGGCGTGGATGGGAACGCTGTGGCCTACTCCGTTGGCGCTGTACCCGACCAGTTGCGCTGTTGTCGCAGTGCCCTCGCCATAGATGGTCATGGTATACCCTGACTGGGGTGAGTTGGAGGTGGCCTTTGACGTAGTCAACCCAAAGACGTTTGACCATTGCTTCATTGTCTCGGCATCTGCGTTTAGTCGTCAGTAAGTAACATACAGCCAATAGAATCAAGGGATTAAACGCACAGTTGGGGTAACGAAGAGTGTTGTCAGCAGTACCGTGCCAGCTAGAAATTCACCCATCGTCAGCGTTTATCCACAGGGTCAATTGGTGACTTGCACATTTCAGTCTCAAGAGTAAAACTCACATCTGCATCCTTGGGCGAGTGCCGTTGTAGCCAGGGTAGTAAGAGCGGACCATATCTCCCCATTGCGCTGCCGTCTTCGACAGCTGCCCGTTGGCGCATTGGTTGTTCCATCCTGGGGGGTCTTGGGTGGCGGTCGAGCCGGAGACGTAGAAGCATCCGTCTGGTACGCCGGAGTATACCGAGCCGGCCTTGAAAACTTCTGGGTAGGCTCCGACTAGCACGTTGGTCATCATGGCGCCGGAGCTGGTGCCAGTTACGAAAACGCGGCTAGCATCCCCGCCGCTGAATCCTGATGTTAGATATTGCCACTTATTATAAAGACTGCGATCCTTATTAAGGCTTAAGATGTGGAAAAGGCTAAGAACATACTAGTTTTGAACAGCGTATGTGACCATATTTGCGATGGTCTGGCTATCACCTCCGCCATTGTGTGTAAGAGCTAAACAGAGTCTCGTCAGGAATTGATAAAGAGAATTATAGAGTTTCACATGAATAAAATGTGACAAAAATAGGGGCATGATTTGGAGGGTAGTGAACATACATGCAGTTGAGGCTACATCGAAGCAGCCACCACCAGACTTCGAGTTAGGGAAGATGACAATGAAGCCACGCTGGCTAGCCAGCGGCATAAGACCAGATTCCGAAGAGTATTGCTGAGCTGATCCCTGGCAATGGTGTACTGCGACGATAATTGGGGCGGGCGTCTTGAGGTTCGACGGCACGTAGACATACATGCCTAGATTCGTGGGAGTGCCTCTGAAGCCATTGACTTTGGTGATCGATTGACAACTGCCAAACGACATGAGTCCGGCCAGGACAGAAAGGGTAGATAGGATCTGCATATTGTCGTAGTGCTCGCGGAATGCTAGTAGGCGGTTACTTGCTTAGAATCAACAATTCTGAATAACACAACAGGTGATTGAAGATATATATATGAGCTCCGGTAATATAACACTCCCCGTCTTATAATAGGGCCCATTAGTACTAGCCAAGCTTCCACTGCCGCGTGACGGGTCTTCGTTTTAGCCGTCGTGTACCTGCGGCTAATGTGCGAGGACGCAGGTCGAGCTATTGCGGCTGAGAGAGGGCCAATTTGGGGCGTTGACGACTCCGCGCCAATCTCGAGCATCGTTAATCAACGCGAGAACGCAAGCTGTGGCTCAAGCGAGCCATCGGAACCTTGATGGCCGAATTTGCAGCCATTGGTGCGAAAAAAGCAGAATAGGGTGGAAAGATTGGCTACGGGAAGATGGAGGAATGCTGGGAGATCGTCATATGTGCAGACCCCCATAGTAAATGCTTGAAAACTGGGCTAACAACGATGATACCCTGAGTGGCCAAACGTGGGGTTGATAGATTATACAGTCTTGGGATCAGCTCCTGCGGAATAATCATTTGAGTCACAGCTTGATTTCTCAGATCAATTCCCAGCCCTTGCGATGGATCGAGTGGAATGAGAAATCATGGTAATAGACTGTCGTCTGATAAGACATGATAGAGAATGAACAACTGTCCCTGTAAGGCTTCATCCCCGACATGCTATGATCTAATACAATTACAATATTGTTTGGTAGCCATCAGAGAATTGGCGGCCTTGATGGCAACTGGGGTGTATAACGATACAACTTCGAAGGTCAGGGGCTGAACTACGCGTTGTGGAGTGGTTTAAGGGAGGGCAATATAGCAGCAGTTTTGACCATTGCCCCAAGTTAGGTAAACATGTCACATACCTCGGATGATGACGTAGACAGTAATCAACGCCTCAGTTACTCAGGTTGATAAGATGTGATATAACCCAATTGGTGGTATAATCTTTTGTTTATCTTGTTCATCCTATTATTGAAAAGAAGACGCAACATGGTATAATCATGACAATAACTAATAGAATGGATGGGTAAGCTAGTCTGACACCAGTACCTAAACTGTGATTTATTCGAAACAAAGGGAACCTCCTTACTCCTGGTAGCCATTACATGTTTGCTAACCTCAGAAATTATCGCGCCTGTCTCCCTTAAGTGTCCAAGGAAAAGCCATGGTGTCGCTCCATTAACTATTCACCTAAGCAAATCGCCAACCACCCTCAAGCCACTACTCAACGTGCTCAACATCTATGGGCTTCTCTGAAGTAATGGGGCGAGAGGATTCATCACCCAGGACTGTCATCTTGGCCTTATTAGCCCCAATCTCAGACAAATTGACGCCTTCCTTTCGCATCCTCTCAATGTGATGTGCTTCAGCCGCGTACTCATCCCTCTCCTCTTGACTCATCTCTGGACCCAGTAGCAGGAATACGAGCATGTAAACCCATACAGCAGCCATGAATACAGCAATGACTTTGCCGTAGTCATACCTGTGTACGCCGTCCTTAGGAGGCAGGGGAAATCGTTCACCGATCGTGGCTTGAATGGTAGCTGCTGCTGACGAAGCTAGATTACCAAGCTGGTAGGTGACTCCAACAGCGGTGGTCCGAAGTGCCGGTGGCGAAAGCTCGGTCAGATAGATGGGGATGGGGCCCCAGACACCTCCAACGAAGAACTGCAAGAAGAACGCGCTAGCAGCGAGCTTCGTTGATCTGGGTATTGTATAAGCGGGCAGAACGGCGGCGCCTATGATACAACAAGTAATCATGCTGAGCCTTCGACCGAAGAACGTGCTCGTATAACCGATCGTTATGCCTCCTATTATAGCGCCTATCTGTCCAATCACGCTTATGATAGTCACATCGGTCGGGCCCAGTTCAACCTCTTTAACCTGTTAGTAATACACTTTACACGATATGAACAACGCCACGAGCCTTACGGTTTTTTAAGAATGTGGGATATAAGTCCTGCGATCCATGAGAACAAGAATTAAACCCAGTCATCAAGACAATGAGGTAGATGAACAAAAACCAGTTCTCCTTGAGTGATACCTTCACGTCTCGTAACCAAGCCTTTGCACTCATCATTGTAGTAACCTCTGAGCCTTGTGCCATCGCGGATTCGCGTGCCGCTTTCATGACTTGCGAAGCATTGGTCTCGGGTAGCCACCACCGATATGCGATAATCAAAACGGGGGGAGCAGCACCGAACCAAAACAAAGATCTCCAGCCATGAGTAGTCGTAGGTACCAGCTATGTTCTATTAGATAATTCTTGTTTCATAACTGAGGACATCTTACTGCTCGGTAAAATATTGTTGCCAATATCGATCCAACAGCATAGCCCTGCTGATACAAACCAGACAACAGCCCCCTAGCATCATACGGGAGGTCTTCTAGCGCGGTGGCTGCGGCCGGTCCATAAAGACCCCCCATTGCTATACCGTAGAGCGCTCTAACGCCGAGGAACTGAGGCAAAGACTGGGCGAATCCGGAAGCGAGCTCGAAAATAATGAACAGAAAAAGGTTGGTGATCATTGTCCATTTCCTCCCATATCGATCTGACAAGCTGCCGAATATGAGGGCGCCTACAAATCGTAACATCAAGGTAATAGTAATGCCCCAGGACACAGCTGAGTTGGTTGTCTCGAATTCAGTAGCGATCTCCGTCACGCAGAGAGCGACCGTGAAGAAGTCGAACGCATCCCAGGTCCATCCGAGGAAGCCCACAGAGAACATGAGCCATTGGTGGCGGTCAAGGTCTTTGAGCACATGAATTGGGTTACGCAATTTCGTCTTGGGGGGCTTCAGACTCGTGAATCGAGTGCCGAAATAGCGTGCTATCTGTTCGGAGGAATAAAACCACCCGGCTGCCATATGATTCCGCATCCTGCTTGAAAGTTTCCAGGCGCTCACTTATTTAGAATGAGCAAGTAAGACAGATTCTGAGCAACAACGCAAGCTACATGAGAAGCCGGGCTCTTGCTCTAGTATTTGTACGACTGCACTCGCAAGATGATCCTTCCGGTCTATCCACGGCCAGAACTTGCAGGGACCAAGCCAATATTTCAGCCAACCTTATCGACGACCATACAGAGAGAAGTGAGACGAGGGGAACCTGGTAGATTTACTTCCCTGTCTATGTAGGGTTGTATCCGTCGTTGGAGACTCACCGGAAAGACGCCATTGGCGTTCAATCTCAATCCCATGAGAGAGCGGCTGTTTGCAGCAATGGCATCGGGTACTATACGCCAATCATGGAGTGTCTGAGACCTCATGGCTTGCCTGCCGGGTCTCTTCTGGTCTAGATACATGACTGGCTCTACTGTACCACGGATCGGCACAGCCCTAATTGAATAAAACACTGTATAGTTGCCACCGGCTTTATAAATTGCGGTGACATTTACCCAGTGTGCACATTTTTGATTCAATCAGCATTTCCCCGATGAAGATTTGGTATCTATTTGTGCGATTTCTGACCCTCTTGAAGCAAATCACTGTAGGTAAAAGGAGAAGGGATAAGGTATACCATTTCATTCCAAGCAACTCTCATATAAAGGTAAGAACAGAAGGAAATAAACACAAAAGGGAGGAAAAAAGAATAGGCGATGCATGTAAATGCAAAAACGATGGTACAGGAGGAATTGAACCTCCGGCGATGGACTCGCGGGGAATCGAACCCCGGACCACTCCCATGCTAAGGGAGTATTATACCACTAAACCACAAGCCCGTGGAATCCGAGGGTGGTGAACCCTATGATAGCGAGGTGTCGTTAAAATAGCTACTATAACCAAGATTTGTTTCAGTTATTTACTCGGGCAAAATGAATATGGATTGTATAACTCAATTTACAAATATCCATCCAAATGGGATATTTTTTTAAATCTTACCAATAATAACCCAGTATAGCTATTTCAATAAGGAGCAAAGCTAAGGTATTGTATACTTTTACAGCATATAATAATATCTCCGTCATGAATAATAAGAAAAAGTATAGTAACATCTTTAAAGTTGAAAAGCAAGGATTCAATCTAAAAGTATATGTTTTACTACATGTCAATGGAGTAATCGCTTTCCAATGTTATTCTGAACAGCCGTTCTAGCAAGAAAATTTAATGCATAACTTTTCTGTGAGTCGAGGTCTAATTACATGACGCCCAGTCTATAATGAACACCTCTAATTACCATATAATTGAGCTTGCTCTTCCATGGCACTGGAGCTGACACACAAGTATTCTATAATTTCTTTTTCACCCCTGCTTTACGCAATTGTCTTCTCCTTGCACTCGATACTAGACGTTTGTTAGCTCAGGTGTCTCGATGTTGATGAGAATATATGGCGCTTACCCATATTTCTCCTTCAGTTCCTTGATTAGTGGGTTGTTGATCTTCGGGGACATTGGCGCTAGAATGCCCTTATCGGAGATGGTACCGTCGAGAACTTGCTTGACAGCTGTACAGAAATCATAAGCAATCTGTTCATGTATATAACTTGGAGTGATGAGCAGCAGTATTAGGTACTTACCAACAGCACAAGGTACTCCCACCACTGTAATTAAGATGATTACGTCAGTCAAAATCGCCAAGTTTGGGGGTTAGGTATTATCAAGCAGAGGTGTTTGTTGACTGAGTCAACAACTTCGAACTCACTACAAAATGGTCAGTAAGCATATATTCAGTTTATAATATTTGGCAGAGACGAATGGCTATTCATGGGCTGAATATCCTTTCACGTACCATTTTGCCATCGCAGAGTAGCCTCCTGATCCAACGGGGGCACCGTACTCGCATAGCGTCGAAGTTCGTGTTTCTCTGCTACCATCCTTGTGCTCAATCTCGAATTTATGCTGAAGCATGACCATATCTGCAATTATAGGAGGTTAATATTTACAAAATTCTCAGTACCCGAGGCTGTACTTACCGCGCTCGCGTTCCTCATACTGCATCTTCTGTTCTAAAGTGGCGCAGAGGGTATCGAGTGGGTTGCCCTTGGGGACAATCTTTTCTGAGGAAAACTGTACAACGATATCAGCTTTTGCACTCCCTTACGAGGTTATGGATGATAGGTGCCCATAGAAAACAAGGTGACGTTGAAATTGCCGGTGCTATAAGAGGAAGGATGAACATAATATAATATGACTTACCAATCCGATCCACTTCAGTCCGGCAAGAAGCTGCTCACGCTGCTGGTCATCCTTGAAGTTTGCCTTGGAAACAACTGCCGAGATTAAATCTTGCTCGCCATTGCCAGACGCTCCGATGATCTTTTGCGTAGCCTCGTTCCATGAAATTGGCTCCTTAAGAGCACTGTTCTCGTTATCGCTCAAGAAACCCACTATACCGGTATTTAGCAATGATCCCAACCGCAAATTATCGAGGAGCGAAAGGATTGTAAGCTTACAGTCGACCAGTAACTTGATGAACTCCCTTTAAATGATAGTGTTAGCGTCTCCTTTCAATTGGGATTATTTGAGGGCTGTCTGAAGAGCAACATCATGAGACTTTGGCAGCGTTAAAGGCAGTGTCCAGCCCATTATTAACACCCAAGATAGAAGAAATAGAAGAAATGAAGGGTAACAGAGAGCTACTTACGGGAATCCTCCATATCGAAGAGTGCCACGAACAATAGTCTGGGCCTCTGGAATGTTGTATCTGTCCGAATATTTAGGTCAGATGTGTGATCTTATCCAAGGACTGGGAAGGCCTTCACCAACCGCTCCTTGTATGGCGTAGAGTCTCTGTTGGGATACGCAACAAATGCGAAGCCAGGGTATATCGGATAGGGCTTCGCCTCTGCCATCAGTGCGGGTCCCTCCACGTTGACGACCTTTCCTCCTTGGTAATAGCTGGCGGCATTTCGCAGGGCCAAGAGAACACCCCTGCTATAGATTAGCTGCAGGTTCTGAAGCAGTAGACTGCATAAAATCGATCTACTTTAGGGAATAAGACGTACCTAGATGACCAACTGAACTTATACCCAAGGGGGTTTCCAGAATCCTCTGAAAATATTTAGCATTCAAACAAGAAAATCGTCACCTCGAGTGGGGTTTGGGGCCAGTGTTCTACATCTCATCTCAAGGACACGTACCAGGGGCCGGTAACCCGCCTAAAATACCAAAGGATGTTAGCCCAATTCTTCATTGCACTTGTTTTTCCAAAGTCGCACAAGTTTTACATACCGCAGTATGAAAGGAAGGATAGAATCTTCCCACCAGCCTCATGGACCTCAGAGATGGTCTTGATGGCGTATAAGTGCTTTTTAAGACCATTCGGTTAGCTGCGTATTCTCGAGGGAAAAATAGCCGTTGTCTTGGGTGCCACTATGCATTATAGCAGGCCATTTCCGTAGGCGAATGGGGCTGGGATGTTGATAACATGTTTTTAGGATGCTTACATCGACACCGGGGTCCACACCAATCTCGTTCATAACGGTTATACCGGCGTCTTTGCATTGCTGATCAAGCTCCATCATGGCAGGCGAGACATAGCTCGTGGTGACAACGTGCTTCTTCTGCCTAATGGCGCTCTTGATGACGGTAGCGTGGAAAGTGTAAGGAATCAGAGATATAACTAGGTCGTTCTTTGCTACCTCGGCATCGAGGGCCTTGTCGTCGTTAACATCGAGAGAGATGGGATGAGCGTTCTTAACACCCTTTGAAAGCTCCTGCGCGCTCTTAAGAGTTCTGCAAGCTGTTAAAAGTCAGAAGAGGCGTAGTAGGAAAATTAGCAATAAGTTCGGAGACCTTACCAACGGTGACTTTGATGCCAGCGTCACTGAGAATGTCGAGGGTAGGCCGTGTGACGAACCCCGCGCCCAGCATAAGAACCTGTCTAGGGAATTGTCAGTAGAGATTGTTAACTGGCAATTGCGTATGATTACCTTTGCGCCATGATGTCTGATTCAATCGTAGACGAAATAGAGATTCTATATGGAAGTGGATGTAGAGTAGAGGAGGATAGAAGATAGAACGTCACTGGTGTGTGTACTTTGACTCAACAATAAGGGCCCCTCCAAACCTCGAAAGAGCTGGTTGCCGAATTCGGAACTACACAACATTTTAGTGGAGCCAGTACCTCCGGCCCGGCATCATATCTAGTCATCATGCACCGCTTAACATCGGTATGCCGAAGCAGCATGCGCGTCTCCGCTGGCTATTACATTAAGCGATATGCCATGGACGCTTGGAATTCGGGGAAGACCTTTTCGCCGAGTCTCTAGATGACACAGGAGGAATGGATATCGAGGCACAGACTCATAGTCGGTTGTTCTAGTAGGTATGTAAGAAAGAAGAAACCATACCTAAGGATACAGTAAGGGCACCGAAGTCAGCATTGCATGGATGTCGCAGAGTTGTTATCGGGTTGAAATGACAAGCTGCTTAACAATGTCACTTATCAGTGGCCTCGTTAGCACAGGTTCAATACCATAAGTAGATATTCTTCTGTACACCCTCCTCAATAACAACCAATATCATTAAGGGTAGTAGTATGGTACGCAGCATCCTGTAGGCTTCTTCAAATCTTACGATAGTGTAATTTCAACGAGAAAGGCGTATCGTGTAACGTTGATTGGTATAATAAAGTACAGCCACGAGTGCGCCGCCGAGTGGCCTATTCGGCTGTCAATTCGCCTATTCGCCTCTCAATCTCGGGAACTTGTCTCAGTAACACCTCCAGATCTTCTTTCTCATCTTCGAGCTGTAACCGTTTTTCAGCATCCAGCTTCGTGAAGACATAGTTCCCTTGTCCATCAAATTGCAGAATTCTGCTGTGGTATTTCCAAAGACTCCGTCTATGACTAACAGTCATAAGAGTGATGCCCAGCGCCTTCGCATTATCGTACATAATCTTCTCCGTCTCTAATGTTACACTGCTCGTACACTCGTCAAGGATCGCGTATCTCGGCTTGTGATAGAATAACCGGGCCATAGCTACGCGTTGTTGCAACCCCCCTGAAAGGACATCTCGCCATTCGGCTTCAGCGTCCCAGCCTTCGGGGTAAAGCTCCACTAGATGTTCAAGGGATAGAATCTTCAATATATCAAGTAATTGAGCGTCGGTTACTCCACGTGCTCGTACAGCACGCAGGCTATCCGGGTAGGTGATTTGCTGGCGCAAACTGCCTCGGGATAGATATGGTCTCTGGGGTATATAGAAAATGTCTGTAAAAGGTGGTTTGTACACAGTACCACCATAGACCGGCCACAAGCCACCCAGAATACGGAAAAGACTTGACTTGCCGCAACCATTGGGACCGACGACCAGAAGATGATCGCCTTGTTTCAAAGAGAAGGACAATGCTTTCACAAGCACATCCCCATTGGGCGAGATGATAGGAACATCGATGAACTCGATATCCTTGCTCTCAACCACTTTGCCGCGACCTTTTAACACAGCCTCGTGCTCCTCGGTGCCTGAGCTTGATACAAGCTTCTTCTCGAAATGTCCCGCCTGTATATCGTCCATCACCTGTAACAGAGATGCTACACGAGACGTGTAACCAGCCAGCTCCATTATTTCGCGATACGAAAACATGATTCGGCCAAAGGCATCCGATGCACTCAACAGCATACGACGGTTTGTGACGAAGGTCTCTGTCCGATCACCCATGCTTATAGTGTCACCTAGCTGACCGGGAAGTTTAAAGAACACTGGTACACTACAGAGCAAGAGACCTAGTGCTCCCCAGAAGTACTTTATCACAAAATCTTCCATGATACCGTGATAGAACCGCCGCCGGAGGATATAATTCACATGCTTGATAAGTGTAAAATACCCCTTATCAAGTGTGTCTTTCTCCACTTCGTGTCCGTGATAGAGGGCTACCTCTTCACTGTGGTCTATGAGCCTGGAGTGTTGGAACCGAAACTCGCCCTCTAGTCGTGCTTCATCAGCAACATATTTGCCGAAAGGCGGGGTGAGGGCTCGCATGACGTTGGCCGATAGCTGAACAAGCAGAGACATGAAAACCACACCCTCGCCACCAACGCTCTTAGATAATGACCACGTATAAATTGTCTGAGAATAGTTAGTTGAGGGTACATGTGTACTCGTATATCGTGAAGCTTACCATATCTAGTAACGGCTTGGCTAAGTTACTGTATAGCTCAGCCAGACTATTTGAGAACTTAGCAACATCTACCGATATTACCTGATCGGGGTTCTTTATCCGATCATCCAAAGCAGATATGCCATAGAACGTGAGCTTGGAGAGATATTGATCGTGAATATATTGAGTCAACCGTGTTCGGTACTTCAGTGAGAGTTCGGCCTGATGGTATGATAGCTACAACGATGGTTCGAGGTCAGCAACTTGCATACAAGAAAAGAGTATAAAAGGGTATAATAACCATAGAGTTAGTGAAGGTCGCAGGCATAGCAATCAGCATCCACCATACTATCCTCGTCAAGAATTCCTTTCCACTTCCTTTGACGAGGGCCTTGACAATTGCGCCATCCATCTCCGCTACCTTTAGACTGATAAGAGTTCGCACGACGAGGAAGAAGCTATGACTTAAGAGCAGCCTAGCTTCCTTACTCGCGGCGCCCGGTATAACAATCTTCAGCAACTTCAACAGCGACCGGAAAAACTCGCGATTTAGCTCAACCTTCTTCTTACTTGCTGAGTCTTGCGCATCGCTTGATGTTGTGCCTGAGTTTCTTTTCGCTGCTTCGCGAGCAGAGGCGGCCTTTTGCTCAGATATAGCATGACGGATACGGTTTACGAGGGCGAGCAGGAGTGTTAAGTAGACGGCACGGGAGATGCGTGTGCGGTTTGCAACATAGAGCTCTAGCAGCTGCGAAACGACGCTCTTGATCGACCGGTCGGGCAGAATTGGTTTGGAGTGCACCGCCATGGCGGCAGGATGAAGGGAATACGCTCCCTATTTGGCTCAGCATGTAGAGACGCGTTGTGAACACGTTTAAAGATTACGTACTCGGCTAATTGGATGCACAACAGGGCTCAGCCCATGAGAATAATGGCCAAACAATGTGCGTTGAAAGATTCTATGTCGATGAGCTTCTATGAAGGTTTACATGGCTAGGGTAAGAGAGGGAAACGGGATGGTAATGGAACAGCGCCGAGGTCATGATCATCACCATGCAAAGTACGGATTTGGCCTCGGCGCAAGCCTCCCGGCCCCTGCACAAGACAGCTAGGCAGGGTGACGTCTTTAAGCATGTGAAGAAGAGATGTGGCTGGTTAGTGCGTCAATGTGAGGCGTAACCACTTACAGCCGCTTTAGGTACCTAGGTACCTACGACTCTGTTATGGCCTACTGAAGCCCCCGTTAGTTAATACAGACTTAGTACTACTACCGTACTATGTGAATATCTGTCAGTAGTAGTGCATGGGTTAGCATGGAATAAACATCAAATGGCTTAGATCGCAGCCTGAGTTTAAGAAAATCTGAGCTAAGAGGCAAGGCGACTCGAGATTCAATATGAGATGTTAATAAAGCATACAAACAAAAGGAATGGGAGGTTGTAAGAAGAGTATCTTAGGTACCTATATAGGAGGTATGGGTAGGTACCTAAGGCACTGTAAGCACTGAGTCTTATGAAGCCTCTTATGAAGGTTCATCTTGTTAGCGCCACAGGGCATGGGTTAGGTGTCTACGCAGGGGACACTAGCCTATCATAGTGTACCTAAAACTTTCCTTAGGCCCTGAGGTGGCGGGGTTGAATCATCTGAATGGCCTAGAATGGCGGGGTCTTTAAGAATTTCGCGAGGGTGGCGTTTGATGACTCCTGAACTTGCCGACACAGTCATTCTCTAGATTTCAACCTCTCTCTAAATTACGCTTCGGGTGCTCGCTTCCCGTATTCATTTCTCTTCGGTCTAAAAGATGGCAGAAGAAGAGGAAATCGCAGTGTACGATGAGGTGGAAATCGAGGACATGACCTTCGACGAGACACTCCAGATTTACCACTACCCATGTCCATGTGGTGATCGATTTGAGATTGCGCTCGTAGACCTTCAAGACGAGTCAACCGATATTGCCGTATGTCCTAGCTGTAGCTTGATGATACGGGTCATCTTTGATCAGGTTTGTAGATTCTGATGAGCCATCACACCTCTGATTACTTGCCGGTTAGATTAACGTGTCATCTTTAGGATAACCTGCCTCGGCCACCAGAAGATCCTGAGCCAGAAAATACCGAACAGCAACAACAGCAAGTTCCTATCGCCGCGTGAACACCTTACACAGACTCTCGGACAGTGAAAGAGAGAGACAAACACCGAAGCGTCTATTCATGCGCTATGGCGCGCACTACAAGAGGAGAGAATTCTCCAGTGCCACGGGACATTATTGCAGACTCCATCGTGGTTTCGGTCGGCGCTCAAGGCCATACCATCGTCGCCGTCCATGTGCGATGCACACATGGCCCTGTATCTGCCCTGCAGAAGCGACAATAGCTCTGTAGTGGCTCACTACAGGTACCACCAAACCTAGGAAGGCAAGCCATGAAGATATTGACCCATCGGGACATATTCTGATAATTGTTTTATCACTACGCGGCGGTGGGGTAAAGGACCTGCGTTATGTCGCATCAACCGCAAGCTTGATGCGTGAATCTCGACAGGGTAGTATTGGAATACACAATTAACTAGCTCGCTGGTCGCTGCAGTTGCGGGTATATAAAAACAGACACAGAATATACACCAAAACGCCGTCACCCAAACCGTCACCCTTCTTGATATCGTGGTTTCCCATCCAGTCATGCATCAGTTGCCTCGGCCATGCGCCTAACTCCAATGGAATGCGAGAATTAGATTATGCAGTGTTGAAGTGTCATAATAAAACGAGCCCAGCGGCTGAAAACACTATTAGCCCCATGATGGAGGCCTCGACTGCGGGCTTGTTGGGCACGACTGAGTTGAGGGGTGGTGGAGCTTTGGTAATAGTCTCGGCAAAATCGGTTGCGTCTATTCCATTGTCAGCTACTCATTTGCTTGTAGTTGTTGTGACGTTAAGCAAGCTCATACTTAAGCTGGGTGTAACAGCTCCAGACGAGTGCGCAACCAGGCGCTGCTGCAAGGCTGTCGCACTTGGAATAGCCGCAACGAGGAAGGCGTCGCGTAACCTCATTCTGGCCAGGATCTTGATCAAGCTTGATGCTATTGTGTATGAACTTCAAATCGCAATGCAGGCACTTAGCGAAGTGCCAATGGCAGCTGTATGCACGGACAGCTTGGTAAGGCGGGAATGGGAACCCAATGGCGAGGTAGCGTGGAATGAGCCAAGCAGGGTTGGGGGGGCTTAAGTAAGTAGGTATAAACGAAAGCTTTGTTCTAACCGATAAATCTGCCTGCCTGTTCAAGAATGTTGGCGCAAGGTGATGGCTGTAAGCGTAACTATAAAGTGCCCAAGGCCATGTGCAAGGCAAAGACGGAATAGGAACCCCTGCTCTGCAAGAACGGATCGCCAGGTCAAAACCAGGTATGACGTACGTTTGCGGTGTTATCTGCACAGCATGGTCTGCAGTTGTCGCAGGCAAGGTAAGACCACTCTAAAAATAAAACGAAAGCCAAACGAGATGGGGGGACAAGTCACCTCAGATATATAAAGGGCAGCAAAATGTTGGGAGCTACACTAGAGATAACAACAGCCCAGTCGAGTAGGGTAGCTCCGAGCGTGGCCAGAAGAAGACCGTCTAAAAAAGACGCCGTCCAGCAAGATCGTGAGCGCTATCGTCCAATAGCGCACTACTATGTACAAGATATTTTATGTGGTACGGGAAGTGCTACTGATAAGAGATTTACCTCGACTACCTACACACGTGTATAAGTAGTCCATAGTAGCGCACAAGATAGCGTGGATCGTATCCTGCGCTGTGCCGTTCTAAAGGTTCTGGCCCGTGCCGGTCTCGCCGTGTGTCTATCTGCACGCCGTCCCTACTCTACACGAGGCCACTCTGAGGCCACCAGCCTGCCAAGGATTGGATGGTGTTGTGGATCGTGGAGCAGTACGTCTTAAGTACTTAAGTAAACGTGTGGTGCCACCGCGAGCAGCTGCGAGAGCAAGGCGTGCCTCTAGGCGTAGAAGAGGCAGGCTAGTCACGAGCAAAGCTGGCCAAGGTTACCCCTCTGAAACAGGGTACGGAGGATTATCCCAGAACCGGTAACGTGACGATCTCCCAACCAACGTTCATCCTCAAACGCGACAGCGGCATATTGTTAGTTTGGTTCGTTGGTGGGTAGGAATGCGTCATCTCCTCTTCCATGCCGCGATAAGAGCGAGCAGGCTTCTTTTCGAGGTCTATATTTACCCCTTTAGGTAATGTCTTCTTACTATTCGAGACACCCTGACACTAGCCTGCCATCAAAACAAGACAACACTATCTTCGCTTGCATTAGTTCATGCCCTCTAGCGTAGCGTGGAAACTGCTCTGCAATCATGATGGCGAGATGGTTACCATGTCGACTAGCTTAGCGTGTAGCTTGCGCTCGGCTTGTACTGGCGATCGTCGATCAAAAGCCAATAACAAGGAAGATAGAGACGCAGATTGCCAAGGCGGCACCCAGCTTACCTACCCAGATACATAAAGTAAAAACCCTTTGCTCATTCTCGAGAGACTCGTCGGATATATCGTGCCGCTTAGGGTGGGGGGGAAAACGGTGCCCGCCTACCTCACTCGCGGCTACACTTACGGCTACTTCCTGCCGCGATCACACATACTGTAGCTATATGTCGAAACATAAACCATGAAAGGAGCGTGGTTGAATCAATTTGCCTATGATGTCAACACTACGATTTCGAATCTTAGTATTCATGCTATGTGTTGCATTGGTTTGCGTGCTAGATAATCCTTGTCTAGCTTTAGAGCGAGTAAAATATTCCAAACTCGGTCAGACTCGGTCATTAAAACAATCCCTGATTTTCTCATATATCCATAGTCTCGACTTACTTAAATCCACACCGAAAGTAACCCAAGTAGACCTTCGCTGGACAATTGCCGTCCATTACTCTCCCAGGCCACCTAGGTTGGCCGCACATGCACACTACATTGGCCGCACATCCACTCCATTTGAACTAAAGTAGCCATACCATACAAATAGCATATAATTTATACTGTAGGCCAAATCCTAGCAATGTACCGTAGCTTATAGATACATTGTAGGATATTAATAATACCTTTATAAAGATAAGGCATTTTACTTTAAATATTATAATACTTATAATTGTTAGTAATTTATATTATAGTAAAGGTATTTTATAATTATATAAGTAAATTTATTAAAGAAATATAACTAATACTGAATTTTTTATTTATTATTATTTAAAAATAAGGCTAAAGTGTTTAAAATATTAACGACGGCGTTATTATTATTATTATTATTATTATTATTATTATTATTATTGTTATTATTATTGTTATTTTTTTGCCCGAAGGTGTGGAATAAAAAATTACTAATATCCCGCTGGACTTTGTACAATATGTATAACTCTTTCTTTAAATGTTATTTAGCGCTAGTTTGTTAAGTTATTAATAAAGCCCAATACCGTTTATAGATTTTTAATATATTTAAAGGGTTACTAGATATATTAAAAGGAGGAAGAAAAGGATAAGGAGGAAGGGGGAAAAAGCTAAAGGCGAAAGTGGAGGCGGAGGCGACGGCAATAATAGGAGCAAAAGTAAAAGTAAAGGTAAAGGTTGAAGCTGGAGTAGGAAAGGATATAACTATAGCAATATATTATTAATTAATTATATTTTATTAGGAAACTTTATATAAGTTTATAATTATAGGCCTTTTTTTAATTGTTATAAATATAATTAATATAAGTTTTATTAAAGTTATTTATATAAATATTTTATAAGTTTTTATTGCTTATATAACATAAGTATTTTTATATTAAGGTAGTACTTGAGATTTATTGTAAAGTAGCTTTTAAATTTTAATTAGCGTTAGGCGTGCTAGCTGGAAGTATAAACTTGCCCCTATGGGTATTATCCTCCTTATATTGGAGGGGATAGATAATAGGTAGGTTAAAAAGGGGATAAAGGAGGGGGCGATAGGGTGTCGGCGGCTATAACGGTATTAAATATACTTATAAATATAGGAAATATACTTTTATATAATTTTAGTAGCTATATATTTTATTATATTAAATAATTTTATTTTTAAAATATATTAAAATATAGGATAAAATATATATTTTTTTTATTATTGCTATTATTATTGCTATTATTACTATTATTATTATTGTTGCTGCTATTGTTAAAGGTAATAGTGGAGGATATAGTAATAGGAAGGGTGTAATAGCAGCGGTAGCGGTAAAATTAAAATAATGTATAGGTTATTTATAATAATAATAATAGTAGTAATAGTAGTAATAGTAGTAATATTATTATTATTGTTATTATTATTATTGCTACTATTGCTACTATTATTATTAGTTTAAAAGGAGGAAAAAAAGGGCAATAATAAGGTTAATAATAAAGTTTAAATTTTTAATCTATTATAATATTATAATAGGTACCTTTAATATATTATAGTACTTTAATATTATTAGTTTAATATGCTATAATACTTTAAATCTATTAAATTATTAATAAATAACCCTTTAATATATTATAGCATTTTAAACTTTTAAATTATCCTATTACTTTTAAATACCTTTATTTTTACTATTTTTCCCCTTTTATTAAAGCGTAATATAATATTTATTTAGCCTTTAAGCTAATGCTATTTATAAGATTAACCTGCTTTAATTAACCTCCTTTTTAATTTTTATTACGTTTAAGTAACTTTTACTATCTTTAATAATATATATAGTTATTTTTTAATAAAGTAAATTATAAAGCTTTATAACTATTTAAAGTTAGTAAATAACATTACCTTTTTAAAGTAAAAATTTCTTATAAAAAGGTTGTTGGTAGCTTTTATTTTATATATATATTAATTGGAAGTGTATAGTATTATTATTAAAATAAGCTTTTATATAGTTTTAAAGGGTATTAAGCATTAAGTTATAATTTCTTTATAGTTTTAAATTATATATAAGGGATAATAGATTAATAATTAATATTATAAAACTTTAAAGCTATTAATAGGTATTAAAATTGTTTATCTTTAACTTTTAATATTTTATAATAATAATAAACTTATAACCTTATATACTTTAAAACTTTATATTAATTTATCTTTAAATTTAATATTAGTAAGGTATGCTATTTTATTATATAAAGTAGCTTAAATAGTTAATTATTTTAATATTCCGTTATTTTTAATAAGCTTTAATAATAAGGTAATATTATACTTAAAGCTTTTTAAAAGCTATCCAATTTATTTAAAAATATAATGATAGATTTTGAAAAAAGCTTTAAATAAATTTAATTTGCTTTATTTATTATTATTAATAGCTAGCTTTTTTATTATAAACCTATTTTTTTTTAAAGTTAGCTTATATATAATTTTAATAAGTTTAATTAAACTTATAAACCAATTTTTAAGCTTAGTTTTAATTTTATTATAAGCTAATTCTAATCGAAATATAATAATTGCTTTAAAGTTCCTATTTACCTTAATATATATATAATATTATTATTATTTATAAGGAATATATATTAATTTAAAGTATTTAATAATATTAGGTTAGTTTATAAACTCCTTTTAAAGGTTTTATTAATATTCCTTAAGTTTTATTATATTAATAATATATACTATATACTTTTAAAAAGTTAAAAGGCTATTAAAAGTATAATTAATTATAAGCTTATAATTATAATAATAGTGTTAAATATATTTAATTTTTTCTTTTAAATAAATATTCCTATTAATATTTTAAAATTAGCTAGGGTTAAGATTTAATATAATTATAGTTTTTTTAAATATCCCTTTAGGGGCTAAAATAATCCTATTAAGTAATAGTAACAATTTAATATTAATAGTAATATAGCCTTTAAATAATATTCCATTTTATTTTAAAAAAACTTTAGCTTTAACTATTTTTATAATATATAATATATATAATTACTACTTATATTTAAGCTAAACTATTAAAACTATATTCTTTTTAAGGGTTAAAAAGTTAATAATAATTATTTTTAATATAAAAGGGATAAAGAAATACTTATATAAAACTTTATAATATTTTAATGCTTAAGCTATTATAAAAGCTTATTTATTTAAAAGAAGCGTATAAGCTATAATAAAATAAATACCTATTTTTATAAAGCTATTAATTTAAAAAAAGGTATATTATATTTATTTACTTTATATATCGAATTTATAAAAGTAATTTAATAATATTATTGCTATATCTTTTAATACTATTTTAGCGTTTATATTAATTTAATAAAAGTATTAACTTATAGTAAAAGTATATATTATATATTTAAAAGGTTTCGAAGTATTATAAGGAGGTTAGCAGCATTATTAGGTACTTTTTATATTGTTTTTTAAAAGGCATTAGTGTAGTTATTAATATTTTTAAGGGTTAAAGGGAAGCTTAGGTTAAATATTTGTATACCTTTAAAAATATATTTTACGCTTCGTTTTTAAAGTATGCTATTATGAATAACTTAATAATAATTCTTTATTATAATATAGTTTGCCTTATATTCTTTTAGGTTATTTAATAGTAAGTAATTATAGTTACTATTAATAATTTATAAGTAATATTAGCTATTTTATAAAAAGGTATATATTTTAAATATATAGCTTATCTTTTTAGTTATAATTCTTTAGCTTTTAATTATAGCCTTAAACTTAAAATAGCTAGATTTATTATAAAGGATTTTATATTGTAAAATTTAATTATTTAAGTTCTTTCTTTTTAATTTAAAGCAGATTATATAGCTATAAGTAATAATATACTGTTATATATTATTTAAACATTCCTTCTATAAGGGGTATACGTATTTTAAAAAAGGCTTTATTACTATTCCTTTATTAATAATTAAATTTTATATAATTTTTAATAAAAAAAATGCTTAAAGATAAAGAAAAGTAAAGTTAATTAATTAGTATAATTTTTTTAATATAGAAATATAAATATATTATATTATTAATATTTATAAAATAGTAGTTAGTTTTATATATATAATATATATTAAAATTAATACTTTAAAGTTTAAGCTTAAACAAAGTATAAGTAATAATTAAGGTAATTATTAAGCAATATTTAAGTTTACTTCTTATATATTTATAATTATTTATAGCTATTTTAGTTTTTATATAAATTCCTATTAAAACTTAAATAAATTTAAATATAGCTATACCTATTATAAGCTATTATAAAGCTATTTTTATATTTTTATAATAATAGCCCCTAATATCTTTTTACTTATTATATACTTTATAAAATTTTTACCTATTTTTCCTCCTACTTCTTTTTTTACTTTTCCTTTTACTTTTTCTTTTATCTTTTAATACCTTCGTTTATTTATTAATAACTTCCTTATAATAGATTTAATTTAAATTAATAGTTTTATAATCTTTATAAATAAAAATATTATATAATTAAATATCTAACGCATTTCCCACTTGACCTGGCTACCCAATTGACCTGGCCACCCCCTTAGCCTATATAAAACCCTATTATTTCAATTTTTAATAACTTTACGAATATTAATCGTACGATTTAATAATTAGTACCGTTAAATCCGTTAATTAAAGGGGAATCCAACCGTATTTTTTACTATTTTCTATAAAATTTATTAAGCGAGATATTAAGCAATACGTTAAAGTGGCGCTAAGCAAGGATTATTTTAGCGCTTACTTTAGCGTATTGCTTAATAACTCCACGAATAAAAATCGTAAAAATTAGTAAAGGGTACCGTTAAATAGCTCTCTTTATTACAAATCCAATGGTATATTTTATTATTTTATACGACTAATATTCGTAGAGTTATTAAATTATCACGTGATTAGCGCACCGACGATTTTTGTATGGGCTAGGGGGGTGGCCAGGTCAATTGGGTGGCCAGGTCAAGTGGGAGATGCGTTATTTACTTTTTACTATTACTTATATATATATTATTATTAATAGCTTTATTATTACTTTTATTAAAAATAATGAATAACTTTTAATATTAATTATTATAACTCTTATAAATTAGGGTTTAATTTTTTAATTAATTAAAAAGTAATTATATCCTTATAAAAGTCTATTATTAATACTATTATATACTTTATTTAATGCTTATAATTATCTACTTTAAAAAGGGGTAGTTTGGAAATAGTATTTTATATTAAAAGGCCCTTTACCTCTTTAAAAATAATAAGTTATTTTAATTGTATTTATTAGCTATATTAATTCTTTACCTTTTAAGGCCTTTTTATACCCTTTCCCTTTATTTTAACTTAATGTTTTCTAAATTCCTTATTTTATATAAGATCTTAAATATATATAAAAGTTAAAAAAGGCTTATAAATATATAATATCCTTAAAGGATAGCCTTTTAGCCTATAGTTTAAAGATTTTAATAATATAGCTATACAAGGAGCATTATTAAAGGAGCATTGCTATAACTATAGTTAAAAGTTTAATTTAATATATTATAGTATACCTATTTAACCTTAACTAATTAATTAATTAATTATTTAATATGCTATAGTATACCTATTTAACCTTAATTAATTAATTAATTAATTATTTAATATACTATAGCACACCTATTCAACCTTTATTAATTAACTAATTAATTGATTAATTATTTAATGTGCTATAATATACCTGTTTAACCTTAATTAATTAATTAACTGATTATTTAATATACTATAGTACACCTATTTAACCTTTATTAATTAACTGATTGATTAATTAACTAACTAATTATCTAATATACTATAGTATACCTATTTAACCTTTATTGATTAACTAATTAATTAATTAATTAATTAATTATTTAATATATTATAGCACACCTGTTTAACCTTAACTAATTAATTAACTAATTATTTAATATACTATAATACACCTATTTAACCTTAATTAATTAACTAACTAATTATTTAATATGCTATAGCACACCTATTCAACCTTAACTAATTAACTGATTAATTATTTAATATACTATAGCACACCTATTTAACCTTTATTAAAATTGATTAATTAACTAATTATTTAATATACTATAATATACCTATTTAACCTTTATTAATTAATTAATTAATTATTTAATATACTATAATATATCTATTTAACTTTAACTAATTAATTAATTAATTATTTAATATATTATAATATACCTATTTAACCTTTATTAAGATTAATTAACTAATTAATTATTTAATATATTATAGTATACCTATTTAACCTTTATTAATTAATTAATTAATTAATTAATTATTTAATATATTATAATACACCTATTTAACCTTAATTAATTAATTAATTAATTATTTAATATATTATAGTATATCTATTCAACCTTAATTAATTAACCAATTAACCTTTATTAAATTTTAAAGATACTTTTTAACCTTTATATATATTTAAAATTAAATACCTATACTTTTAATATTAACCTTACTCCTTTTAATAAAAAGTTGTACCTTAAACTATTAAGCTATTAGGCTTTAAGGTATATTATTACTGCTGTAAGTAGAAGTAGGTAGGTTATTTTAGCCCCATTATTCTAAAACTACTACTCCGTTATATAGTAGTTATAATTTCCGTTTATATATAATCGCTATATAATTTAGGATACTTTAATTAAAGTGCTTAAATACCTATATTTAAACCTACTATATAAACATTAATATGGGTTAGTTCTTCCGTCTATCCGGATATATAAATGGTAATAATAAGATTTTATAGAACCCTTTGATTTGACTTTAACATTTAACATTTGATAAGGCTACGCAGCCCCCCCGATCTATAGTATAAAAACATTAAGTAATATTATAAGTCAGGCTTACCTAACTAAAGGGTTTAAAGTCTTTAAAGTAAAAATAGTAGTAATAAATATATATAGTATTCCCCTTCCCTTTAACCGGTCGATAAATATACTTTAGTAGTTAACTATTTAGCTATAGAAGGTTATAACCGGGCTTAGCCCACTTTTTACTTTTTATATATTAGATAAAATTAATGTACCTATAGGCCTTAGATACATTGCTAGGATTTGGCCCACAATATAAATTATATACTATTTGTATAGTGTGGCTACTTTAGTTCAAATGGAGTGGATGTGCGGCCAACGTAGGGTACATGTGCGGCCAACCTAGGTGGCCTATACTCTCCTACCCCCCTATTAGCTGACCTACGACAGGTATTTCCGCTAGGTGTAGCGTTGAAAACCCGCCGTGCAGGGGGTTTTTCCGTACAAGCGCGATACACAATTGCGGACGAGATACCTTTCGTATGGGGCGCACTAAGGCTAGCTCGAAAAGAATACCTGACATAGGTCGATTTTACTGGCCCTGGACCATAGTAATCGCGTAAACTACTTCGTATGTAGATCATTCATATCAATTATCTCGAGCTACCGACTCACTGTCAGCTGCAATAGGCAGAACCGCACTAACCTCTGTTGGGAGTGTGGCTCTTTTCTGGCTTTGCAATTGCACGCCTACTAAAATAGGGGCTCAACGGCAATTCAGCCACATCACCGAAATAACCACTTACCAACGCGCACGCGTAGGCACTGCGTAAGATAGCTGTCGACCAAGCGTACTTGAATACTTCACAGCTTTTGGAATGCTCAGGTACCTTGCATCACGACATGTCATCCACCACCGGTCGCGATCTTCAGGTTCACAGGTTTTCATACCTTAAACATCTTCTTTCAATTCCTACGTAGTTTGCCGCTTCCTATAAGGCCAGGATTCATCTCCGCGACCCGATTCATCAAGGTAGCCTTTCGCCAATATCATTCAGCTTCGTAGAAAAACATCAAGGGCTACTAGAATTCTTCCTGCACTCCCGATAGTGCTTCACTACCTGTCTACCTGTCCAAATTCCTATAAAGCCGAACGCTGCTACCTGACCTATGACGCTATCCACGAATCCTTTACTGTTGGCAGGTACGGTGGAAGTGGCTATATTACCTACCCTCACAGTGGATTCCTTCAGTGACTAGAACTTCTACTCTACAACATCAATACAATCCTTTGGCAATCCATTCAGTTATCATTACCTAAACGTACATCTTGAGCTTCGACAGACCACTACCGATTGATACCCCACACCCTATTTGCAGAATATTGCAACCAGGTAGCTCCTATCTCACAAGCCTAGTTAACAAAGAGCTTAAGGAGCTGAAAGGAATACCAACAAACCCTGAATATATTCAACCATTATTCCTCACGATGGCAGAGAGTTCCAAAACCCAACGACCGCATAAAACAACACATGAACGTTTACATGAGTATATATTTGGCGAAACAGCTCTCAAGGCAAACAATATTGTGCCCAAATATCAAAAGGACTGCGAAAACGATGCTGAGCTAACATTGTGGATTGTGGATGAGCTACTACAATCTGCCCACAATTATGTCCAACGTCTACTAGACGAAAACAAGGTCCTTCGCCGACTTATTAATATCAAAACCATTCGTGTTAAAGGGGAAGAGGTCAAGGCAAGTTGGGACCTTTGGACACCAGAGCATGCATACGCCTTCGCGTGCTATTTGTTCCTCGAGAATAAGGGCACTGAAGCCTGTAAACAATGCCAAAACTGTAGAAGCACAGGGCCAATGGGTGGCTGCATTGCCGGAGACATGCAGTACATGAAAGGCGCCTGCGCTTGTTGTTACTACTCAGGTTCCGGAAAACGGTGCTCCAGACGTCTCACGATGGAGGAGGAAGAAGCCGAGAAGAAGGCTAAGAAGAGGCCTAAGTTTCAAGGATTTACTACCGCCTTGTTGAAAGACGCTTCTAACGAGGAGATTGAGTTGTGGTTGGGATGGGTAGAGGCAGAAATGGAGGAGCGCGCAAGCGCAAGACAACCACCAAGTAAAAAGCGACGCGTGCATTAAGTAAGGACAGGTCTGGATGTGCAGTAGGGCCCACTCTAAACGTGCAGTACGCAACTGTTGCCAGGGTATTTCAGCTGGCTGCAACATTTGCATACTTTATACATCGAAAAACGCACCAAAATTAAGGGTTACAAGGTATGAGGTTATCGTAGGTTATTAACGAATGCATTTTTTAACTAGTGTGATAGGGCTAGGAATAGGGGCATGATTATTACGGACGCGACGAATATTCTGCTTTCACTTTTCGTTGCTTTCATGTATATAAAGATACAGATTGCCCCAACGCGGGCGACACAGACGGACAGACACGCAGACATGGACACATAGACACGACAGACGTACCCTAGAGAATACACTTTGCCTTGCTTTTTACACTTATTGATTAAGTCTTTTTATATTTTATCTTTATAATCCAACCTAGAGGGGTGTAGGTTTTATTGGTTTGTTATTGTGTCAGCTGTCCCCAGGTCCTTATGTATTAGATATTTTAAAAATACAACGTTAATAAAATCGTTAAGTTTAATGTTGTTAAAGGTTAGAAGTAAAGTAATAGTTGTAGCCTTGGAAGGTGTAGATAGTGCGGGGAAAACGGTGTTAACGAAGCGCTATAGCCCACTACGGCCCGCAGCAGTTGACGGCAGTTGCGTACTGCACGTTTAGAGTAGGTCCTACTGCATATCCAAACCTGTCCTTAAGTAAATATCAGGATCAGAATTATGGTGTTGGATATGGAGTTTTATGTTTGAGATTTGTTGAAAAAAGGGCGTTGGTACAGAAAAGGTTCGAAAACAGTAGGGGATAGAATATGGGGGGTTGGAGTTATGGAATGAATATATAGGATATTAATGGTAACTATTATTATTCAACGCTTGAATTTGCGGACTGGTGCTACTCTTTGAAACATTTTATATGTGAAATAACACTTTATCAAAGTAGAAAGTCACAATTTCTTAGGCTCCTGTAACCAGTATCACGGAGTAGTGGGTTATTCACATATGAAAACCGCCAAATCTGCATTGGCTTACGCCGCTGTCTTATCCAAGACAACAAGACTTGATGAGGAGACTTAGAATTGAAGTTATTGACAACAGAACAATCTGCCATGACCGCCAAGGTCTATATGGTCTGTTCAAGTCTCTTTCGAGCCTCGGTGACTAGTCTTAGCTGTATATAGGTGGACTAACGTCCTCAACCGTTGAGGTCTCTTAATACCTAGGTGTATTTGAATAATCGAGGGCTGAATATATTCATTTCCAACATGGCCTGTACGTCTTGTATTATTAATTGGACGGCCAAAACTGTAGGCTATTTTCATGTCTGGCTGTACGAAGAAGGTATTCAACACGCCCGGTGCGTATAACAGCTCGCCATATATGATCATGCATTCTGATATCAGTAGCAAGCATCTCAGTTAAGAATCAAGTCTTCGTCTGCCATTTCCCCCGATATTTCCAAACGCGGGCCCCGATCTACAAATTCTACATATTTTCTCGCTTGCAAGGACCATTAGATTGCCTCGTTTCGATGAAGAAGACCATCTGAGAAATGTTATGTGTTGATCAGTTGTCTGCACGCTTTTGTTTTGTTCCTTAGCGAACGAGTATTGATATTCCTCTGGGCACGGATTCATACTACAAAGAATTTCTAAGAATTTAGTGTTATGTTTAGCTTTCGGCTATATTTATTAATTCTTCTTTGTGCCGTGACGGCTATCCACTCGCCAACGCTCATGGCGGCATCTTGGAGAGTATCAGAGCGAGGCGGGAGTATATACTTATTCGGAAGGAGTCTTAATAATTTCATTCCTGGCCTTCTAGTGTTCGCACAACAATGAGGTCTCACTATATGTTAATGCCCCTAACGTAATCCATAACAGAGCATCTGGCAAAGAAGGGTTATTATCTATAGCCTACGAAAGTAGGTCGGATTGGTAGGTATGTATCTGCTTCTTTATGGGTGATCCAGCCTGTTTAGCAGGAGATGATCGCGTTTTAACAATGCTGAACATCTGCAGTCAGCAGGTTTGACTGTCTTCGTAACATAATCGTACTTATTATGTATACACCTAACAACTTCTCTGGTACTGTTGACATTTGTTTGATTACAAGTGTACCAATGGCGATGGTAGATCTTGATTCCCGGATTACTCTTCGTTTCTGTTTCCATGCGTCCACTTGAGGTGGAGTTGAGTATATGGAGAGGGCAAATAGAGGTGTTTACTTCTCCCAATGTTGCAACGTACCATTTTATGCGATTCAGTTGGAGTGATTAGACCACGCAATTGGAACTCCAAAATGTTGAGGCGTCCATTATGTAGGTACCTTAGGTACCTATGTACACAGGTACATCCTGACAACTGTACAGGGTCTCTCAGTGGCCTAACAGTGTTACCTAGGCTAACACTGGCCTGAGCCAGCTACCTAAGTACCTTGACGCAGTCTGATTGGATTGGCGCTGGCCCTATGCCCCCACAAAAATGGGCGGCCCCAATAATGTAGCACCTGGTCTGCACGTATCCAGATGAGGCTCCCTGAGGAGAAGGCCATCATCATCTTATGATATCCTCTTTCAAGCTCGCAGACTATAAAGACCCTTGGTCATCTAAACTGCCCACCGCCGACGATTCGCGCATCACGCCCGATAGACTTACTACCTTTACGACATAGTACCTGAACGTCCAACCCAGCCGCGCGAACCAGGATCCATCAATGTGACTTCAGCAAGCCCCATCAATCGCGCCTGTCGCTGGCATCCCACATCGCGACTTGGCCATCTTACTGCTTCATTACACTCAATATCATATTATAGTTGACCTCTCCTCCTTCTCGCTCGCTGCGAGCCACTCACACCGACTATTCCTCAAGTTCACATAGACGTCGTCGGATAGCCTTCGCCTACGATATAATTGCGTTTTCCCTTCTACCGACCAAGCAAACAACTTCTACGGCGGAACAATAGATGCTGTCATTATCGCGTCCGATGCGATAAAAGATTACCTTTTAATTCTAGCAGTCGCTTGCTGAATATCAGTCAGCTTCCCTTGACGGTTTGCTGAGCTGCAACAGCAATGGCTCCGGTCGTTGTGACCGCGGTACCGCCGCCCGTACCTCCCAAGATTAAACGTCAGCCTCCCATTGTGCAAACAAATGGCGCTTCTCAGCAGCAGTCGTCGTCTCCCTCTATTTCGGCCAAGAAACCGCCTCCCATCACTGCTCCTAGACAAAACCAGCCGTTGAACTCGACAAGCGCAAATGCAAATGGCGCGCCTGGTAATTCAAGTCGCCCCACCGCGCCTCGTTCTCGGCGTGATACTCTCAACACCTCCGGTGCCCGTGGCCAAAAGATCAGTGCTGCACTCCGATCGACTGGATTGGGCCGTGAAAAAAATGCAACCCACCTATTTGAACCCCGTCCTGAAGGTTTGTCCCCCCAACTCAAATAACACCTTATACTCACACATTACAGTTAAAGATGAAACCGAGTACATATTGAGAAAGTTTGCCGGAAGCCCTCCATCCTTGGTCGTCCATATGCATCCAAACCACTTTCGATTCGATGCACAGGAGGGTATCTTCCCATATAAATCACCCATGAGAATATTCCTTGACCATATCCGTACTCGAACTGTACCTCACGATTTACTGTTAGACTTGACCGAAGCCGGTGTACCATTCTACGAAGGTTGTCTGATCGTGCAGATACATGATCATAAATCACTCGCGCAGGCGAAGGAAGTAGCTCGACCTGTTTCGAAATCAAACTCGAGCCTTCCTTTCTCAATACATAACTCCAACCCATACATCACCCCGTCTCCTTACGTCCCCTACCCAAAGGAAAACATGGACGGTGCCGACCAAGGACCATCGAATCCAACGAAACCAGCAGCTTCGGATGAGGAATCGGACACCAAAGAGAATGGCAACGCACAAAATTCCGGCTCTACCACGCATAACAGCAAAGACACGCCAAAGGTTGCCAAAGTGTATACTGTCGTACTTCATCCGACGCCAGAAAGTTTATATAGGGATTTAATGATCAAGGCGACAACCCCTAAAGGATCTATAGATGGCAAAATCGGTACTGATGCTTCTATGCCACCACCTACACCTTTATCTGCCGTTCCGCCCACACCGTCTGCGGGTAGCATGCCACCCCCAGCAAAAAAGCAGAAGCGAGAAAAAATGGAGATTAGTGGTAATGAGTTCTACGCTGTTGAGTCACAAATTTTGCTGGCTACGACTGCCCCGCTCCATCTAGAAGTTCCCAGGACCAAGGAGGATGCTATCACTCGTATAGGAGAGCTATCCGACCCGAAGCATTCTGAACCTCCTCCTAAACCTAAGACCAGGAAACGGACAGTGGCTGAAAGAGAGGCAGACAAAGCCCTCGCTGAAGAGCATGAAAAATACATGCTCACTTATGATGAACGCCTATCATCAACAATCAGCTCCAATCAAGGAAGTACCGAGGCTGCGGATGGTAATAACTCATCCGGGGCTTCCTCTTTTGAACCACGATTTGAGAAGTTTAATATCCTCACTGTCATCAAGAAGGAGCATGCCGAAAAGAAGGAACAGGAAAGGCTACGACAAGCCGAGAACGAGCGCAAAATGGCCTTACAAAAGCAACAGCAACAGCAAGCAGCAGAGCAACAGCAGCTCCAGCAGCGGCAACATGCAGCGGAGTTGGAAGCCAAACGCCGCGAAGAGGCCGCCCGGACCGCTGCCCCTATACGTTTGCCGCAGGATAATAACGCTCAACGGATGCTCGCCCAACAGCGTGCTCAACAAGCCCAAGTTCAGCAGCAGCAGCAGCAACAACAACAACAACAACAAGCTCAGCCACAAGCCACAGCTGCTGCCGTCCAGTCCCCGCAAAATACACAGATCAGCCCTATGCCTCAGGCTTCCCACGGGCATCCAACACAAAATGGAGCGATGCCAAATGGTTTGACCAACGGGATACCAGCAGCACAAGCTCAGCGATTTGTGCAAGGCGTATCACAGGCTCCTGTTTCCTCGCCTATTCCACGACAAAACACACCACAAAACCTGTCGAGTCCTATGGTTGGCAGTATGCCTATGTCCCACCCTATGTCGCAAACGAATTCAGGCATGGGAGGAAGTCCACCGAGACCGCCTTCTGTTGTTCAGGCCCAGGTGCCCATATCTGTTCCCATGGCTGCTAATATGTCGCAACGTGGTAGTCAACAAAGTCATCCTTCTAATACTCCTCGCATGCCCAGCGCAACTCCTCAAATGCCGCACGGCACACCCATCAACCGGCCAGTGCCGACTCCTCGCATGACCCAAGCCAGTCCACCACCGGGCATGGCAGCACATGGGTCGCCAATAGGCCAAAATATCAATATGGGCCATCAGAATATGGGCCAACCCATGACACAACAACAACTGTTAGCAGCGCAAATAGCAGCAGCACAGCATCACCAGGCACGGCAACGCGCTGTCCAACACCAGCAGAATCAGCTTCAAGCCATGCAAAACAGTATGATGAACGGCCAAAATCCACAGTTGCAGCAGCAGCAACAGCAACAGCAACAACAACAGCAGCAGCAGCAGCAGCAACATTTGTTCCAGCAACAACAACAACAACATCAGCAGCAGCTCATGCGCCAGCAAATGATGCTCAACGGACAGGGCCAAGGTATGCTTAACGCACAACAACAAGCACAGCTACGATATCAAGCAGCGCAACAGGCGCAGGCGCAGATGCAGGGACAGATGCAAGGCGCCATGCAAGGTCAAATGCCTGGGTCACACATGGCAAATCAGAGCTTTGCTAACATGAATGGCATGAACCCAACGCAACTAGCTATGATGCAACACCTACAGCAGCGAGGGCAAGTCAGGACTCCCATGAACATGCAACAACTTAATGTGCAGCAAGTCCGGATACGGCATCAACAGCTCTATCAGTCAGCTCTTCCTAACCTCATCAACCAATACGGCGGAGAGAATATGATTCCGGCTGATGTGGTGGAAAAACTCAAGGCTAGTTGCATGGCGAAGGCACAGCAGGATATAGCTAGATTCCGCCATATGCAGATGCAGCAACAACAACAGCAAGCCGCGCAACAGCAGCAACAACAGCAGCAGCAGCAACTAGCACAACAGAACGATATGGGAAATATGGGTATGATGCAAGGCATGTAGAACGGGTTCAAATTCATCTCCCAGTCATTGGAGACACAAATGGAAGAGGACGCTAATCCATGCAACCTCGAATGATAAGTCTGTGGCATACTGGGGCCATCTGGAACGGCCGTCATGTCACTTGCGCTGAATGATGATTGTTTATCTCGGGCATGGCTAGGTGTAGCTATAGAAGGGAAAGCGGCGTTTTAGGTGGCAGAGGATTGGGCAGTTTGGCGTTTGGTACTCAAATCATGTTTCGGGTGGTGTGAGGTTTTTTACTATACCCCTTTATGGCGAATTCAAGACGCATGGTTTATTATTCTCACTGTGTACTTGTTTCTTTTCATTGCCATGTCTCTTAAGGATCTACGGGCACGATGTGGCCCTATATACATTGGGCATCATATTCTGGGATTACTACCTAGGGAAGCATGGCCAAAATGCATGGGATATCATAACCATGATCTATGATGTCAAGGAGCTAGGTTGTTTCCTTGGTGGTAACTGGGTTATGTAGTACGGTAGTTAGTACACAAAAATTGGGCTGTGTAGGTGGGAATCACGACCAGACCCTATTGAAAGCGTGGAAATGAGAATTGCATTTATATGTCCTGATAATGCCAATTCCCCGGTCCCCAAATGCGAGTGAGGCTGGATATAGTTACTTAGGTACCTAGTTAGTTAGATAGTCACGTGGAGGTTCTGACAGTGCGCATTCTGGAGAATGATACTGTGAGTGCATTACCTGTAGGCGCCGGAGATAGCACCTTAGATAAGGCATGGACCAGAATCGACTCGGATATCGAGGCATCACGTTAAACCTACTATGGTAGATAATGGGAGGTACGTACTAATACCCCTACAACGGTCCTTGGCATACCTATCTAATCTAACCTTTTTAAAAGTATCGCCCATAACGCTGCTGTAAAAAAACAACCCTTTGCAATAAGGTCTGAATAGCTTCACCTTTAATACCTACGCCTGCAATACCTACGCCTACAACGCCTATACCCTTGGAAAGATTGCGTGAAAGGTGTAAATGGTAGCCGCGTAGGTAGTTATTGCAGGCGTAGGCATTGTAGGCCTGACCGTCAACATTGCTAATGTCAATAAAGCGTCCGTAGCTATCCCAATTTGTATGGGAAAACAGGGGGGTTGCAGACAGAGACCCGACAATTGCTATGATAGGTTTAGCGTAATGTCTCAATAGTAGAACGTGATGCCTCGATATCCAAGTCGGACTAGAATGGACCCATCCCCTGCACGCGATGAGCGATGACGATAATACTACCCAAGAGGTACTTACTGTAAGCCGCGCCCGTTCCGGTGACCAACTAAGCAAGTTGTCATATGCCACATGCTTGTTGTAGCTGCCTCCTAATATCAACCTTTGAGGCGGATTCTGGATAGCGACAACTTTCTGTCTACCTTGCCCGACCTTAGGTAACCCGGCCTAGGTAACTCTCATCTTGGAAAACTGCTGGCTACGGTATCCAACTCGGCCTAACTCCAACAAGCAGAGAAGGCAACAATCATCTCCTTGTCGTATCCTAGCGACGCGCATAAAGCGAGACTCATGAGAGTCCTCGTACATGCCCTCTTCCCCGACACTGTATCTCTTTACGTTCGCTTTTTTTTCTAAGTCACCTGCCTGATTACTTGTTGCCGTCCTCTGGCCTCACTCCTTGATTTAATCTACCTATATCTTCCTCCCTTCGAACTCCACATCTTGGCATTAACGAGCTCCTAATCGGTCGGCCGCTCCATCTCTTCTCTCCTATCGCCCTCGGCCCTCCTCGCTCCCTACTTTTAACACACTACGACTGCGCTACCTCAACCTATCGGCTTGTATAACCCTACGATGAAGTTCTCCACGATACCATACGCGGATGCCGCGTTCCTCCTCTCCGTCCTCCTGGCGCCGTTGCCCACTGCCGCCATGTTCCGATGCAACCACGTCGTGTCAGATGGACAACAATACAATCTCGAGGCACTAGGAGGTCCTCACTCTGTTGTGACAAGCCAGGACATTGGCAACCACATGATCAATACGACGTACACTGTCGATATTTGCAGCCCATTAAAAAAGAAGGGCGACGTCGAGAAAGGCGAACAGTGCCCAAACGGCACTCGAGGTAAGATTTTGGACCGGTGACATCTATTTTCTAAAAAGCCGTCTAATCATATTCATTTTGTAGTGTGTGCCATCAAGCGTTTGATAAATCCGGCAGAGAAAGTTGACACCATCGAAAATGCTTTTCCTCTGGCGGGCGAGCTGGCAATTCATGGTGGTTCCGCACTCGATCACAAAATCTTGCGACTTAGTAAGGTCGACCCAGACTCGGGTAAAGAGGGACTGCGCGTGATCTTAAGAGGTGGTTTTTTCGACACCGAAAATCACGTCCGGCGCAAACAGCAAACAGTCATCGATTTTGTCTGTAACAAGGATCTCGACGGGAGTGAGGGCGAGCATGACACAGAAGATAAATACGAATCTAACACGGATTCTGTGGAACCTCGGGCTGAGGATGAGGGCGATAAAGGTGAAGACAAGGACGGAGACGAGAGCGCCCCACCCAAAGAGATACAATTAGGCAAGGACAAGAACCCCAGTCTTGTCTTTGACAGCTACGGTCCAAGTGATAGCGAAAGCGACAAGGATGTGGATGTGTTGCATTTGACTTGGTCCTCCAAGTATGTCTGTGAAAGCAAGGCGGACGACGGTAAAAACGAGGGCGACGACAAGGGCGATGATAAGGGTGATGACAAAGACGGTGGGGATAAAAAGCCTAGCTCTCACTGGGGTGCTTTCACTTGGATCATCGTACTGTAAGTCGTGGGATGGAAGTCCTCTGAATCTGTGTAGTAATGTGCTAATTTTACGAAGCGTATTTTTCGGTACAGCAGCTTACCTGATTTTCGGTTCCTGGCTGAACTACACTCGTTATGGAGCACGCGGTTGGGATTTATTGCCTCACGGTGACACCATCCGTGACATTCCCTACTTAATGAAGGATTGGGCCAGACGAGTGCTTAATACAGTACAAGGAAGTGGAAGTCGCGGAGGATATAGCGCGGTCTGATAACAGTGGTAGACATGGTGTTCATTGGCCTGTCATCCAGAGGTGATGAACTCGGATGCTTAAGTGCTTGGTTCTAGTGTCTACATCCATGACAATCCAAGCAAGAAGCTGTTATGAGCTTTGGGTAAGGTCGCATAGACAGGGAATCAATGGTTTGGTCGATCAGGTTCGACCCTTGTGGCTTCGGAAGGCGTCCGTTTGTTCTCCTTTATTTCAGTGCTCGATAGATGATGGCTCTTCGGTGTATACAATACTGTACATATTATCCCTTCCTCATGTAGCGTCTGCATCGTTAATTCTGATTTCAAGTGTGTGTTACCTGGTGCGCTCGGAGTCGGTTTCTTTTACATACCTATACATACCCCATTATCAGCCTATTCTCGAGCTCAATTTGCGTACTGTACAACGTAAGCTAGCCTTCATACTGCTAGCCCATCCAACCGAAAAGCCCAAGCTGTGCCGCACTTAGATAGATATTGATATGCTCAGATAGAGAGGAGACGGGGACTGCGCTTACGGAGTGCCGGTGCTTGCCGCTTTGATGCAGGTACCGGCTGGCGGACCCTGCCGGTGGAACATGCCTCCTGGGCATTGCCGTAAGATGGTACGGGCGATCCGAGTCTAGCTGAAGTAGTGTAGGCATGTTAACTACATAATACCTGCCTGAATAAATACCAGCTTACAAGAGTACCTACTTATACTTGTGAGGGGCCTTGATAGGTTCACGTATAAACATATGGGGAAGTAGAGGTATCATTCAATCCGTTATAGAAAAAGGTCTATCTAGTGTACTTGTAAGTTTTTATCCAGCTAGAGATATGCTTGTCATGAGAAGACTACGAATAAACAGAGCAAAGGAAAAGAAAATACAGATACTTGGAAGATATTCAGTCAGTCAGCAAAATGGGTGCCCTTCCAGTAGGCCGACACTTGACAGCTAAAGAGGGGCAGTGTGGCATGACAGGGCATTTACACCCGCAGTAGAGCGAGCATCCCTGTACCGCCGACTTTCGCAGGAAGCTAGCCAAGCTGTCGGTACTTTACCTGAAATATGTTGCATCTTACGATCCTCAGTCTGACGATTAGCAAGACATCTTTCGATTTTGTAAAATTTACCGGTCTAGTGCCTCCCATAAATACCAGCCATGGCTAAAAGACAGCTACATCGGCTTGCTTTAATGCGGCCGCGGTTATCTCAAGCTTCACATTCACCGTTTCTACGACGTCCATTCACCCCCAAGGCGAACAACAGCCAAAGCTCGCGCCGGACTCAGAACCTTCTAATAGCTACCATTGGAGCTGTCTGCATATCAGGAGCAGCCTACAAAATGGTAAGGCTATCCAACGGTTCCCCGTGGACCCCTGGGGCGATCAATTGATCCGATCTGATCTTCCCGCAGGCTGTCCAGAACCCCACCAAATTCGATGCGCGTTCCCTCGCCGAACTGGACGAGCGTAACAAACGTGAGAACGGCATAACCGACGAATCGCCAATGCGTCTGCGCATGGAGAAGTTTATACGCGAGCAACAAAAAGAGATTGTGTCGGCGCTTGAGATGGTCGACGGCATGTGCTTCCGCGAAGATACCTGGACACGTCCAAACGGCGGAGGAGGTCTGTCTTGCGTTCTGCAAGAAGGCAATGTCTTCGAGAAGGCTGGCGTAAATATCAGCGTCGTGTATGGAACGTTGCCCAAGCCAGCAATTGCAAAGATGAGAGAAAACCACAAGAGCGTGGAGGCGGAAGTTGACAACCTTGACTTCTACGCCCTTGGCCTTAGCTTAGTCCTCCACCCCCGAAATCCCATGGCCCCGACAGTGCACCTGAACTACAGATACTTCGAGACGATGCGACCAGATGGAACGTCACAGGCTTGGTGGTTTGGTGGGGGTAGCGATCTGACGCCAAGCTATCTGTTCGACGAGGACGCAGTACACTTTCACAAGACCCTTAAGGAGGCATGCGACAAGCACGATAAGGACTATTACCCTCGGTTCAAGAAGTGGTGTGATGAATACTTCTCCAATAAACACCGTGGTGAATCGCGTGGCGTCGGCGGTATATTTTTTGACGACTTGGACGACACGGTGGCCGACTCTGAGAATACCTTCTCTTTCATCCAGGACTGCCTTAAGAGCTTCCTGCCGTCGTACCTCCCAATTATTGAGAAGAGAAAAGATATGCCATTCACGGAGAAAGAGAAGGAGTGGCAGCAAGTGCGCCGAGGCCGATACGTCGAATTCAATCTCGTGCATGACCGCGGAACTTCCTTCGGACTAAATGTCCCTGGCTCAAGAGTGGAGAGCATCCTGATGAGCCTGCCTTTAACAGCGTCATGGCGGTATATGTACGAACCGGATCCAAGAAGCCGCGAGCAACGCCTCGTTGATGTCTTAAGAGAACCCAAAGAATGGGTATGATGATGAAATCTAACATAGAGTGGTGTCACCCCTGTCGATATGTACATCTAGGTTTTAAAAATGGCTTAGGTTTGTATAAACACGCATTATTTATAAATATAGCCTTTAGAGTATTAATACATTTGAACAGCTTAATGCAACCAGATCGAAGACATATGCCATTGCTAACAGTGATTTGACACAGTGCAATGTAGATCAACCCCAAGGCATCAACAAAACTGCGTAAGCGCATCTTCACCCGCGCCTACTTCTTGAATAAGCTCTCTTGGAACCCGGCAGTTCTCAAGCACAAATAAGAAAGGGCAGGAACTTACGCTCTATAACGTTCCCAGAGTACTGAAGCCGTAATATATGCCAATTACTTCCTCAACGCCGCTACCTAACTCAAGGACCTACCCCGCCACCTCTTACCCAAGTACATAGATACTGCTCTAGCGGGCGTTGAATCCAAGAACAGAGTAAGGTCATCTACACATCTTCACATCCCTCGAACAAGACTGAGTCATCTCACAGAGCTAAATACCTACACCCAATTACCCTTACAGAAAGAAATTAAAAAAAAAAAAATAAAAGCAAGCAGGTAAAAATGGCAACAGGCGAAAAGAAGTACTTCGTCCCACTGGAGTCGAACCCAGAGCTCTTCACCGAGCTAATTCACAAGCTCGGCGTATCCAAGCGTCTAGCGTTCCACGACCTCCTGACGCTCTCGCCGTCCGATACGGAGCTATTGTCGTTTATCCCACGACCTGCGCTGGCGCTTATTTTCGTCATCCCTGCGCCGGACGGATACTCGGCGCAGCTCCGGGTGGAGGAGAAGGATATCCCACGGCATGATAAGTGTGGCGAGGAGGAAGATGTCATGTTCTATTATCAGACTATCGGGAATGCGTGTGGCTTGTACGCCACGCTGCATGCTGTTAGTAATGGGGAGGCGAGGACGTTCGTTGGTGAGTTGGCCTTTTGGCTGCGGAGGATCTATCTACCGTCCATCCATCCATGCTAAGCGGTCGTTTACTCCTATCTGGAAGGAGATCTTATTGCCAGTTTCACACTAATGTGTATTTTCATCTGTAGAACCATCGTCACACATAGCTCGCCTGATCGAGCACTGCACACCACTGAACAGCGCCCAGCGCATCGCGGCCCTGGAATCGGACTCTGAGCTCGAGGAGGCGCACGCCTCGGTCGGGTTCCGCGGGAACACGGCGCCGCCCGAGGATCTCACTGTCGAGCCGCACTTCGCGTACATGACGTTTGTGAAGTCGCACAAGACTGGACGGCTGTATCAGCTCGAGGGCTGTCGGCAGGGCCCTGTTGATCTGGGCTGTGTGCTGAGCGAGGACGAAGACATGCTCTCTGGGAAGGCATTGTGTGCTGTTAAGGAGTTCGTCCAGAAGGCGGGGAAGGGGATAGAGGTTGGGTATAGCGCTATGGCGTTGAGTGTTACGGAGAGTGGTGAGGAGTCATAAGACGATGGTTTAAGATGTTGGTGGTGGGTCCGAGGTAGATGCTTAGATGTGTGTTCGTTTGCTACAGTTTTGTTAGTGTTGTGCGTAAGTGGTATTGATGACGAGGAACAGGTCGCGCTTGTGACCAAACATGGTTGATTTCTTTTAGTAGGTTGCAGAAAGAACCTCATCCTTTCTGAGGGGATTTTAAGATACCATGATATAAACCAAGAGTATATGTCCATTTAGAATTCTCCCATGGCGTAAAGTCCCTATGAATCAAGTTAACTTAATCAACACGTATATAATAGAGGGAAAATGCAGCCTCTAGGTTGCTTGCATCCCTAGTGTTTGATGAGTCGTCAAGCTCGGTCAACAGTTTTCCCTACCACGCTTCACTACATATACCAACCAAAAAAGTAAACTCATTAGGAGTCTGACTAGTACCGTATAATAGAGTTGCATCAATAGGACTACCGGAAATACCACATGCGACGCCCTCCGAAGAGACCGCCCTCAACGACGGGGTCCTTTAGAAAGAGTATCCATGTCCTGCGCGGTTCTCGTCATCCTGAATCATTCTTCGTCATGTTCTCTTATCTTCAGGACTACCTTCCCATATCCTCATCGCCATCATCGCATATGCGCACAATCCTGTGTCTGGCTAATTCAATTCCATGTTACAAGAGAATGTTCCGAATGGCGAGAAATGCTCCAAGGGTGAGAGTAGCGTCTTAGAGATTCGACATATATGCTTGTCACATTAAATACATCGACAATATTTAAGCACACGCATACATAGCTATGAGATTTTACGTCAATAGATTCCAGGGGAATATTGTTGGCAAAAATGACTGAAGATATCTACTATGTACGTAGGTAGTATCTATCAAATTACCTGCACCAATCCCACAACGCTAGTAGTAACATCCCCTAGATTACCTAATGAAACCCACTAGCAGCAATATTACCCAATACTTGAATATTTATATAAGCCCATGAAGCACTGCCCCGCATCGAAGCCACGGCCCCACTTGTAAGAACAGCGCCAAGGAATGAATCATAATGGCTCAACCACTCAAAACGCTTCCCGGTCCCACTGGCGTCCTGCACGTCACCCGTTCTAGGAATAGCTCACGATGATTCATACTCGCTCATCGTCAGCCTGCCCCACCCCATGAAAGCGATTCCAGGGTCTTGGTCGCGGAGCACTTTCGCATAGTAAGCTACCTACTGTTGATAGCATGCAGGTAATACTATGCACAGTAGGTAGTATGGTAATGTGCAGGTTCTGTAGTTACTATGTTTCGGCTTGTAGGTAACATGTTTCCAAGTCTTGCGAAGCAATCTATGTATCCGGCTACCGCGGAGTGCAGGGTGCGCCAGCAGGAGAGACTCTGTATGCTGATATGATCATGCTTGATCTGACAGGAAATCGACAGTACTGTTCAGATAGAATGAAATGAAATCATACGTAGTCAGTCGCGATGTGAAATGAGCCATAATGATGATAATGAGAGAACTTCATGGTTGAGCTTTCAGTATATAATGCGACTCAACAATAGTGCAAGTAGTGATACCCTCATGTAGTAGGATGAAAAGCAAGATCGTGGTGTGCCATGGTTTCATGGAGGCAAGGATATCAAGATGTGCAGTAAGTGTTCCCAAATTAATATCTCGACTTCGAGGCCTATGGTACGGGCACACACAATATGATGACAAGTCGTTCCCTATACCGATGTGGAAAAGAATATCATTATCACGAATGAGAACACACAGCGAGCCGACATCGTCTGAAAGCAAAGACATATTTTCAATTTCAAGGCTACCCCGCAAACTCCTGAAAGACAAAGGCCGACTGGCTAACTATTTATCCCGAGACTCTCCAGATTTCATCTGCAACATGGACCTTAGAGCGGCTGCTTCGGCCTCCTGACGCGCAAGGCGAAGCTTCAGGTCATCCCGTTCCTGTTTCACCTCATCAAGCTCAGCTTCCAGTTCGTTGATGCGGTCGATCCGCTTCTGCCGATATTTGCGAGCGGCAACGTTGTTTCTTTGACGCTTGAGTGCAACAACGTGGTCGACTGGAGGAGAGCGTCGTTTCCCTGACGTGGGTTGCAGAGCTTGATCATAGTTGGGTGTTGGAGGTGACATGGAATAGTGATCGGGTTGAGTGGTGGGTATTGCTGTTGCTGATGGCATGTTTGTGATAGGTAAAGGGGGGAAGAGAAGAGCTGAGTCGCCAGAAGGCAGAATGTCTATGAGGGGAGTTGGTGTTAGTTAAATTGTGGACCAAAGCACAGGTAGGTAACAGGTAACAGGCAGCGAGAAGCAAGTCATCCATGTTCAAAGATGGATGGGTGGGATCGATGACTCACCGTCTAGGCTTGCGGGTGACAACTCGCTTCCAAGTATGGGCGTCGTCTCGTGTGACGAACCAAAATCGGTAAGCGACCAATCTATCGCCAAGTTGAGTCCTCCATCAAAAGTGCCGTCGCCCTCACCTCCGCTCGAGCTGCCGTCTCCGAGTCCGTATCCGTAGAGCCAATCATTAGTCAGGGGTGCAACGGACGTGCAATCGCCCCCAAAGGACTGGAAGAGGTCCGCGCTAGGCTCGAACGCGGAGCTCTGCCAGTCCGGATATTGATTAGGTTGGCTTGAAGAAGGCGAACTGACACGGTGGATAGAACGCGAAGATGGCCTGACAAGGCGTGAATGCGATGGTTGCGACTGCTGAATCCATGATGATATGGTAGGGTGGCCTCCGTCTGAGGCCTGTGGAAAACTATCGGAACAAGTTGGGGGGATTGTTCACTGGCGCCGTTCTTCTCTCGAACGGCGGAGAATTGAGGATTGAATGGGGATGAGTCCCGAAAGGTGGTTGAGGAAGAAGGGGAGAATCAGAGGAGGAGGGGAGGGCGGATGAGCGCCGTTTTGTGCTTGTTCTTCCACAGGCAAGACGCCGCCCCGGTCGCTGTTTCCCGGCACGTATTCGATAAGGCGAATACCGGCTACTGCGATATTATTTCGCAGATCAGATCGCAAGTCGGGTGTGCCCACTCTCGGCATCTCCTTGTGGCTGTGGGTCCATGTACATACTTAGTAGAGGTACTGGGCAAATGAAGAAAAGCTGCAGGCACAGCCGCGACTGTACACCGTCTTTCAGGCTATTCAGGCCTTGGTGCGCCGCTATTCCGTCATCCTGCTAGAAGGCCTTCTACTAGGTACCGTGTAAGAGACTAAGAGTCAGATGGATGGTCCCCGCCGAAGTTTACTTACTTACCTTCAGTGGAGATAAGCCTCCAAGTACGGCCAGATATGGCCCTCTATCAACTAATTGCCCCACGATCAAGTCAGCATCTCACAATCGGTTCTCCAGGTCTCATCTGTGGTAGCACTTTGCGACAGGCTATCCCACTCTAGCGAACTCTTGTCCGACTAGCACCGCCGCCCATGCACGAGGCGAAGACATCACCGTCATGATCAACGCGGTCTTGGTCTTCAACGGCCAAGGTCAGCCTCGCCTGACGAAATTCTACACCCAGCTAGTACGTAACTTAGGTACTTGATATTTCCCCAAGTGGACATAGCCAAGCGCATAATCCATTGCGTACCTGATGGGGCTGCCGACTCTGACATGGCACAAAACTGCTTAGGAAACGAGTATCCAGCAGCGTCTTCTCTCCGAGATCTTCGCCCTCGTCTCGAATAGACCAAGCGGCGCATGCAACTTCCTCCCGCTGCCCCCTCTCCTCGCGGCCTCGGGCACGTCGCAATCGTCCTCCGAGCAGCACAATGACGTTCCCTCCCTCGTAACGTACCGCAACTACGCGACTCTTTATTTCATCGTCATCTCAACGTCGACCGAGTCGCCCCTGGCACTACTAGATCTCATTCAGGTGTACGTCGAGGCTCTGGATAAACTATTCGAGAACGTATGCGAACTAGACCTCATCTTCAACTTCGAGACACTTCATGCTGCCCTTAGTGAGATGATTGTCGGTGGAGTTGTCATCGAGACCAACCTCGATCGCATAGTCGCAGGTGTCAAGGCCCAGGGCACTGTTGCTAAGCGGCCCGTCAACGAGTCGAGGAGTGCAGGGCTAGGAGCCGGTTTGAGCATGGGCGGTAATTTCGTCTGGCCTGGCAGATAGCTTGCACGCATTATAGGTACGGATCATGCATTTCATGGAGTTAGGCGGCGTTTCTTGCGAACTCTCTGGCATGAAAAGGCGGGATAGCCGCCTTCTAGACAGGGCGAGCTTCGGCTTTAGAATATATATTCATATACACTCTATGACATGGAAAACGTGGTATCTCAACAAATCCATAACTCCGCCCAATGCGCTTTGATATGTGAGAGGTCTGTAATGTACAAAATGTCTATGACTTCTGGTTTGCCGTTGCAGGAAGATCGGAAGTTTCTCCCACGTGGCGCTTCTCTGAAGAGAGTGCACCTATGGCATTCCAAAATGTGTTTCGAACCTACTTTACCGTTAGCTTCTCCGATTATAATGCACTCTCGAAGATGTGAGGTACATACGCCCTGAAAAGGCTGTGTTTCAGAATTCCACTCCATAAATAGGATCGAGTACACAACAACAACTAAAAGTATCCAGCAAAGTCAGCATGCATATCTATCTATCTTCTACCATCATCTGGCACGAGTTTGATTTCTCTAACTCACATGTCACGGTCCCTAGCTGTGCCAGCTGGACAAGTTTATTCCAGCGCGGCCGCGCCGTCGCTAGCCTTATGCGCCGTTTATAACGCTTCTCGAATCTGAACTGTTCCTTCTTGGAGAGCTTCGAGAAATCTGGCGGCCACACCTTTTTCGGCTTGTACTCAGAGAACCGCGCGTTCACGATATTGCCGAGCTTTGGCGCCGAGGGCGGGCTCGTCGCTAATCGTCTTACAAGTGTGGGAAACATTGCTCTTGCCAATTGATATGCATCAATCTGCTGCAGATTCACGATGATGATGGCGCTTCGCAAGGGACTAAGAATGCTGTGGCTTGAGACTCCGTGCGGCTGGTGTAGCTTGGCGCACTGGCTGGCTTGACTTCGAGCTGTCGCTTGTCGCATAATCCCCATAAATGCATACTAGCTTGGTGCCCGTGTAGGTAGGTCGTCAACGGTACCTGGAAAAGAAAACAAGCTGTGAGTCTTGGAAAGACCGACTGCATTGTCGAAAGCATGTCTTCCCCCAGTACCGGGATTGTGCTAGGTGCGTCATGTGAGATGAGACACGGCATGTCACACGGAGGCGACGTTGTGAACGATATGGCATTTCAAGCTGTCTGCGAATTAACAGTGGATAGGCTTTTGCTTCTATTTTTATAAGCTACATCATCATCATACGAGCCGTTTATACGTAGACTTGCGTGATCCCAGTTTATCTCCCTCATTATCTATTAAGGCGTTTTAATGTGCTTTCAACTGTCTTCAATCTCATTCAGATGATGGTTAAAGCTGCAATGGTTACCCACGCGTGTTGTAAGTAGTCCACCAGATGCCCACGTTCGCGGCGACTGCGAGATCAAGCATCTTCAAGCCCTCATCATATATGATTAACTTGCCCATCTTGGCTCGCTTACCCCTGTTTCCTCCACCCGCCTTTTCCCGGCCGAGGCTCATGTCGAAGTGGAAGTCTCCGTCGTCACTATCGTCGAGGCCTTGCGCCTTTGCCACCATTCTGTTGAATTGGCTCTGTAAATGATCCCGTGTTCTCATGCCGCCCTCCGTAGACTTTTTATCTCCTAAAACTTCGTTACTGGGAAGATTAAAGCGCAACTCGCTGACGGGTCGGGCGCTATCTAGCTTCTCATCCCCATGCTCAGGATCAGACCCGTCGACTAGTGGGTTGTACACTCCGCCGCCGTAGGAGGGAAGTACATGTCTGCATTTAAGAGTGCGTCCACCTTTTCCGGTAACAAACTCACAGCGCCCATCCCAGGGGCTGTAAAAGACGTAGCCTCTCGGCTTCAGGCCAGGTGCAGGCTGTGTGATTACGGGGGCGTCACTTCCATCAAAATCTCCCCCAAACGACCCCATAGATGTTTGGCTTTCACCTCGGTTGTGGCCGAGACGATGAGGAGGAGGGCTGAATCGACTCTCGTCTGCCGAACTGTGGCTTCGAAAACGCTGTCGAAGAGTAGCTGTGAACGAAGGGGAGTAGGTCATCAAGACTTGGCGCTCGAATGCGCCAGAGGCAGGCATTCCTGTCGGAATGTTACGGAGTTGGCTTGTCGGCGAAGCGGCGCTTCCAGGTCGTATGTCGAGGCTATCTCGCAGACTAGCCTCCCCTCCAGCAGGCATACCGCGAAACTTGGCATATCCAGATGTCTCTAGGTGAATCTGAACAGAGGGATATGCAGGCGGACGCTTTTCGTCGTCGATGAGATCGGGATTTTCAAGCTGAAACGAGGCGAGCTTCCCCACATTCCATTGCTGCCCTGAGCTCGGGTCTCTTCGGATTAGCGTTAAAGAAAAGGGAGCAAATGGTCGGCGCGACGAAGCCTCAGCAAGACCATGGTCTTGATGAAGGGTATCGAACACATCGGAAGGAGAATGTCTATTCCCTGGACGAGGAGGAAATGATTGGGGGTGGTCCTCAACATTGTATGAATTTAGTGGACGAGGTTTACTAGGTAATGGTGGGGGATTGTGCCTGGCTGCGTCAAGGGGAGATGGTCGAGAATCGAGAGACACGCCATGGCCGGCTGGTGTCACTGTAGGATTGAGTGTGTGGTGTTCAGACTGTCCATCTAAGACTGTCTGCAACACAGGTTTCCGCGCAGGGTATTCATAACCCCGGTTTTCCTTCCCCGAAGGAGCTGCCGGCGCAAGCGGCGCGATTCCTGGTGCAGGCTGGCCCGGCGTATTCGGCAAGGGCTTTCGGCGAATTTGAGGCCTCGGGCTTTCTTCCCTGGATCCAGGGGAAGAGGAATGCCCAGGGACATTCAGACGTGTCAAGAGTTCGTTCTCAGACTGAAAATGTACGTAGTATAGTGAACTAGCAACATCCCCAACAGTGACGTTCTTGACTTGTGGTTTCAAAGTCGATAAGATTATGTCTACAAAAATTAGCCATGTTTGAATAATAGTGAAGCTGTAGTTTTGTGGACATGCCTTGCGTTCCAGGCACTCTAGAGATGTAGAGTGTGAGCGGATCTTGTCTTACTTCATTCGGTTTCGTCGGGTATTGAGGAGGATTGGCGGCGAGCTGATTCAAAGCGGCCAGAGACCGAGCTTCAACATGCTCGCTCATAGCCAGGAGCAAGTACGCGTGAACCGATGTGATGGCCGCGCCCTCACGATGGCGGCTTTCTGTTTATCAGCTGCGACAACAAAATGACAAAGAGAAGCGCAGTAGCGATCTGCAGGTGCCTTTCTTCTGGTTTATGAATAGATCAATTCAATTGTATGAGCCTCAGATGAAGCCACGTCAAATGCAACGTCAGGCTTCAATAAGATGGATGTACTTGTATTACATATAGTGCTCGCGGGCTGTAAAGAGGTTACCCGCCAAGACGCCGGGGTAGGCTACAAAATAATGGATAGCTAAATTCATAGGGCGAAGCCACGCAAATAACAAATTACCTATCTGGCTAACTAAACAGCTTAGAGGTCTAGACAGCTTCAGTGGGGATGGTGCTGTCTGCTCAGCTTTCACCGTGATACGTCAGCCCTGTGGCTGAGCTGGGTCTTGCGGGGGTCGGTTTGCAATAAATAACAACTTGCCTTTGACTGTTGATACTTCATTATAATCAAGGATGCCTGCTATGTTTACTCAGTCATATGGACAGAAAACGGGTTACATACCTAGGCAGTATGTATCTAGGTACTGCACGTTACTGGCGCATTGGAGTTAGGCACCTGTCAAATTCGCATTGGCGGATGGGAGAGAAGTACTATAAATTACGCTTTCCCGATCCCATCCACACCATCGAATAGGACCTCTCCAAACGCAAGAAATATCATCAGAGAATCGAGGCACGAAGATGCCAAGAGAAGTCCTCTTCCATTCTGCACGTTAATTGAGGCTCCACAATGCCTTGGCCAAACCTTACTTGATGGTTAGGTTAGCCAGCGGATACAGCCGGCATGATGCACGTAGATATCTACCTAGGTAGGTTGTCAACCGTGGTGGTAATCCAGTATGTGTGATGATGTAACGAATGTTGCCAATACAACGAGGGATCGTTGTGGTGCAAGACATTCTACTCAAATGAGCAATTTTTCTTTCAATGATTCCCAAAGAATCGTCACCTTCCGCAGTAGACAGGGCGAGTGGCGTTTCAGGAGTATCCACGTTTATTTCTGATATTGTAGGACGAGCAATAATTCATCGCGCGTAAAGATCAAGTTTGTCAGTACAATGACTTGACAATCAGTGATGAGTGCGTAGGTATAGGCATTTCGCCCCGTTGCTCCCTAGCCCCCGGCCACCTTAAATATTTTTCACAATATAGCTTATATATATCATCTAGTGTATCAATAGCAGCAGCGCTACACACAAAACAACCCAAGCAAGTAGCCAGAGCGCAAGAAGTCATCACTCATTACCCTGAACACGGCGACCCCAATCATCGCCTACTCTCAGGCTGTCCACTACCACCACCCCTCGGCCTCGCCCGACTCTTTCTTCCTTCTGCCACCATACCTCTTTCTTCTCGGGCTGTTCCGCTTCAGACTCGCTATCAGCGAGCCCGCCGTGGCCACCGTCAGCACCGACGACAAGGATGATATCATGCCGGAGCCATGACTGAAGCTGTGTGACTAGAGCCCCGTTTTCTCCAGCGAGTGATCCTTGGAGGTATATTACTTCAGGCTCAAGGTGTCGCAACATGTGTACGTAGCCGCCTGAAGTCGTAAATGGCATGATCATCGATTCTTTCTCGACAAGAGCCAGAGCTTGGGAGTACGCAGCGTTGAAAGCTGAATTGGCTGAGTTCGCCGCTAGCCTAATTCATAGGTGGTTAGCAGAGTAGAGCAGCCATAAAGCGCTCGTAACTATAAGTACTTACAGAGGACTCTTGGTCTCTTCGCCCGGTATTTGAGCCTGATTATGACTTATGTTTGAGAATGATGAACTCAAAGAAGCCGGAGGTAGGTTACTTGCTGGTGCCTCAATACCGGTCTCCTTAATACCCGGTGCGTAGATCAACACAAATAGTTTGATCTTGGAGAAGTCAACACTCTTGGGAATGTGCGACAAAATAGACTAGCATGAGCAGTCAGCAAACAGTCCTATGGATTGTGATTACGAAGAGTTATATTCCACATACCGCATGTTCGTGAATTCCGGACTCGTCGAAATCGTCTACATTCGTATCTGCTGACACGATGATGACGACTGTTTTGCGACGTTGGGCGGGCTCTTGGGGTTGTGGGGATGATTTGGACGAGGGCTTCTCCCTACGCGCCTCAGCCTCCTCGGACCAGGTCTCGTGGTCGGCATATGCGTTCTTATCCTCCTCTCGAATAGCAGCTAGAGCGCTGCCAACAGCGGCACCAACCCCAGCTACTCCCGCCGCAACGGTTTTGCCAGCATTGGAAAGGAATTGCTGCGGACTCGGAGTCCGTCGCAATGCGCCAGACATCTGCGCGCCCCAACCGGCGGCAGCGCCGCTCGCCTCCGGATGTACATCTCCGACACCATAGCTCACGTCATCGGCCGTTACGGTTGCCTTTGTCGTAGGCTGTCGCGCACTTCGACTGTTTGCGCCGTATGGAGGGTTCTCGCCGTAGTCTGCATGTTCATAGTCGAGGTCTGCAGGCGCAGCATCGCTCTCCTCCTCTTCGTTGTTGCGCTGACTCCAGGCCCAGGCGGCGACTCCAACAGTGGCAATCGTGACAGTAACAGCAAGGGGAACCCAGTGGCTCCAGACCCTGCGACGGGATCTCGAGGATTCGTACGACGACATTTATTCTAGTGGGATCATGGCAATGCGCGCCCGAAAAGGCCACCGCTTTTTCATATAGTATTATGGGTTCGTCTTGATGCGGCACCTATAACGCAAAGTTGAAGATAGTCTGGACTGGTCAAGCTGAACATCAGGCGTGGTTGGGGGTGGCTGGCTCGCGTTGTTGATCTAACTAGTTTATTCGGAACCCCTGCCGGCCGAGGCTCTGTCTCCTTCTCGTTGACCCAGCACTGACCCAGGTACCTATATCATGTACCTACCTTCACAGACCAGCCACGCTTGGAAACCTCCAGGGCTCTGCTCCAGCCACTTCAAGCCAAGATTAGCCACACAAACATCCCACCATCCATCTAGCCATTATCGATAAGCCTTCTTGGCTGGTTAATGCGAGGTCGCTTTCCACGATCGTGTGCTTGATGTGAGGTAGGAATGACTGGGTGGCCCATATCTCTCTTTCGCGAGGACTGATTGTATTCTCATAGAATTAAAGGGATCTGTACGTGGGTTGTTGATTCTCTCATCCTATCTCTCGTCCTCTTGTCGTGATGTATCGTCATCGTACTTACAATAAGTGAGTCAGACTTGAGCCCCGCCTACGGTGAAGCAGCATTCAACAAGGAACTAGCTCCAACGACCACAACATCAAGGCTACTTCAGTCTACTCCTAAAAGCAACAGGGAGTAGACAATCTCCCAGAAGATGCCTCATGCCATTTCGATGCCCGCAACGGGCCTCCAGGCTCTTATTCTCTGCGGCCCTGGATCTTCTTTTCCAACCTTCACAGCCAACCCAGATGAAAATCCAAAGGCTCTCCTGCCCATTGCTAACCGGCCGATGGTTTGGTACCCTATCGATTTCTGTTATAGGACTGGAATCACGAGTAAGCCTCCTTTCTTTAGGCAAAGTAATTGATCTTAGTCATGATGAGTGTATTTTTGCAGATGGCACTCTTTTGTCTTCTTCCAGACATCTTTCTTCACATAACTCTTATCTTTGATTCGAGTTTATCCTCATTTCCTAGCTCTTCTCGATTCGTCCTCGGGAGGTCTAAAAGGCCTCAATTGGGTAGTCCTTTATGCTAATCAGAAACCCAGATATAAAGTTGATTTGTCCACCGTCAGCGGCAGAGGCCATGACCACAGCCCTGAATACTAATCCCTTCTTAACCAGCCTTCCTTATCCTCGTCCGGACCTAGTATCACCGAAAGACCTGGACTACAATACAGGTACTGCGGAGATTCTCCGGCTTCCCGAGATTCGGGATATTGTCAAGTGTAACCTAATAGTCCTGCCATGTGATCTTGTCTGTGAAATAGGGGGAGACAAATTGCTACAAACTTGGATGGTCAAGGCTGCTAGTCTCCCAGATATTCTCGGAGGTGGAGCAGCTCCTTATTGCAGCGGTGGTTTAGGGGTTTGGTACGAGACGAAGACAGCCAACCCTATTAAGGGTGAGGAAACTGATTTTCTTGCTACTACTCCCATGCCGAGGGACCCTACTTCACCAAAGAATCATATATCACAGCATCTATCGTATTTGGCAATGTCTATGCCAACGGATTCGCTCAACGATCTTGTCGAAGCCAAGGACGCGTTCCCACTTCGACATGGTTTACTTCGCAACCATCCTAAGCTAAGGATGTTAACAACACATCGAGACGCACATATCTACTTCTTACCGAAGTGGGTGATGGAATTCGTGAAAGAAAATGAGAAACTCGAAACTATCGGGGAAGATGTTGTTGGATGGTGGGCAAAGGCTACGTGGCAGACAGGACTGTCAGAAAAACTTGGTTTGATGAACGTGCTACAGGGTCGCATCAAGGGCACAGAATCAGCCGATCTTGCCCGTGACGATAGTCCCCCACCACGTGGTGAGGTGTTAGACTCTCAAGGAAGTGGCAGTTCGCCTTCTGCAGAACCCGAAGATGCTCACAACTCGATTTTAAGTAAACCTTCTCAAGCCTCAGTACCACCAGTCCTGGCATATATCCACCCATCTCAGCCAGATGCCCCCCTTCTACGTCGCGTTGATACAGCCCAGCTCCTCTTGGCTGTATCGTTACGGCTAGCTAAGCTACCTTCTATTGAGGAGACAGGCCCAGACGCCGCGTCGCCATTTGCGCATCCTAAAAAGATCGCTTATCCCGACGGCGTCAAACCTCGGACCACTATTACCAGACAAGATTGCTTAATCGCCGATAATGTTATGGTGGACGAGAAAACATCTATCAAAGAGTGCGTTGTGGGCGCTAACTGTCAAATTAAAGAAGGTGCTAAACTTTTCCAATGTTTACTTATGGATGGTGTGGTTGTCGGAAAAGGCTGCAAGTTGACGCGCTGTATACTTGGTAAAAGAAGCGACATTGGCGAGGGTTCAATATTAACGGACTGTGAAGTGCAGGAGAATCTGCTGGTTGAACCAAAAAGTAAGTCCCCATATCTTAAATGATACCTATGGTACCACTAACACTTGAATAGCCGATGATAAGGACAATAAATTGATGAGCTCCTCCGGCCTGGAGGCCAGTGAAGAAGATATGCAGGACGTCTTACAAGAATTCGACGACGAGCAAGCCGCTACGACCTCATTCGAATAATCACTCAAACGTATCTATACTACCTGTTCTCTCGAACTTGGATTGCTAGCTCCTAGTCGATTGTTGATTCTATATCTCATAGAATTTCGATATCGGCCTAGGCTTTGAGAAGCGGGCTTCTTGGATGTCAGCAAATCGTACAAGCAAGAGCCTTTGCTACTCTCTGGGTTTCACCACCGCGACTAGCAGCGAGAATGGGAAGAAGACAGATCATATTTTAGAGAGCGGGAAGGTGTGGTGATCTCAGTTGCGTAGAAGCCGGGCCACCAATCAATGTCTAAAGATCTATATTGATTGTCTAGATTCCATGCGCTGAGTCTATGGCGCTCTGCAAGTTAAGGCATTATATGTTCCATGCAGAGATAATCACCGCCACTGCCAGTTGAGGTATTCCTACGGATTATCATTTGAGAAGCAATCATCATACCACCTCCCAAACAACTTTCAGACTAGGTCAATTGTCATAGAACAGAAAGTACAGAAAAGAATATTCACGACACCATCAGAAAGTAGAACCTTATCAGGTCGAAAATCTCACCGCCTATACTCGCTATATGGTACTGTGACACCACTAATACCTCTCTCAATGTGCTATGTTTTCACCATTTCCGAACCTGGACCAGTCGGTTATGAGTCTACATGTGGCCCACCTTTCTGTAGTGATGGGATACCCATGCCACGGGAGCACGCGACACGGCATGGAAGTTCTTGGGAAGGGAAGACGTTGGATTCCCTTTCGCGATGTGAAGATACCTAGCCCATATCTAAACCCCGCACATATGATCGCAGTCGGAAGATAGCCGGAAAGAATGCCGGAATAACAAGCGTGAACGATCGCGATCTCCGAGTCTCGCGTAAGACGACCAGTAGATGCTGCCAGTAGCAGTGACAACACATCGGATGTCTGCTGGGCCGCCGCTCTATTGACAAGGGGCTCACTCCAATGACTCTACTTTGAGCAAATATGCCAAGCCCACCAACCACGCGAGCAGGAAGTGGAGTGAGAATATGTACGTGCATCAGTACCGTGGTACTAGATGCATAGGTATGCACGGCAGGCGCCTGATCCTCGCAAGGATGACTAGCGCGTGGCATCTGCCATTGACCCATATGCACGTCACTCAGAAAACCAGTGACGAGTCACAGTAGAGACTCTCTGTTGTGAACATTGTAGGTACTTGAGAAGCCGATCAGAAACCAATGGGGAGATCCTTCCTTGGTCATCGTCCGCCTAGACATTCGTTTCTTACACTTCCCATTTGATACGATCACAAGTACAGTTATGGACACTATTTTGTCAAGGCATGTATAGCACGGTTCGTAGGACAGTATTAGTGGCTGGAATTGTGTAGCCCGTTTACAAGGCTGAACTAAATAGGTTCTTACGGGAAGAACATGCCGCAGCAATCTCTACTTGCTACCTCTGGCGTTTACGAAACCCCTGTAGAGTACACCTTACGCAGGCCCTCATTGGCTCATGGATGCTGCTTTGATGCCCAAGGCAGATGAGCAAACAGTCGAAGGGACTTGGCCGATGATTGGCTCTCGTGCAGGCTGGCCTAACGCCACACAGAAGTCGAAGTTGTATGATGCGGAGTGCTGACTATACATTGCGTGCATACTGGGGGCTTTTTTGACACTCGGCTGAGAATTGTGTGTAACCACCACCTCCACGAAATATGCCTGCAAGGTAGGCTAGGTATATGGGGAACTCTTTGAAAAGTTTTTGGAATTAAAGGCCTGGCGATCTCTGATGGGCTGACTCGGACATACTCAGTATGTCTATCACGGCGGGGTTGACAGAAAAGTGAGGCTGCTAGGGTAAGGTAACTGAGACAACAAGGATCACAGTATAACCAATAACAATACGTAACGATGGGTGTCGTTGAGAATCTCTATGCTTGCGTGAGTCCATCCACCCACAGCCAATAGGCACCGCCTAATACAGTACGCTTGCTAGCCACTATTATGACGTTCCGTGATAATAATATCCACAACGGTATTGTCTTGACTACTGAAGAACCTAATCTCTTGGAGGCTTTGGATGACATATGTTGTGTACCGTATCTCGAACTGCGTAGTAGCTCCTATCAAGTAAATGAAAGATAGATTATTAAGATGTAACGTTGAACATCGGTACTGCATGCTTACATGTTCAGCTCAGTTACCCAGTGGATCCCATTCGCCATGCCTTGAACATCGCCTCCAGATGCCATCATTGATTCTGCAATATGTTTGGAGAGTATGTCGTAAAGCTCATGTCCGCTTGGTGTGCGCGTTGGGTTGAAGGGCTTTTCGTAGGATCCTAGATACTTGCTGGATCTTAATACAGGTTTTATAGTTCTTGTCTCACAATCCGCAACTTGATTGGCGTGAAATGTTGAAGCCGAGAGCGGAGTCACTCTTCTGCGCTTGCTTCGTTGCTTTGGACAAGTCCATACTCGTTAGCTGAAGTCATCCTGCAACGATCCTCTCCGTCTACTAATGTCTCAGATGATTGTGCAGCCATATGCGAGTCTGCCTGGAGATGTCCTTCGAACCTTGTCGGCCGAGTCTACAACTGGCCTAGAGCAAGCAGTAGATGCCCAATGATCGCCGACCTGTCAAAGCTAGGTGCATCGCCCTCACCGTCGGTCTATGCATTCACCGGTTTGCCATTACTTCTATACCTCGGGATTTGAATGTCCTTAGACAATGAGGCAACATCCTGGTCTGTTTCACTTCTCAATCTACAAGCCAGCAAGTAGTAAGAAACAACCGATGCCAGCGCATCAGAAATAAGTGCACTTTTCTCTCGCGTACGTAACTTGAAGACGATGAGTCACAACATAACATGATGTTCTGGCGTGAGGAGACCAATGTTATTCTGCTTTTCTCAGGGAACAGGCTAAGTATCTAGATAACAACTTCGCTAACTGTTGCCCAATTCTGCGTTGACTACTAGTCCAACAATCCACTGAAGCTTGATAGCATGGCCAGATAACTCCAGAAATTTGCTCACATCACTGTAAATCTCTCTTAGAATGGGCGTCTTCCAAATAATAGCCCATGGGGTGTCAGGATAGAGAGATAGAGGGGGTTTCTCTCACCAAGTACCCAAAAAGACATCAAACTGGCATCAGCGACCTCGCTCCTTATGGCCTTTGTCACAGAGGCCAGTGGCAAAATTTTCCACTCGTATGTAGGTTTGTGGTGTATTGTGCCCACAGTCCTCATTGTTTCTGCTCAGCAGACATGAGACAACGCGTGTGGACTCAACACACTTCTCTGGACCCGGGCAGTTGCAGTTGTAGTAGAGCACCTCGAGACTGCACATTGCTATGGTTTGCTTGAGAATGAGACAATGGCTTCTGTGAGGGTTAAAATTAATATATCTTCAAGTTGCTGTAAGAGAAAACAAACCAAAGCATCCTGATTGCCCCCCCTGGTCGCCCGTCTGAATTTATAGTCTTTTGAGATGATCAAACGGCCACTAGAATAAGTGGCTTGCCCGCTCTTTGGCAATTTTCAAACATGGTGCGGAAGAGGTATCCCGGCTTTGTGAGCTTGGGCAAACACATCTTCGTATCCATCCTCTCGCTTGATCTTGGAATAGTCCTGCGGGGTGAACATACCAGATCAGACACCTGCATAGGAAGCACCAGTCCAGCAAGATACACAAACGGTAATCCGAGACGTCCTCTGGCCGCACCTCGGCCCCGTGTGATCATGTGGGCTAGTTTGTTTATCTGCATGGAGGCAGGATTATGAAGCGGCGATTATAGACTCGCTGGTGTTTAAGAACCGCTACACACAGCCTATCCATAGGCATCCAGTACACTATAGCTGACCCCTGCCTTCTTGGGGGTGGCCATATAAGCAAGTGTAACAACAAGATGATGGCAGGTAGGTGTACAAAGACTAGACATTACGTATGCATCGTGATGCAGGGCGAGGTGTTAGCATCTACACTCCATGTATGTTTGCTTGAAAGCTACTTCGCTGACGAGGCTGTGGTGGAGCTGAGCTACACACCCGCTTGTGATAAAAATAAATAATGAGTAAAAAGAACTGAATCCGTGGTAGAGAGCGTTAGCATCTTGCTTCTTGAGAGTCGAGTGATGAGTGTCTATAGAGATAATAGTGAGGTCTGGAGATGAGTGTTACTGTAAATAGTATTGAGTGCTATGTTTGCTCCGTATCGCGCAAAATCCACGGCAATTTTTACATGGAATAACCTCGAGAAAAAACACAAGGATACTTAGATCGGTTTTGTATGGGGTAGGACAATCCGGAACAAGCATCTTCCATTGGCTCTGGATCGGCAGGGTAGGGACATTTGGCATCTATCAAAACCCTCCCCTGGTCGTCCTGGGTAGGGGTCAGGATGGAAAACATACCGTTAGGGAGAATAACACATTGTTCAATAACGGTGCAATATCATGAGTGATCTGCCAATCATGGTGACACAGTCAAAGTGGTACCCGCAAGACAAAAGGCGTATTGCTGGACTGTCTTGAACGGGATTTTTGTTGGCACAGGCTCCTATAGGCATACCAAATACAACGACACAAGACAAATACTTAGCCTGCTAAGAGAAGCAGAGGGTGAGTGAACACTATCTTCAGGGGTATGGAACTTGTGTTGAGACACTGTGAGATGCCACCATCGACTGTTGAAGTACCTACATGTAGTCGCACTCGACTACATTGGTACACGATAGATATAATGGGTGTGCTAGTAGGTGTACAACCTACCATATTCTAACTACGACAATCAGAATGGACTCGGAGCCTAGGTCAGGACTGGTAGAGTCTCTGAAAGACACGCACCGGGGTTGTGTACCGCAGCTGGTGGTCATGCGCATCAGAACCATGCGCTCTTGTCTACCATGTATTGAGAGGGGGACCAACAGAGTGTTAGATACATACAGCCAAGCCCTCAAGTACTGCCCAAGCCGACTTCACCCGGGTTGGGATAGCTCCAGGTGAAGACTGTTGTGTTACCGTCGATCAGTGGAGCTCCCTCTTGCCACCGTGGACTCTGCATTTAGCCTCACGTCTTTGGTCGAGGTCAAAGTCCCTCTTGTAGTCAACCAAACCATAGGAGGTACCCATGGATGTAGTTTATTCCAATTCCAAGGTCGGGTCTACGGGTGTAACACTGCTTGTTAAGCGATATACCCAAGTAAAAATAGCAGTGATTAACTATTGGGAAGAACGATGATATCGCTGTAGGCATATCCTTGATCAAGAATATTGATAATTAAGTCACTCTAGATGTAGCATAATATCGAGACATAGTAGGCCTACAGAGCACCTTTGCAAGCCACATAATCTCAAGCGAGAAACAAGCCTCCTGCAAGTCACCTTTCGAACCAGAACGCAATCCGCTTTGGCCAAGGAGGGGGCTCGCACCATAGTAAGGTATACCTTAGCCGGGATGTATGTGCCATGTCCTGACACACCTGGGTACTAGCGAATAGGGAACCGCAGAGCACGCTTAGGGCCAGCTCACGCGAGTGATGCTCCTTAGAGAGGTCGGTGTATGATTAGCCTGGTATGAATCCCACGTCCTTACCAGAGAACGCCAGTAGTATTATGAGCTGAAGATCGGGACCTTCAGCAAGAGAAATGACTTACTGGGGAATTAAATTTTGCTGCCTCTGCAGTCGAACTACTAGACCTCTTTAGGTATTGCTGGTTCTTTTTTTCTTCTACTACTGGGCACTTCCTTGGTGAGACGAGAGCAAACTAGGTACCAACAGGGGGGATACACTTTAACAGTGCTAGAGGTTTGTCTGGGATCTAATAGCTGTCCGTCAGATGGTAGCAGTATAGATGGATCGTGAGAATCGATACCAGTCTACCGGAAGAAGAGCTAACCAAGTTGTGACTAGGTAGCCTGCCGTACCATAAGTACTCAACCAGCGGGACGGTTGCTTCAATGTACGATGACGGTGGTCGCCTCTAGTAGCATCGCGCGGCCAAAAGAAAGGCAGCACTTGTTCTTTGCCCTCTGAGTCTGTCTTAGCGCTTGGTGTGAACTTAACGCGGGGCTATTTGCCAACTATAAAAATCCATTCCTAACTGTCCATTTTGCGGCGCGTTACCCCTGATGTGGCGGGCGACTGAGAGAGCGCCTGGCGGAGCGCTTGTCTCACGATCCGGGCCAACTACGCAGCGTACGCCGTACACACCGTGGAGGTCGACATGCGGGTGAAATGGGCTTCGTCTGCCAAGACCAGTTGAAGGTGCCTGGCCCATGAATGTTTGCTTTGCATCCCCGTTAGCGGCAGCCGGGATGGGATGCTGTGTACCGTCGTGTTATTTTCCAGATCTACTATTCTCCAGGACATACAGGGTACGCGGCCGACTCTGCGGCTTTTGGGGGGACGAGGGGGGTGGCCCCGATGTGCTGTTGGCTCAGGTGCATGGATGCTGTCCAGAGTACCGGTACCACTGTGCCCGGCGGAGTGGAGAGAGGAATCGGTCCAGCTGATCCAGCTCGAGACAACACTCTTGTACAATCGCATAGTCAACTGTCAATGGGACATCCTCGAAGTTGGGGGTGGGTGGCTTGTCGACAAGAGCCGCCGCCTAGCCTTGTTTTCCTACCCTTTCCCCAATCCGCCGTTTATTCTTAAAGGCGATCGCGCCCCCTTCACTCCACGGGTCTTGCACTGCATTCCTCAACCTGACTTAAATCCCTTCCGGGCCGAACAACTACTCTATTGTCAAGACAGTCTTTAGCTATTTCGCCTAGCGTCCTCCGAGAGGTCTTGAGCAATTCGATATCCATTCGATATCTGCTGCCCTCTACTATATCTATCCATTACCTCTCCCGTCATTCCAGGCTTCATACAACAACACCATCCAGCAACATCCATACCAATACTCTCATTCCTTCAACGACCCAAACATGAGCACGATAACCGACTTTACCCTCGGCAGGGAGGAATTCCCCTGTGACTCCTCTGCCAGGAGCTTCTCAGTGGCGTCAGCTCCCGGCGCCGTTCCCTCGCCGTATACTCCCACCTCCGGCCGGTCAACGCCGGTCCTACTACCGTTTGGCAATAACATCTTCCCGACGGGGTCAGAGCCCGTCAATTTTCTGGACATGGGCTATCCTTTCCAACAACAATTAGTGTCTCCACCGTTGGAGTACACTCAACCACATTGCTTGACAGAATCTTTCGGCTCATACACGGGTATGCCAACCTTGGCGTGGCAGACAGACGGACAGCCCTTGTATGGGGAGAGGTTCACCCCTGACGTAAACGCTGCCATGGGGGAAGCAATATATCCTCCCTCATACTTCTCTATCCAAGAGAGAAGTGCTGCTCTGCACCAAGTTCAAGGCCGCTGTCGTATCAACAAGCGGACAAAAGTTCCCATGGTGATGGTAGAGCGACGCAATGCGTCAAATCTAGAAAGCATACCAGCTATGGTATGCACATCAGGGGCACACAAGTGCCCACATCCAAACTGTCGGGACCGGAAGCCTTTCAAAAGACAAGAGCACTTGAAGCGTCATCAGACAACGTAAGCTCTTCCTGCTGCTTCCTTTTAGAGTCATCAAAAACTTTCGTGAAGCTAATTGTATCTAGGGTACATGGAGGCTTAGATTCAGTAAAGTGCCAATTTTGCTCAGGTCGTTTCAACCGCAACGACAATTACCGGACCCACCTCAAACTACACACTGAAACTGGAGGTCGAACTCCATATTTTGCGGAGGCCCAAGCTGTCTATGAAGAAGAGATGCGGAAAACGAAGCAGAGACGGCAGGGTAACAAAAGATCAGGTGCAAGGGCAGACAGACGACGAGTGCCAAGTTAGAGCAATAATACTTGGCGGGTTTGTCTTAGGTCAAAAAGTCACTCTGTTTTCACGGGGACGTGTTTTTTTGGATTGCGAGGCGTTCTTTTGGGTTTTCTAGGTTGACATCTTTGTGACGCTGTTCACTATATGTCAAGGCGTTTCTATTGTACACCTAGGAGGCATGGGCGTCATTGAATTACAGTCATGTATCATTGAGATTTACAATGGAGTACGGTTGAAACTCCGTAATCGAATCCAAACCCGATAGTGCTATATTCACATGGAAAGACCGATTTGACAGTAATTCGCCCCCACGCGGTGCCCACTGAGAGTATTCATACATTGTCCTAGCTCACCAAGTGTGGTGATACACCCCGCATAGTCTAGTTGCAATGGTGTGTCTCAGACATTCAATCACCGCGATAAAGTGCTTCTCTTAGCAATATGGCCGAGACATGCCAGCCCAGCGAGCATTAACTAAACCCAAAGTGCCATCAAGTCTAGGCCGACTTAGCCAAGCGTATTACCCGATCAAACGCTACAAAAGCCGGGGTGGTGAGCAATATGACTCGTATTAGGTACAGCACACTTGACGATAGTAGTGCATAGACCATCACAGAGTAATTTCGTACCCTCGGCTCCTATTCTCTTGGCTGCCTGGTTAATGTCACGCCAGGGCTATTGTGTAGACATTTGAGCACGCAATCTATGGAGTCACATCCGTCACGAGGCCTAACACAATACAACTGGACGACGTGACGGCCTCACTTGGGCGTAACGGGACATGGAAACGTGGCACGATACAACGAGCATAGGCAAACAAGGCGGACGGGTACTGTTTAAAGGGGGGGTCTCTCACGGATGGAAATTTAACCTCGTTACTTGCCACGGCACAGAGTTACCGCGGCATGTGCAACATATAATGGGAAGAGACTCCGGCCAGCACAGGAACACAATTGGCTGGGACCACGCTCATCCGGATCGCAAAGTAAAGCCTCTAATACAACGCTGTTCCCTGTCTGACGGCTGGGGTGGTAGGGGGGTTACGCACGAAAAACTCTGCAAATGACATCTCAGCGTGCTGGCTAGTGCTAGCCGTGACTATGTCCCACAGGCGCTTGGAAGTGTCCGTAGCGGTCATGGCAACCAGCTCAAATCTTCCGTACTGCTAATTGTGTCCGCAAAAGTAGTGGGCATCAATGCTCTTCCCGTCAAACGTTGGGAGTCACAATTTCCCCCAAAGGATAGTATAGTAGTACGGCTCAACGGTCAGCGTATTAGTGCCATATGTGTATCCCGAGGAACGCAGTTTGGGATGGCGAGGTGTAGCTGTGGTCTTCACCTAGGCTCTGAAATTGTAGACATTGTCATGGCATCACATATGATTGAGCTCCTCATTTCATGCCTACCTGGGAGCTAGGCATAAAGTACTGTTTATAACATCCCATGTGCTAGTAAAATATGCGGGAAGAGCGGTGAGGGAGCGAGCTGGAGGGGCCTAAAGGGATTCAAACCTTTCGCCCAGTTGAGAGAGCAAATCATTTCGCTAGAAAATTGGGCGTCCCATGGTACCTCGTCTATTATCTCTCTTCACCCACGTGGTGGAGACCTCAGCCCGGGACCTCATGCTCGGAGCGTGAGTGGTACCAAGTATGTGAAAGCAAACAAGTTTTTTAAATAAGCCGCGTTCCAGCGTACTGGCCACCCCTCAGCGTGGACAAGCTATGTGCTCCCACCTAGGTGAGCCAGCCGAGTTTTGGTTCAGGCCGCCGGGCTTTGGCATTAGTGAATTTGTAGGCCATAGGAACCGGTTTCTTGAAGGGCAAAGAAATCAATATACTGCCTGTCTTGGAGCCTCACAGGAGATTCTCTAGTTAGGCTATCTGTCGTACTAAGGGTGCTGGTCAGACATCGTGTACACCTTGCAGTGCTCTAGCCAAGAGTTTGGCATCTTTTCAGATTCCAGTCTTCATACTGCATCGAGATTCATACTATCCGCTCACATGCCATGATAGCATGTTACTTTGGTTGGTTGTCACTTTCACAAATTCAAAACAATCATTGCTCACCGGCGCCGAGCCAGAGCCGAACAGAAGGTTAGGCATTCGTTTGGGGTTTGTTATTCTCGTGACCTGCGTTTGTATAGCCAACCTTAAAGAGAAGCTCCAATAAAAGTTGTTTCGGTCCTTTGACAGGCTCGTAAATACTGCTATACCGGGAGGCAAATAGCTGTTCACGCGGCAGTTGGGGAAGCACAAGGGTTTCATGAATAATAATATTCCATCTCTTGGAGTGTGACTATACATCACGATTATTCCAAATCAATTCAAATGCAAGTGTTATGAGTACGAAGACCGTACCGTACGTACATGTGTACCAAAAGGGCATTCCAAAGCCCGAGCCGAGTCACGGATGGAAAGAATGTATTGCCCACAACCAAAGCACGTTTCAAACTTGATCCTATGATCGAGAAAGAGTAGCCTATGGTCTAAGATCGAGTATTGTTTGTTATTGTTTTTGTGTGTATCGATCGACATGGCCGGCAACGAGCATTTGGGGGGCGACGCACGGAGGGGCCATAGGGTACATTGACAAACACCGAAAATGAGTCAACTTTGCTTCTTTTAGAAGCCGCCGGTTTGGCATTCTAATACTGTGTCGGCGTACACAAATGAACGGACATGGATGCTCTAATGGACAACAAGTTGCCAAGCTACGTGCTTCAGCTCACGGAAATAGAATAGAAATTCTACACCCCCCGGCAATCCCGGCAACTGGTAACAAAAAGTCTACAGCAGCATACTGTTTTCCAGGACCTTTGGCCTGGGGACGAAGAAGCTAGTGAGGTTCGATTCCCCGGAACATTACCAGATTGATACCATGGTAGCCATGTATGTTCAGCTGTACGACACCTCAGGGCTGGAAGGTTATCCAATAATGTACTACTTGGTGACACCACACCCCCTAGGAAGAACCAAGTCTTTTCTGTCCCAATTGATGGAGATGGCAACTCTTACACGTGGTTGGCACGTTATTATGTCCAGTGTAGAAAATACCAGTAATTATCCAGCAGTACTGGGCTCTGGTAATAATTATCCATTACCGTGTTTATGTCCACTTTCTTCCTGTAAAAATTTAATTTTTGGTTTAATTCACCAGCAAAATCAAGTTCTAAATATTCACATGCGGAATAACGTGCAGCGTGATTCTATTCTGATAGATCCAGAAAAGACAGAGCAATAGTGCTTCTTCGGACCCTGGCTGTCGTTATGTTTGCGGCGCAACGGAGGACGATGAGCTCTGAAAATAATCACCACCGTCTATATTTTCCTCCTAGCCGATTAGAAAGAATTGCCTGATTCTTCTGTTCATGAAGTTTACCATTCGCTCAATCGAAGCAACATTTTTCTATGTTTGTGGGGATAACTAACATTGGCACAATTGCAATAAGCACATCTATCCAACTCCCCTAATAATCCAGCAAGAAAAAAAATCTCTTGATATTACGACCGACTCTGTTCTTCATATTGGCATTAGACATGGCGTAAAACTTTGGCAAGTGGGCTTGTGAAGTTTATTTCTTGCGATCTTTATGCAGGCGTTTATGGTGCAGACAACTTTAGTCACCAGGCGCCAAGCTTTGAACACAGCCCACCTAATAATATGACATCAGCTTTGTCCCCAAATCCGTGACTGCCATTACATCCTCATCGTCAAGTACGCTGACATTTGATGACTTGTCATGATCTAATATTCTAAAGCGGAAGCTTCCTCTCGTTTTCCCTTAGTAGATATGGACATTCTCCCATCGTACAGGGAGGCTACCTCTCGGCTTGATTGGCTGTCGCTTGTTGCACCTTTCGTCCCCGCATCAAGCTGGACGTCTTGCTGTCTCGTGGATAATCGATTCTACGAGTCCTTTGCGCCTCGCCTATGGCAAGATCCATTGGTAGTTATTCGGCAGCTTGGTCTGCATCCAAATGATGGTGAGTTTCTCTGCTAGGATGAATGTGCCGAGCCGTGTTAGCTCTCCGAGTCGGTCTGTGCAGTGCGCGGTGTATGGAGAAGTAGCCCCCCTTGACTAATGGCTCGCAGATCTTGCGTGGTATAGGCGTTTCGTACACAAATACGCCTCGTCTGCACGGTTTCAGACACGGTGCTTGGTAAAATCATTGGATTTTCGGGCTTTCGCCTTGAGACCGTCCGGGCTCTATTCTACGGATGCGAGCGAGCGAGCGATATCTGAAAGCTTCAAGTCACTGCCCAAGCTATTTCCAAAACTGATTTGTCTCCTGATTGATGGTCATCCTGAGCTAGATCCTAGTTCATTAGCTACTGCTGAGGCCAATACTGCTCACTCTCTCGAGCTCTTGGACCTTGCTCGCTGCCGCCAAGAGCTCACCCCGAAATTATTCTGCCCGCCATTATTTCGCGATCTGATCTATCTCGACGTTTCGTACATTCCTGGGTCACTTAGGAGAGCTGTTCAGACCTCTCTCAACCCCACCTATCTTCCTGAACTTCGTGTCCTGAAAGCTCAAGGGCGTGAAGTTGACGATATTACCGCGCAAACGCTGTTTCAAGCGTTCCATCATCAGCTTTGGAGCATTGATCTTAGCGATAATAAACTTTCCGATAATGTTATTGACAAATTGTGGTTTCACTGTTTCTCTTCACTGTCATTCCGTAATGACGCGCATTTCGAGGTTGAAGGTAAAGTGGTACTACAGAAGAATCTAGGGAGCCACCAATATGGACCCTTTGAGTTCATCCAAGAATCACCACTTAGCGCCACATTCACACATCCTGAGCGACACCTCGCTGATGCTCCTGTGTACACTCATAGGTACAATCAGACGGAATTGCAGGAGTGGCAGACTATACGCTGTGATGGCACCAGTCCGTTGAGGCGTGATGACGCTGGGACGGCCAAGGAAATGCTGCTGAAGAATGCGTTGCTTGGAACGAACGGAACGCCAAAACAATCAGTACGCAATCTCCATCCACAACGGGCAGGTATTACGCACCTGTACCTCAACCGCAATAACCTCACTGCGACCGGTGTAGGGAGACTGCTTCGGTTATCACTAGGAAGGCTAGAGCACTTTGAATGCGATCATATTCTGTTTACCCCTCCAGCAGCATCAGCAGACAAATCCCAACAACAATTGCATGTTGGGGGTGCTTTTGGATTGCCACATTCATTCCGCCCTGTCTTTTCCTCAAACCTTCAATCACTACGCGTCCACCATTCATTTGTAACACAAGTACCAGCTGTATTTGCAGAAAACCTTCCTTTGACAACAGCCCTGAAGCTTTCGGAGACGGCCTTTTTCAGAAACGTGAGCAGGGTGTACCCTCAACGTTTCGTGCCGGATATGAACCCACGCATCACCTCCCTCACGCTGACCAATATCCCGACACGCTCCATCGGTATAGTTATCGAACGATTAACGTCATTCCTAGAACTAGCGTCTTTGCAGCAGGAGACTATAAAGAAAACTAGATCAGGCATGAACAGTCGCCGCGCAGCGGTCCTTAGTGGTCTTCGCCATATTCGACTTGAACTAGATCCTGATTTCTCGGACGACTCATTTGAATCGTCTTCAAGCCATGGTATAGATTATGACAAGCTTCTCGATCCTGGGGATGATGACTTTTCCAACAACACGTTCAGTTTCTTCGAAGAAGAGAAAAAGACCATATCCAACAAACCTAGTAGCCAACAAGGACCTGAAAATAAGCAACCGGGCCACACGAATGTCGAACGATATTCCGACTGGACGTCAGGTCGGTTGAAGTCATCACCGTACGCAGACACGGAGTCTCAATTCATTACCCACCATGAAGAGGCATCAAGGTCTTGGACGCGCAACGTCTTCTCAGTGCCTGTTTGGATTGGCCTCGGCACGATTGGGCCCCATGCTGCCGTTAATGAGTACATGTGGAATCTTCAGGATGCCAACTTAAGGACCAACGTCGGTCCGGCAACTCCAAGTCATGTAGCTGCCGGTGTACCAGCGCTAACATATATATTCTACGCTGCATGGGATGCTATGATATACCCCAAGAGCCTCGCTGCAGCAGTGAAGAGCTGCAATACTGAGCTCCTTCGAGATGTAGCAGCCGCAATCAAAGAATATCGTATGAAAACAAGAGGCACGAGTCGCCACTGGAATGGACAGTTAGAGTTAGCGCGCTCGAATCGGTCGTCTTTCTATAACTCCTCAGAATACTGGCGCTGAGTGGACTTGTATGAAAGGTTCTTTATTTACGGACGGGGATAATATGGAATCCCTTCCAATATTTACAATAGGTTCCTCATTATCCATACTATGCAGGTAGAATAAGAGACCACTCTAACTTCCAAGTGCTACAACTAATTCACAGTGATGGAGTAGGCCGAAGTGGTCAAGACAGCGTTCGAGCCGACAAAAGGCTCAGTTCCGGCACCAATGCTAGTGACGTACTGCGATGTAGACAGGCCGTTGCGCTGGTTGAGGTAAGTGAGGAAGTTCTTGAGATCACCGCTGAAGTTAGTGACTTGGGACGAGGCAACGAAGCTGAAAACGTGCATGGCACCGTTATAGCCTTCGTAGAGCTTCCAAGATACACCACCGACGGTTGGAGTCGCGATGGGGCTGCCGGTCGATGAAATAGGTCCCGCGCCACCGAGAGCGGCTAGCCACACCATTATCTCATATTCCGATGAACCGCTTGATGACGAAGATGTGAACACATCATATGCCACATTTGCGACCATGTTGGAACCGGTGTACCTAGTAGACTTAATGTCAGCCCCTAGGATGCATGATGAGACGACTCAGGTAGGAGGTATAATATCAGCGTGTTGTAACTTACGTATACTTCCAAGTTGTCGGGATGCTTGAAATGGCAGAAATTCGCTTCGCCGAAGTCTGAACGACGGCGTTTGCGTACGACTTGACGTTGTAATTGCCGCCAGACCATGACCATGACGTTGACCAGGCCACGCTGTTACTCGAGAGGCCGTTCACGGTCGTGCATTGCTTGCCTGTCCCGGAAGACGCGCCCCAGAGGTTGTTGTACACAACTGCGGCACTCAGTAACAGTCCATTGCCAGCTTGAATAGTGCATACACTGAAAGTTGCCATAGCAAGAAATGGACAACGCAAATATTACTTACTGTACGAGCCGGTCTGCGCCGAGTCCCATTGTCCACAGAATGTAGTCGCTCTCTTGTCAACGGTGGGGGTTGGCGTTGCAAGGGCCAAGCCCGCTAGAGCAGCTAGGATGAAAGACTTCATGTTGATGGCGAGATTCTGCTTAGACGAACTGAACAATGGAAGGCTATAGTCCAAGTTGTACCGAGAATCAGCACTTCCTACACAAGAAATCTCGCAAGCTTTTTGAATGCCCAACACCGTTCATCGGTGTCAGTCACCGGATCGAATTTTTCCATGGCTTTATTCCTAATTAGATTTCCAACGGAGAGAGTACGGGCACAATGCCTGGTCTGTTATGGCTACCAAGACGTCGACATCCTGGACAGGCATAACTCCCTCTTTACAGCGCTGATTGCCCGTTTATAGCACGGAGCATAGTCTGGCGAATTGGGGTTTTGTCTTTAGTAGCGCCCTGGATGGATGTTTGGGGTAGATGTTGCTGTGTCAGAACAGTCTTTGCGGGACTGGGGCCCATGGACCGGACACCGCCACCGGCGGAGATTGGTGGAATCGTGAGTTTCAATCTATCTCCGTCAATCGGGAACAGCTCCCACCCTGGCTCCCGTACCATGTTGAGTTTCCATTACTAGGATCTCTCGACTAAGATGCTTCCACTACCGGCACTCTAACGGCACTTCCATATCCCACAATAATATGTAGCTAGTTAGATACCACGCAGATATATACCGAGAGCCTTTGCGGTGACCTAGGGTGTGCTGGCTGCTTGGCACGACGTCAGGTGATCTCGAGTCTCTTCTCTTCGTATCTCGGTAGGAAATATACACACCCCCGATATTGTGGGCTATCGCTTCCGCCCTAAATGCCCGCCATTGGCGGACCGATCGGGCGCCCACAACGGGTCGGGCACGGCATGCCTAGGTAGTGATCACGGTAGATACAACACGTACTAGAGCTCCGCAGGCAACCGAAAACATGTACATAGTAGCTCGTGTATTACAATTCTTCTGTTGTGCTAGGAGTTTGTAGGTTAGTCAGTCGCAACCTCTCGTCCCACAGGCGGCGCGCGTAAGACGGCAATGGGCCTGAGCCCCTTGTAGCGCTAACCTAATACGCCGCAAAGCCTCGGCTTTTTGGAGGAGCTGTTCCTCCACATGCCCTGCCAGCACCATCATGAGGCGAGAATGTGTCACCTAATAGCTATTGATAGGCGACTCTGCGTGGGAAAGCCTTGGATATAGCTTTCCTTAAGACGTTCTGAGAAATTCCCCCAAGCTCACGGTTTTCGCTATGTCGGATAACGCGAAGCAAAGAATTGCTGCGATCGGCAGCCACCTATCGCCGCCGAGCAGTGGCTCGGGGAGCTTTGAGGGTATACCTAGTATTCAAAAGGTCGCCGGCAAGTCTAATGGACCTCGTGTGTCAGGCAAAGTTGTGATAATTACAGGTATGTCAGCGCCATTATGCCCTATCAGGCAGGTACTGCGACGATGATTGCTAACAAATGCGTCCTGGCAAGGTGCCAATTCGATCATGGGAATAGGTCGAGCGGCTGCGCATCTCTTTGCCGAAGCTGGCGCGAAAGCCATCTATACCTGTGATTACGACAGTAAACATCTCGAAACCCACAAGCGCGAAATTGCCTCTTTGTACCCTGCCGTCGACGTTCACATCCGACAATTCGACGCAGCCGACGAGCAGGCGGTAAAGGCTGTGGTGGATCACGCTATGCAAAACTACGCGAGGCTGGATGTATTTTTCGCCAATGCCGGCATAGTAGGTCCCATGGCGCCTTTTACGGATATCAGTAAGGAGGACTTCATGAAAGTAATAGATACCAACACCGCTAGGTCCGTTGCATTATTTGCCGCCTCTATGACCGCCAACCCTACTAATGTCCGTGCTAGTGTATTCTTAGCCGCCAAATATGCAGCGCCTGCTATGATGAAGACCTCGTCGGAGAAAATATCAGCCTCCGGAAGTATTATCGGGACGGCCTCGGTGGCGGGTCTAAGGTCAAATGCTGGCTCGACCCCATACTCTGCCTCCAAGGCCGCAGTTGTCTCGCTCGCCCAATCAATTTCATACCAGCTCTCTGACACAGGCGTTCGCATCAACTGTGTCTGTCCTGGCCTAATTGAGACTGGAATGACGGCTCCAACCTTCGCCTCTGCTCGAGCCCGAGGTACAGAGAAGAAGCTTGGGCAGCTAAATCCCTTGAAGAGAGCGGGTATGGCTGATGAGGTGGCAAGGGTCGTCTTGTTTCTAGGAAGCGATGAAGCAAGCTACGTCAATGGTCAAGCCTGGGCCATCGATGGCGGACTGAGCGCCGGACACCCTTACGTTCTTGGGAAGATGGCTTAATCAAATCGCCTTGGCATCTCTTGGATGTCATGATATCTGTAGACAACGAAAGAAAGAAGGGGCCGAACGGACTCACACTTGCCGAAAATTACTAGATATGCCAATTGGCTGTTGTAACTACGCGCTGCCCTACAGATGAACCAGATGAGCTATGGCTCCTCACTGTTGTGAAGATGGCATGGTTCTGTTTTGCTAGCCGTGGGTCGATTCAAGTGCCGAGACATGGGGCCTGTTCCCAGTCTAGCTTCAACGCTTCGTGGAAAGACTCCATTCTTCGGTAAGCAATGTAAGCATCTCTTCCATGTATCCTGACTTGTGGTAAATTGTCGCTATCGACTTTGGGCGGAACAATACCGGCCGCTCTGCCAGATTTAGCGCGCGTGTCTGGCGTTCCTCTTCGTATATTTTTAATCTTGTCACATATTTCATCAGTCTTCACAGCCGCGAGCAACTATCGTTTTCAGGTTCATTTCGGGACCGAGTGGGATAATGTGGGATATGGGTCCCTAGGTAATAGTTGGCCGTTCTAACGTGCAAGCCCTCGTGGTTCAATGCGACTTGGCAACTCTTGAACACAAAGATACTGTATGAGAGAGTTGCGTAAGTTCACCCACTTCCCGAAGGGGGATACCACGTCGGATGTCTACTCCATGACCACTTCTCTTCTCCAGAAGGAGAAGACTATCTTGGCAGGGCCATGATGTATAATTGAGCGTGGTTGATTGGCTATTTCATATTAATGCTTCTAACCTCGCGTCTAAGTTGCCTGATGCTGATCATCTTGGCCTCAGCTCTTTTGATTCACCTTCCTGGTCTACCTATCCACCCCGAGAGTTCAATGCGCAAGGCGGTATGCGGGTGTCCCGGTGCAACGTTGGTGAAGTCGTTCCCAGAATCATACGGCCGCTCGTAGGCGTGCTCGGACTCGAGGAACACTTATGTGAGGAAGATCTTAATATGTTTAGGTGGAGGAGAAATTAGGATATAAAAGAGGTGGTTGCTACTTCGACCTTAGGAGGCTTCTCTCGATCGCCATCCCGTAACTTGGGCCTTCCATTCTCTGATAGCTCAGCTTAGTACCCAATCAATCAGTCAGTATGATCAACGTACGCAACTTAGCCGCCTCTTTGGCGTTCACCTCCCTCATCGGAGCTGTGGTGGCCCATCCTGGCGAGCCTACGGAGAAAGTCAGACGTGAGATTTTGGCTCACCGGGAGGCTCAAGCTCTCGGCCGTCGTGCCATCAGCGCATGCGCGTCCTCTCCCAAGACGGCTGCTCTAAAGGCTCGTGCGACCGCCCGCCGTGCTGCTACCGCCGAGGCCCTTCGCCAGAAGCGTGGCCTGACTCAGAGTGAGTGAAGTTTAAAACCAAGATTACAATGATGAACTAAAGTGTTGTCAGAAACTCTCAAGACCAAGCGTGACCAGGCAGGCTTCGATAAGTGGACTGCTACCGAACACGACCTCTCGTCTCTCGGCTACGACCTTGATACGCCGCTGGACACAATCTTCTCTTCCAACGCTACCTGCACTCTGGTTCCTGAGATTGATATAGGCCCTTACTGGGTTGGTGGCGAGTTGATGAGGGTAAGCTTTCACTCCGTGCTTCGCCAGGCCCCCAATTGGTACCTGACACTGAAAGCATAGCAAAAGATGATCTAACGCAAAATTCTGCAGACCGATGTCGTTGATGGCCAACCTGGTGTTCCCTTTCACCTCGACCTTCAGCTCCTTGACCTGAACACCTGCGAGCCCATCCCCGCTGAGACTCTCGTTGATATCGTAGGTCTCCTCCATTTCCTCCTGATCAGCCTTCTGAGCGGGTACAATTCCCTTTTGCCCTGCCGGCGACCCTTTTTGCTTTTTATTGATGAAGAGAACTAACACGATTAATTGCTATAGTGGTCTTGCAATGCCACGGGTATCTACTCTGGTGTCTCGGCTGAGGGCCAGGGCGGCCTGGACTCGACCCACGGTCGTGGCGTCCAGAGCTCCGACGAGGATGGAGTAGTCCAGTTCGACACGATCTTTCCGGGCCACTACCCCGGGCGCACGCCTCACATCCACGTGATGACTACCTCTGGCGCCACCCTCCTGGAGAACGGCACATATGTGTCCACCAGCGGTACCCCATCGCACATTGGCCAGCTCTTCTTCGACCAGGACATCATCCTGGAAACCAAGGCCACCGAGCCCTACTCCTTCAACGAGCAGCCCTTCACAACCAACGAGCAGGACAGCTACGGAATCGAGCAGGCCACCATCGACTACGACCCCTTCGTCGACTACGTCCGCCTCGGTGATGACCTGAGCGACGGCCTGCTCGGCTGGATTACCGTATTCATCGATACCACTAAGGATGTCTCGGATGGACGCCACGAAGCTGCGCACTACTACGAGGATGGCGGTGTTGATAATAGCAATCCTCAGCCATAGATAATGGCACATAGCTCGCTTGGGACATAGAGTGCCTGGGGTGCCTATTTCGAAAAGTTGGGGGGGGAGGTAGTTCTCACTGTAGATAGCGTTGGACCCCTCCTACTTTAGTAAATATGTCGACATCTAGACCGCATATTAGTGCGAAAAAACAAACAAATCTGTCATTACCGCTCATTCATTGCTTCGTCTTTCTTGGCTTAATCTTCTATTAGACTTATGTGAAGTATGACACGTGGTTTGTTCTTCTGGCGCAAGGACAATCCAGATTGCTCTTCCTATCTCATCTCTAACATTTTTATTTAGCTGAAAGATGTCCGCGTATAGAATGTTTTGAGTTATTCTCCTGTTTGTGTAGGAGGATGAGACACACTTGGGGCCCATGGACCTCTGAATGGAAAACAGAAGCTACCTAGAAGATTGAAGAGTTCGTCAGGGATTGCTTGTCGAAGCATAACTTACGACCTGGGGTAATTGTATGCGATGAGGTAAGCTTCGACTACCTACATCCCTCTCTATCTCGACAATGCGTAGACCTAAATGTGTCTGGTGTTGCGCATGAATACCCCATGCATGAGCGTCTAAGTCAAGGCTATTTGAACCAATCTTCTTGTTTTCTGCTCTCAGAAATTGGTTTTTCTTTGGTGTGATCAGAGGTATGATGTAAGCGGTGATGGCGAATGCCAAAAATATCTGGTTAGCGCCTGGTTTAGCACCTGACTAACTTTGCGGTCCATAGTAACTGTTGGAGTGTTTGGTGCTGTCTTATGAGCTGAGGGACTGGTTTTAATCCGGGATTTTACATGTAACGTAGAATGATCAGTATCATCTTGCAAGGTTATTTATTAATAAGAAGATCTGAGCGATCACTGTGCCGTGCCGGAGGGACCCTACAATGTAAGATCACCAATTGATATTCAATTAATTGCCGTAACACAAAATCTATAAATGGCGAACAAATCAGAGTTCGTTAGATCAGCATGTGGCAGTTCAGCCCAGGCATTTTGGCTGCCAAGTACCGGGAGCCGGTGTACATGTACTTTCACCTGACGTCGCCTAGGCAAGGTACGAGATTCCAGCGCCGAGGTACATGCAAGGAACAGATTGCCGACGACAATATACAGTAGAGAGGCCGGAGTTATCGGTGTACTGGATACCTTTGCGCGCTAAGAGTGCACTACCAAGTCTTTAGTACCCGAGAAATTCCCTGTTCAGACCTGTTCTTGTCCCTGTCGAGCCCTGTTAAGGTTTCCCTGGACCCACCCGCTTCCGCCATCTCCCGCAGCAGGCCAATCAGCGATGATCGACAGCCATCAAGCCGCAGCGAAAATTTTGTTAATTGCATAATTCCGTTAGCATAACATGAGGTAAAGCCGAAGAAGAATCAAGGTGCCGCTGCCCCGTCCATTTTCCTTTATCAGAGCCCTAAGAAAAAGCCTCAGCCATTCCATCCAATCCACCTGTTGTCTGTCTTTTCCTCCTACCACCCCATCCACCACTTAGCATCCACGTAATAAGAAGACGGCATCTTTCTCAAGAGCCTTCTCTTCTTTAATTCCTCTCCACTCAATACTCTAATTTCCTCTCCCCTCCCTCCGCCTCTCTTCACAATGGCCTCCAAAACCGCCGAGAAGGTCGATGCCGCCGCTCGCGCTGCCGCTGCTTCTGCTCCCGGCCAGCTGAGCGGTGTTGGTCTCTACTCCAGATTCGCCCTCGCCGGTGCCATCTGCTGCTCCGTCACCCACGGTGCCATGACTCCCGTTGATGTGTACGTTCAACTCGAATCTCGGGTCTAGGATAGGACAACCCGTGAAATTTTCATATATCTTCGGCGAGAAAAAGCCATTGGCCTTTGGGTCGCTTCGGTCCTCAATCGCCTCGAATATGCGCCGAAACCGCTTGCTAATGCGCTCTTTGAACAGCGTCAAGACAAGGATTCAGCTCGACCCTGCCACCTACAACCGAGGTATGATCGGTGGCTTTAGGCAAGTTATTGCCAACGAGGGTGCCGGTGCTCTGTTGACCGGTGTTGGTCCCACCTTCGCCGGTTACTTCCTCCAGGGTGCTTTCAAGTTCGGCGGTTATGAGTTCTTCAAGCAACAGTCTATCAACTACCTTGGCACCGAGAATGCCATCAACTATCGAACCGGCGTTTACCTCGCCTCGTCCGCGGCCGCCGAGTTCTTCGCCGATATTGCCCTGTGCCCTCTTGAGGCTACCCGTATTCGTCTTGTCTCTAAGCCCACCTACGCCAATGGTCTCATTGGCGGCTTCACCAAGATGCTGAAGCAGGAAGGTGTTGGTGCTTTCTACGCCGGTTTCGGCCCCATCCTGTTCAAGCAGTAAGTCTAGCTAATTGAACGAATTATATATATGTGGTAGTTACTCACGCTTCAACTATAGGGTGCCCTACACCATGACCAAGTTCGTCGTCTACGAGAAGGTCGCTGAGGCCGTCTACCGCCAATTCCCCAAGAAGGACATGTCCGACGGCATGCAGACCACCGTTAACCTGGGATCTGGTTTGATTGCTGGTTTCGCTGCTGCCCTCGTCTCCCAACCTGCCGACACCATGCTTTCCAAGATCAACAAGACCAAGGGTCTCCCTGGTGAGGGTACCACCAGCCGTCTGATCAAGATCGCCAAGGAGCTTGGCCTCCGTGGATCATACAGCGGTATCGGTGCCCGTCTCTTCATGGTTGGTACCTTGACTGCTGGACAGTTCGCCATCTACGGTGACATCAAGAAGGCCCTAGGTGCTACCGGCGGTGTCGAGATCTCAAAATAAGCGTATCTCGACACTTCAAGACTAGTCAAGGGTTCAGAGGATGATTCGACTGGAGAGGGGCGTAATAACGGATAAGCGGTGACGCTCTGATTGTGCAACTTAGCTGGATGTCGAGCTGTTTTGTGCTTTTAGGAGATCCTTGTCGCCGGTTTTTTATAATGCAGCTCAACATATATCCCCCCGGCGGTGCTGCTTATTTCTTTTGTTTGTCATTTAGACTGGGTGGCACCGGACTTGGATCTGCAGGATTCCCTAGTTGTGTCGAAAGGTCTTTCAAGAGTGGAGGCCGATGTGGACGGCCTTACGATTCTTATGAACCGGCTTGCTCTAGATGCATAAAAGATAGACAGACAAGCATATAGAGGCGAAGATGACACTTCCTAATGGGGAGTTGTACAATAGACTGGTTTTCAAAGTTCAGTGCACGCGCTACATCTTCATCCACGTCGTGAACTAAACATAATCTTGCGATTATTCCAGTACTCCTTAGAACCTTGCAATATTTCCATCTCCTTTCATCTTTCATGAATGGTTCCTTCGCAGGCTGGCCTACTATTGGCTCATGATAACTCCTGATGCTGTTCCACTTCGTTACGCTTCTCTATACGGCTGTCCTGTATGAAGAATAGGTTTAGGTGCTTACGATGCGGTCCGGCAGGTTATACTACGCTGAGCAATGTAGGGAGATCCTGGAAGGAAATTCACTACGCAATATCCACCTCTTTCTTACGCATAGACGAGAATTCAGTGCTATTTCATTGTCTATCACAAGTATGAGGATTACTTAGCGACTTATGAGGGGATACATAAGGCAACTTACTCATATTGATGAAGCTTCCTTGGTGGTCAACCTTGACTCTACATGCAATTGGACTGGCTGTCGGGATCCTAGGTTTACAGACCAAGAGTCTCGCTGTATATAGCCCTAGCCTAGGCACGAAGACTTGAAAGCCTTCGTACAGCAACGAATATCATATAGTATCACAATTGTTGCATTCTTTATACTGGCCTTACGAACCTCCAGGTCTGTCAATACCCCTCCTACAAGCGAGAGCTGGATAGCTTCGCTTTTGATACAGAGTGCATGTCTTACTGAAGGTTTCATGTTGGTTGTACACCCAGAGTCTGCGAATAATGCACCTTGAAAAATCTCAGTAGTTCACCGCGGTCAGCGCGTGTGATATCCTACGAAACTTTAGTGAGCATAGATATTGGTACCGAATGATATCTTAGAGTGGCATTTGCAATGTGTAACCTTGGACATCGTATTCTCAGGGCTAACTTTCCTCTCCTGCTCGGGAATCTGTGGTGGCAACACAGCGTAATATATGCTGTTACTTTAGAGCACAAGGACTCCTGAGGGGTGGAATCTGTTTATTCGCGTGTCATCAGTGGTAACTAACATTCTTTGCGCATATTCTGTAGCTCTTTGAGTGAGCCAATTAACCAGAGTTCTTGTTACGCGTCAACTTACTCTTTGGTTTTGGTACGTTCTCGGTGAAAAAAATAAAAATAAAATAAAATAAAAATAAATAAATAAATAAAAATTATGAATTAAAGGGGTGAACTAAAGGGGTGAATGATCCTTTTCAATATTGGCTATTCATCGCGCCAGCCGGGAGCTGCTATGTTGACATACCTTTGATAAGTACCTGATAGTTTGATTTTGAATGGCGTTCCCTGTTGTACCGTTTATGTGGCCACCTAGGTAGGTAGTATGAATCACCTCGTTTGCTGGCAGAGAATGTCTCTGTTTACTCTGGTACCACTCCCTCGTCCAGATAGACTTGCCCTTGCGATCCAAAATCTGTGTTTCTGAAGCGCAGCTAGGTACAGTAAAATACTGGGAGACACTGTTAGCTATGTTGTTGCACTGTAGTTTTTGAAGAGACGAAGGAAGTAATTTTCATATAGCACTTACCTGTAGTCAGTCAATCATGGCTCCTTGCGCAGGAATGAGCGATATTTGAAGAGATCGTGATAGGTATCATATGTATTATTATAAGTTACCCCGTTTAGTGGCCCGGAGTGTGGATATATGTATATAGTGTTTGGTTATTCTGGATCTATCTGGATTGAATAAAATGCTTATCAGTGCAAGTTTTTAAGAACTGAGGCGGGAGTCACGACAAGGGGTGAGATCATGACTTCAGTTTGAATTTGTTATGGTTGTTAATGTCTATATGTATCACGTCTAGGTGCTAAATATCGTGATGAAAAGCGAGTCCTCAAGTATAAGGTAGCCTGAAAGCCTTCATTCTCTTAAACTGTTCTAGTCTTTGCGTGATAGTGAAAACCTTACCATATAACTACCCCCCACCCCCCAAAGCATTTCATGGCAATATGGTCTCTTCGGGTCTCTTCTCTAGCCTCTGTAGCTGCTAAGGTTAACTTGGGTAAGCCCGGTTAACTTCCGAGGTACGTCGGAATGTCTTCTATGAGCGACCTCTGAATACCATCGCTTCAATGAGTCCGGGACTGCCTGTGGTTTGTCACTGAAAACAACATTTTAATCGCATACACTGTTGCACACATCTCACTTGGTGTGACAGGAATGCAGCATTTACTCATAAAGTGGTCGCTAACCCTTACTGCTGTGAGCTAGTATCACTCCGTGGTCTTACAAACCACCTCACGGATGAATAGTAAGACTTCTATTGTTGCGCAAAGATTTCAAGTCAATAAGAGATCTAGATATTATAAGATTTCCACATTATATGTAAATTTAGACGTTGTCCCAGTCGTCTTCATACACCCTCTTGTATGGTGTAGCTGAACGGCGCACCGACGCAGGTAAACCATTTCAGCCGCACGAGAGTTATTAGCAGTAATCTAACTACACTGTCATAAAGAATAGGCTCGCTTTTTCTTTAAACATCCAATGACAGCATATGCGGCTCTTACAGTCATGCCTATTTTCTATGTTTTCTTAGTTATTTAAATTGTGAAATTGCAATCTATCATGATGCAGTGGACTGTTACAAACGTCATTAATTTTTGTTCACATATTTAGATTCCAGTTACACATATCCAAGTTTAAAAACCCCGTCGAGCTAAAAACAGCTAAGAGCATGGGAAAGTCCGCGCCTTTGCAGCTGGTATCGTCATTAGTGTATTTCCAAATCCTTTGATGTATCAGTTTTCGCTACCAGTAAGTCTTTGGCTCACCCTTCGCATGATTTCGCACATGACACTTAGGGGTTGAAGGAAAACGCTAAGGGTAGTTCTCAAACTTCAACACACGTGGAATGAAGGGATCGAAAGTTGATCTATATTAGGCTGTTTCTTAGTGACTAGAATCTATATTAGTGTGTTTCACTAGAGCGCAGACTACACAAGCTCTAGCGGCACCCGGTCAACTACAGTACACACTAATAGTTTGAGCCGTTGAACTTCTAAAATAAACGGCAGAGATGTTACAAGACTAGGAGTTTCCTTCTTCGTGGTTTGGTACTCAGTAGACTTGAGAGGTTCGCTTGCGGTTTAGCCTAAATGTAAAAGAGGTGTAGGTTGCTCTTTTGGTCGATACCATGGCAAGAAACTTGGTAGCGATCATACTAGTTACCTTTCCTCCCCATGGGGAAACCCGAGCTTGCAACCGTAATAACGTTGCTCATGGGTCGGTGAGCTCTCGATGATTTGCGATGCTGACATTTGAATCAGCCTCCGCCATAAATGCCATGCGGCACGAGCATGACGAACCAGATCACAGTCTGATGCTCATGTGTCGCGTTAATGTTCCGCATTGTAGACGATGTCACCAGCCTCTTTGCGCTCGCTATTACACCCGATTGGAAATGACAATAAAGCCTTGCATGTTGGATTAGATATCCGTAACGAACACGCTGCTAATCAAGGAGTTCGTATGCCAGTAGCAATTGCGCGACCCGTGTTGTAAGCAGTTCGATACTGTCTCGTAGCAGACAGTCAACGTCAGCCTTAGGGGAATTAGTCCATATATCTCGGGACATTGATCACCTAACTTTAGCAACGCGTATCCAACACTAAAAAACTAGCCGCATTCAATATGGCGACCGTTCGTCATGATTAGTCTTTCTCATAGTCGCGGAGAGCACAGCTATTAAGTTTGTCAGTTAGGGAAAGATTTGAGCTGTGCTCTATGACTCGGGCATTAAGGATTATTGTACTGTTAGTTGATGTGAGTGAAACTACCCTATAGTTGCACACTGAAGATTGTAGATTTAGACGAGCCATGAGCGAATGACTAACGGACGGCGGCCTTGCTATCTGGAACGCCCTTGTAAGTATACAAACTACTAGTATGCATGTACACAGATTACCCACCTGCCCATCCAGGTACAAATTAGACATTGTGGGGGGTTTTGCTAGCGGTTTTGCCCAAGTCATAATCCCCACGATGCGTCACAGATCGCACTCTCCACTTGAGGGCAAAAGAGCCTCGCATGGGAGAAAATGAAGACACCTAGTGTAGTACAACTGATGTTGTTGTATGATAATTCGGGATTATAAGGAGATAGATGCCGCAACATGCCACGCGTGAAAAGAAGCCGCGCAAAAGTAGCGTAAGTGGGCATTATACATGTACTGGCTTGTTTGAATGCGAAGACCCTAACCTGGGCGAGATTCACGACATCCAACAGTACCAGATTTAAACCTTGCTAGCTTGAATACCTGCCTACTAGGTTTGTCTAGTGTATATAATTTGGCTCCTCGCCAAGGGCGGTCGGTACCAAAAAGCACGTTGGTGACAGGGGAGACAGGGGAGATAGGGAGACAGGCGACAGGGAGAAAGGGGGTCCCGAACCCACACCGGTGAACTGTTTCTAAGCATTACGTAGCGACACACTAGCGGGTCATGATTGTTCGGTTCGAGACCTACGTAGATCTATTTATCAGAAAATATTCTCCACGTACATCACGACCTTCGATGCCTGCCGGGACTAGGTCTTATGCAGAATAGTTGCAAAGCAAGAAATACAAAACCGCTTCTTCACTAGGGGTTAGCCCCCGGGTTTAATGCGTAACTGATGTATCAACTGATTGACCATTCCCGAAACACAGCTGTCAAATAAATAAATAACCACGCAGATCTCGAATTGTGACATGACATGCTCAACGGGAGTAGGAAGAGGGTGGGTATTTCAAGCTTGTTGCACAAGATCGTCACTTCGCG